ACAACGGAGGTTGAATCCATCTCAGCAAAATGTGCTATCCACACCCACCAAATGACACCATCCAGTAGCGAAAATTCGTTTTCGTAAGAATGGCCATGCTTATCTACCGCTACCCAGCAGTCGATATTCAACTGGATGACAGTGTATGTTACATCTACTGGAAACGCCTTCCTGACTTGGCATGCTAATCTCTTTAGACTGAAAGATTTGGCCAGATATCACACAGGAGGATTGCTTGGATGGAAAATGGTATGGGGGGAAATTACGGAGAAAAAAGGCAGATCCAATCTAGAGAGGTATCGTATAGCCTTATGACTAGTGATATTCCTCTATCTAGTCCGATGCGGAAAATGGATCATCTTCTGGTCCCCATCTCCTACATCTCATCATACTTAGTTGTATATCTATCTATATTCCAGCGGGTGCTTCTTTCAAGATCTCATTGAAATGAATACATTTTTATTAATACCGATAAGGAGGTCGACCTGAATATATATGAAGTCAAGTTTTGTGTGCAGACAAGTGAAGCATTTTCTGAGCAGAACGTGTGAAATGGTCATCGGGTACTCCAGCTGCAAGGATAAGTAGTATATCCAGCTTATAACCCCAGTCATACTGAAAGTTATTCTATTACCCGGGCGATGTGGTGGCGTAGCCTGGAACTATCCACCTACAGCACAAGTGTATAACTCCCTTCTGCTCCTTGTCTCTCTCTGTCTGTTGTCTGTATTCCTTCATTTCCATTCGCATCCTTACCATCTTTCCACTCCCTCTTTCGGATCGACAGAAGCGACGCTGCAAGTCTGGGCCCTTCTGGGCGCCCGGGCCAGTACTGTACAAGCCTCCTATCAAGTGGCCAAGCTCATCAGCCTTGGGGATCATGCTTTTGAGCCTGTTGGCGAACTCAAAGTGTGGAAGGGGCTATCGTTGGTATGTCTCAGTCGACTGGGGCACAAGATACTTGAAATTTGTCTCTGCATCTGGAAAAAGAAGACACAGAATATGCGCAAGTAGAAGTGAGTTTTAGTAGGTGGGATCAGGTTCAAGCACGGATCTTTCTCCTCTCAAATCTCAAGGTCATGTTACTAATCCAGTCCGCCACAGGACCCCTGCGTAGTCTCTCGGGAACTACACCCCTTTCACAAGAATGGAGCCCACTTGCATCTGTCAATTGGGCCTTCGGAACTTGTCGCGAACTCAGAGTCCAAGCATCAAGCATATGTAAGACACGTCCTAGCAACCAGTGGCTTAGAATGTTCCCTCGGTATTGCCAACTGCCTTTATTTCGGTGGCATTTAGCAGTGCCAGACTTCAAAACTGTCAACTACCTCACGCTATAGCATGCAATCGCCCTTTGATCTTGGATCCCCCCAACGTTGAAAGGCGTCTGCTTCCACGTCTGGCTTTGGGATAACTTCCCATTGTAAGCAAGCTTTCATTGTCCTCTGCGGCATCGGAAGAATCTGCATAATGATGTCACATTAGGCTTTGTCCGAACGGAATAATTGCGTGGGGACAAACTTGCCGACTGTTTGAAAACTTGTGAACAGTCTGAGTTAGTCCTTGAGGACAGCGGGGGTTGAGGTAACTGGCTGCGTTCGAATCTAGTCCATTTCGTAGCTAATGGATTCTAGACAAAAGTCCTTCCAAAACATTTCGAGATTGCTGTATTCCGATAGCCTGACCTTCGGCCTTATGAGTGATGCGCTGGAGTGCCAGCCGCTTGTCCTGAAATCTATGTTGCCACTTGTTTGTTTCAACAACTGCTAACAATATTTCGTTTTCCATGGCCAATGCTGCGCTTCTCTCCTCATTGGAGATGCTTTTTGAGGCGAGAAAAACAGCATGTCTAGTGCAGTGAATCAGTCAGCCGATTATTTCAATATTGAGAGCTCCGAACTTTATATACGACGTGGATAGTTCTATCGTCGTATATGTGGCAACTTCAAACGTGTGCAACCGCTCTGTCTACAGTCGCACTTTGATTTCCCCCAAAAAATCAAGACGATCTTAGTCCGGTTCGTGCATAGTTCTGTTGGCCGAGTGTTCAGTCCAGTCTCTGAAAGTGTCCTAGAATCTAATACCTGCATCTCCGTTGCTCCAGTTTGCCAACTGAAGATGATGTTGGAATTCATGACTGAGCCTGCTGGGTTCCGATTGACCCAATGCTGATGACAGTCTCCCTGAAGCAGTTTCAACAAAAGACAATAGATGGCACAGTCCTGTTATTAAGGCCTCGGTTGTCCTTTTGGTAGTTATGGGGTTTTCCAGAAAGGCTCAGATGCTCCGCTGCGAGGTTTTGCGTGGGCAGTGGGCAGAGGGCCCAGTAATGTTGATCAGTTCGACCGTATCATCGTGGGCGCTAGATAACTGCCAATCTGGAGTACGGTCAGTTGATGCGGAACGACGAGTGAATGAAGGCTGAACTCACTGTGGTATATTCAGAAGCGGTCATTTTGTTTTGTTAAGTAATTTGGAGGCAGAGGAATGATGAAGACCATTGTTTCCGAGCAAGTGGCTAGATACATATCCCTTTTGGAATGGCATCGCTTTAGGCAGAAATCAGACAGGCTAGGGGTGGGGGGCAATGTTTAGAGTTCCTAGGATTCAAACGAAATAGCTATGGGCCCCTATGACACTGGTAATACAGCTTAGTGGGCTCATGGGAATGCATGGCAGGCTCCCAGGAGCTCATCGGGTATTATTATTGATGGTTTGTCTTCGGCTTACAGATTACTTAGCAATGGCGTGAAAGACATGACGTTATCTGCCCAGGAGATCCTTTGGGTCGTGCGCTCATTGGCGACAGAAGTGGCTCATCATCGTCACTTACTGAACACTAATTTCTCCTGTTGCCGACACAGGGAATGATTCTAGATCTTCAAGGAAACTCATTCAATCGCCCTCGCCCTGGTAGTAGCCCAAAGCCCGATTAGGGTATTCCGTGAGGTATTCCCAGGAGCATAGGCTGAAATGAGAAGATGGTAGGTCAATTAATAGCCCCACTGTGGGGCTTTTTTACTTGGATAGAATCGAGACCGCTAGAACGAACGGGCACATTGATTGTGCCAGTCCGTTTTTGATGGGCTATCTGAATGGGAATGGTTGCACGTGATGGGATTAGCGTGTCGCATTTTATTGATGTAGCTTACTCAGCCCGCTCATCCCTACACTCAGTGAGCACTCAGTGATCAAATCAGAGTGCTCAGATGATGCTCAGTGAGCAGATCAGTTGATTATGTAATGACCTGTGATCAAGCCAGGATACTCAGGGACGTGCTCGGTTTTACTCAGAGATCAAAAAGCGGCAAGGGGTGAGCACTAAAACGGAAAGGGAAAGATCTCGAGTGCCAGGCATTATCCGGTCTATATGTCGACATGCTTACGCTTCTAGTTCTGCTGGTTCTGATGAGGTTGACACATAATTACAGTATTACTCTGATCTGTTGTCCGGTATCTCGACATCTGAAGTTTGGAGCCGCCTTATCAAGCTACTCCCAACATTCGAATATTCAGAGATTCGCGTTTGATTTGATGATTCAATGAAGGGGGAGTGAACCATATCGTCGAGCACACGTAAGACTTGAAATTGCCCTTGCATCGTTTACACATGCAGGGAAGCCCTTTTAGAGCCCTGGAAAGACTCACTAATAATCTGAGGCAAGAAAGTACCGGGCTGGAAAAAAAAAGTAATTTAGGACGCCATCTTGTTTTTTTTTTTTCATTATGCATCACCAAGCACGTTCCTACAGTGGAACGTGGACAGCACGCTCTATTGTGCGCCCACGCGGGCCAGATACGCCTCCCAGCCTTGCTGCTGGTACTGCTTAACGGCCTCAACAGGGTCCGCAGCGGCATAGATACCACGACCCGAGATAATGAAGTCGGCACCGCGGCCAATCGCTGACTGCGGAGTCTGGTACTGCTGGCCAAGCTTATCACCCTTAGACGAGAGGTTGACGCCAGTGGTGAAGACAACGAAGTCCTCACCCTGCGCGGGCGCCTCCGTTGACTCGACCTCACCCAGCGAGCGGGTCGAGACAAAGCCTAGTACAAAGCTGGGGTACTTACGCGCGATGTCAACGGAGGCGGAGGTATAGGCGCCCGTTGCGAGGGATCCCTTGGAAGTCATCTCAGCGAGGATGAGGAGGCCGCGTTCGGAGCCGTAGGGGAAGTCAATGGCCTGGGCGGTTTGGGCGAGGGCCTCGACAATGCCCTCACCCGGCAGGACAGAGCAGTTAATTATATGGGCCCATTCGGAGATGCGGAGGGTGCCGTTGTGGTACTGTTTCTGGACTGTGTTGCCGATGTCGATGAATTTGCGGTCTTCGAAGATGAGGAAGTTGTGCTTCTGGGCCAGGGCATTCAGGCCGTCGATTGTCGCTTGGCTGAAGTCGGAGAGGATGTCGATGTGTGTTTTGATCACGGCGATGTAGGGGCCAAGGCCTGTGAATGTGTTAGCGGGTTGTGTTAGCGGGTTGCTTCGTTGGAGGGGTAGAGTGGGCTGGGTTCACTTACGGTCGGCGAGGTCCAGGAGCTCCTTCGTTGTGGTCACATCAGCGGAGACAGTGACGTTGCTCTTCTTCTCTTCGGCGACATGGAAAAGCCTGCGTGCGAGGGGGTTGGGGTGTGATTGGGCGCGAGCGCTGTAGGTCAATTGCGACTTGGACGACATGGCGGGGCTGGCGGGGTGAAGAGGCGATTGTTGTGTATTTAGCTTGTGTTTTGAGGGGTCGAAAGGATGGAAATGAATCAAACGACAAATGCCTTCAGAGAACTATAGGCTTTTTGGGGTCCAAAAAGCAGAAGATGAGGAGCAAGTTCGATTTGAAGACCATCGGGGAACTTTTTCTGCCACGGTGGGCCCCGCAGGCCTACAACATAACCTTCCGAGGCTGGAACTGTGGCGCATAACTAATACGTTGCTTGCATTGGACTTATAAATACAGAGTACATCTTCAATTTCAAGACATTTTAGAGGATCCCCAGGCTTCAAGCTCTTAGAAAGAAAGCAGAGGCCTTCCAACACCGTAGATGCTCAATCCCCAAAGAGCACCCTGCACAAGCCAGAAGAACCCGCCCATGAAGCGGCCCTTACCCTGCGGCTTGCCCGAGTAAACGTAGCCGTAGAGGAAGAGAACGCGGAAGAAAACCCAGAGAGCGCCCAGACCAGCGGCCCACTCCGGATACTTTAGACCGGCGACCAAGGTAAAGAGCATTGTCTGCGAGGCGTTCTCGAGGAAGTTGGCATGGGCGCGCTGGGCGCAGTTGAACTGCTCAGCTTTTGCCTATAATCAGATTAGCAGGTTTAATGGGGTGTTCATTAGAGATTACACATGTTTCCCTTGAACTGAAGGGCTTTTGAAGGCCGACAGATGGAAAAAAAATTTCTACGCACGTTTTCCTTGCATAGCTCCATGGAGGCATAGCTGTGGGGGTAGGGCACCTTGGCCGCCTTGCGCAGGCTACCAGTGACATTGCCGTGAATAAAGCCCAAAACAGGGATGGCACCGAGGGCCACGGCAATGACGGCTCTGGGAAGTTATGTTAGCCCCGGATTTCACAGGAAACGCGAAGGTTAAGCCGGGAGTGGCATAACCTACCCGTAGTTGCCAGGAACAATGAATGCGACCATTATGAGAAGATTAACCGGGGAAATGAAGTGAGAGAGCGGCTTTGTGTTGTGATTTAGCCTGATGCCTGGGCTCCTTTATACATATTTGGAGGTTCGGGGCTCACAGGTTCCGACGTCCCGTCGGTGCAATCGATTTAGCCGATCCGGGGTCTTCCAAGGTTTTCTTGTCTACTGTTGTGATATAGTTGGCCTTTCGGAGCATTGAGGATGACTTCAGATTGAAGGATTTTCTGGATCCTTCATCAAAGCTGGTTGATTATGGAATTGACAGCCCTGGATTACTAATATTGAAAAGGCAACACCCATCTGACGCCATGCAACGAATGTTTGTTTAGCATCTCACTAACAAATACTCAACTCGAGTCACAGGTTCCAGCACATGACGACAAAAATGCGAAAAAAAATGGCTACATCTTCCATGAAAAGTTCATGCTCCCACGTTCGGCACCATTTTACTTACACTCCCGTACTTGGCCTGCCAAGCGAAGAAGTACAGGAGCGCTCCAAGCGGTTGTCCGACTAGACAAAAGCTGACCCAGAAGATGCAGTTGCCGATGACCCTGCCTTCAGGCCCACGCATTTTATCCAATGGTGCGGTGAGGCCAATTAACGGCAGCTGGAACATCATTCCAAAGAACGCGACACCTAGAACTAATTAGCATGAAAGATGTGATCAGAGAGTGAAAGACATACCAATGAAGTTATGTGTGGGAATGCCAACAAGCATTTCATGAAGAATCGCGGAGAGCGTGAAAACCATTCCACTCGCAGCCAGAGGACTCCATCCACGGCCCACCAGCGGCGAGTAGACATGTCTCTTCATGAACAGGTAAACAGGTCGGTTCCAAGATCGCCAATACATACCCAGACTGGAGCTGTTCCACCAGTCAGTGTAGAACTCGCGATCTCCAAACCGCATGACCTCGGCCAAAGCGTTCAAAAGAGCTTGGAACAATGCAAAGAAACCAGCAAGCCAAATGATCAGCGAGATCGTGGAAAGTTTCATGACTCGCTCCAAAATGGATGTAAGGTCCATTACTGCGATCTTATCGATCGAGTTGCGCAGAACTGGCGCAGCATACTGCGCAGACAGAAGCCAAATGAACATTGCCAGGCCCACGAACTCTGCAAGGCGCTTTGCAACAAAAGACCACCGGATGGATGCCGTGCGCGGATAAACAGGCTGATACACCAGCGTCGGCGCCAGCCAGAAGTAGGCCAGGTTATTGATGGTAATGTTTCTTGGGTAAGGACACGAGGAGTAGATTTCGGGCAAGCCCGGGTCTGCAGAAGGATTGAGCATAGCGAGGCGAAGGTCTCGGTTTGTGAAGGCATAAGAGCAGTTCTTTAACCATACAATGAGTGCGTGTAGCTGGCATAATGTCCCAATGCCAGGGTGATGGATGTAGAAATACACCACGAAGCTGGTTACTGTGAGACATAGCGTGGCATTGAGCGTGTGTAGGAAAGCAGTGTACGGCCACGTCGACTGGAAGACCTTTTGGTCGTGCTCTTTCTCCTTTTCTGTCTTCTTCTGACGACCAACTGTCTGCTTAGCTGCAGTAGCGGCTGAAAGTTCAATGATGTATGCCACGAGCAAATGGCACGGAACCGAGGCAAACAAAATAGACCCCAAAACAACGTCCTGTCTGCGGTAGTCATGGCATTTAATACAGATTAGCACGCCATACTGGATGATTGTTAGTTGGCAGCCTCGAAACAGTAGTTGAACCTTTAAATTACTCACTTTCATGAAGTTCTCAATAATCAATCGCAGGTTCATCGCCACTGTCGGAACATTAGCCATTTCCATATACAATTGTCTAGTAATCCTTACCAAGTACCAACACCATGAGATTTCGAAGCCCCAGGAAGTTGGGAAGCACTTCAGCCTCTCGACTGAGGCTAGAATGACGAGCCTCTGAGTGGTATGCAGCTACATGGCGATATTTACTGCGTCTCTTGGAAGTTGAAGTTGATGGCGGAGAGACCTTGGTCACATCCGGAGTGGCCCCGTTCGTTGAATTGACCTGAGATTCTTCGCGAGCGCTCGTAACTGCACCAATGCGAGCAGTCATATTCACAGCTCTGCGACCTTGACAGTACGAGGAATCGAGAGGTCCCTAAGTCGAGCTCCGATTAACCCAGAGCACGGAAGGAGAGCAATGTGAAGAGTAGAGCAACAACCAGGCCGCCCAATTGCGGCATACGAGAAAAGAAGGAGAGATGATGATGAAGATGGAGATGAATATGAAGAAGAAGACGAAGAAGAAGAACAAGAAGAGGAGGAGGAGGAACGCAAAAGGCAAAAGCACCAGAAACAAGATTGATTTTATACTGGACATGGCGGGGGGAGAGACATCATAGCAGCTTGCTGATGAAACCCGCAGGGGCCAATCAGCGTCACAATCGTTCAAGGGACGGATCCTGCGCTCCGAAGAGCTTCGTCTCTCTCCGCATCTTTTATTCTTTTTAGCCTTGGACCAGTCCGATTTATTATTCGATCAGAATTTGAAACTCCAATTCCCTTTGAACCCCATGTTCGTGAACGGACAGCCTTGATCCGGTACATCTTTTCAACAGGTCGCCATGGCCTACTACGACGACAATGCGGGTGACGGCCCAGGGCGATTTGGGAAGAATTTTGACGGCCCAGTCGGACCTCGCAGACCACGTATGTTTGCTTGCTCTGAAGTGACTTTGACTAAACTTATGCTTGTTCATAGCTTGAAGTCTGACTGACAACACTCTCAGGTCTCGTTACGGATTATGGTTCTTCAATGGTACAATGGATGCGAACACGGCAACCGAGATACAAAGGAGGACATCGCTTGGAGACGGAACGACCAAGTCCTAGCTTCGCGGTCGATGTATGCGTCGCCTGAACTGCTCTGGCCTGACAAACAGACTGACTTTCGACAGGTTCTTCCCCCAATGGCGCGGCCTTATTCTGCTGTCGATACAATCCCCGTGCGACACCTTCACCAATCAATCGGAAAATCAAAAAAACCCATCGTCGTCGTGCGGTGGACTCCCGAGGGAAGGCGGCTTTTGACTGGCGGTCATACGGGAGAGTTTATGCTTTGGAATGGAACAGCCTTCAATTTCGAGACGGTTATGGATGTGCGTATTTACAGGTTCTACGGATTGCGCCCTGGCTAATCTGAGATACTCTCTTGGCGCAGGCACACTACGATCAAATACAAGCTGGTGTCACATCCTTGGCATGGGCCCATAGTCAGGACTGGTTGGTCTCTGGTGGACAAAGAGGTGATATCAAATACTGGCGACCCAACTTCAACAACGTCGAGACGATCGATGACGCGCACCACGACGCAGTCCGCGATCTGGCTTGGGCACCCAGTGATACCAAATTCCTTTCAGCGTCTGATGACACAACTCTCAAAATTTTCGACTTTGCGACCCGAACCGCTGACGCGACACTGACCGGACACAATTGGGATGTCAAGTCTTGCGACTGGCACCCAACCAAGGGTTTGATTGTTTCTGGATCGAAGGACCACCAGGTCAAATTCTGGGATCCGCGCACTGGTCGTTGCCTGACGACCCTCCACAGCCACAAAAACACCGTTACATCAACCCGATTCTCGCGTGTCAACAGCAATCTCCTAGCCACTTCGTCGCGAGACCAGACTGCGAGGGTATTTGATTTGAGGATGATGCGCGATATTTGCATTTTGCGAGGTCATGACAAGCCTGTTTCTTCTCTGACATGGCACCCGATTCACAGTAACCTTATTTCGACTGGTGCCGAGGATGGTTCTCTATATCATTATCTACTTGATGAGCCTCATCTTCCGGCCGGCCAAATTCCCACCGTGGCGCCGTATGACAGCCCGGACCCGGCCAACACACCGCCGCAGGTGATCTATCCTGCACATCGGGTACAGTACGCGCACGGTGCTACAATTTGGTCACTAGACTGGCACCCACTGGGGCACATCTTGGCTTCTGGATCTAAGGATAACTTCACTCGATTCTGGTCACGAGCTCGGCCTGGCGAGACTAGCTATCTGAAAGACCGATTCCATATCGGCGAAGAGGCTGCAGAAGCACAGGGAACATGGAACCGCGGATTTGGCCGGAAGCAAATGCGCGAGGATGAGGAGCAGGAAATGCAGGACGAAGCCGATAGTCTGGTCGACCAACGACGACCAGGCGGCCCTGCTCTGCCAGGTATTCAAAGTGCGCCGCCGGTCGGCCCTCAGCCCGACGTTCCAGGGTTCCTACCCGGCATTGGCAGTGCTCAGCCTCGACAGCCAGGAGTGGATGGGGGCGCTATGGGTGGGATGAACCCAGACCGATTTGCTGCACTCATGTCCTCTCACCCCCCATCACAGTCGAGTACCCCTACACCTGGAATGCATGGGTTCCTTATGCCGCAGGGTATGACTGGAGCACCACCGATGAATATGGATCTAGCACAATTGCAAAAGCAACTTCAGGGTTTCCCCATGCCACAGAATTTCAACCTCCAAGCTTTGGCGAACAACCCTGGCTTCCCTGGTGGATTTGGTGGCCTGCCTGGCCTGCCTGGTTTGCAAGGTGGTGGTATGCCCGATGACAGTCGGAGGCAGTGATGAAAATGGGATTTCTGATTTGAAATGCACGTTGAAACGGCTTGGCATTGGCGCAAAGGACATACATAGCATGGTTACTTTGATATGTGGAGACGGCGTTGTTTGAGAACTCAAATCTCATTTGTATCATAGGAGATTTTCAGGCATTTCGAGGTCTCTGATTATTTGTCGACGAGATTATACGCGTAAGGTGGTTGGACATATTCCGAATCCGTAGTTGCCGTCCACGTAACACCATTTAGAGACCACCTTGCATGGGGAAGCTGGTGACAATTAGAAACATAACATTGACACCACCCCAAATCATCGGTAGCCAAGTCGACATCCGGAAGTTGCCTGCTTCATACACCGCGCCGAGGCTACATACCGCAGAAGCGTCAGCTTCCTCATCATTATGGGGAGGTCAAATATCAATCAATCAACTTACACAACTCCAATTATGCTTCCTGCTAGAAGAGACTCCAGAGCTGCAATAAAAATGTACACCAACGGCACAATCCACATCACATTCCAGTTACGGAAATGAGTAAGTACTGCACACCCGGCAACAGTGAGATGCGTCGCCCCGTAGAATATCAGCGTCCAGAAAAGTGTGAAGCGCCAGATGTCCTTCGTGTAGTATAGGTAGTATGCTTGTTGATGATTCGCCGGCAGGGGATCGTACAATGACGGAAATGAAGGTACTTCGTAGTTAATCGGAACGCGGTTGTTGGCCATGGATGAGGTAGCTGCGCCGGTTCAGCTGCAGTGAAGATCAGTCTTCGAAGCATTACACGTGAATAGGGGACAGTCATTCAATGACTATTGATATATTGCACGGGTACCAACAAAAAGGGCAAGTATGGAGACCCTCGAAGATAACGACGGTTGTTTGCACTATTTGCCCTCGTGTCATTGGTCAACCTTGCGTCGACGCCCCCGTATTTGGTTCCGGGGCCGGACCTCGGCTTCTCCGCGGTTGATTGCCTCATTACATGGGCGATGTAGAGCTGCTTGTCTGGGAGCATCCCTATCAACTCTCGACTTGAAATGGCCACGGAGCGATCTCTGGCTACGCTGCTGCGGTCGCTGCAGGCGACTTCCAGCTTCCAGGATGCTGCTTCGTAAGTGCCACATGCCCTCAATTTGATTGGGGAGGTCATCGTCAGGCTAATCACAGGCCAGTAAAGTCTTCTACCCACGGCTACAAGTTTCCTGTCAATGTTGGGAAATCCTCTGAATCTGTCACTCCTGTCGTCACAACTCCTCGCTGCGCCTTCGCTCTGGAGCCATACCGTCGACCTCCAATCATGTCGCGAGATCCTAAGCGTCTTCAACACCGCCGCCATCGCTGTCTTTCAGAATGATGCTATCGACGAACCTCGGATATCCTACGGGCGAAATCGGAAAATTGAGCATGAGGCGTGGGTTAAGGCGGTCGTGGAGGGCGCCGATGATAAGTCCCCGCGGTGGAGGCATACGCTTCTGCTGGGTGGGATCTTGATGGGATTCGAAGGACAAAATCGACGGGGTTTACCACGGCGGATTCGGGTGAAACTTGAGTCGGCACTTGTGAGAGCGGCGCAATTAGCGATGGAGGAGCTTGGTCCTGATATTGGGATTGATGAACAGTGCATCACTATGGTCTTGACCTATACTTTTGAGCTTCTGTCAGACCTTGAGAGAAGCAAGCTGGATTATGATCGCTTGCTCCCGGCGATAACTAAATCGGCGTACTTGTCTTCGGGGGGTCTTGAGGGTGGCTATTTCTTGGGATCTATTGATCAAGACGTCGTCGAGGCTCCTGGGAAGCAGTTTCGATGGTCGACCAACTCCCCCACGTTTGCTATTGTCTCGGCGATAGCTGCTCGCCCGCTTGTGTCTACTCTGGGGCCTTTGTCTCGCCTTATCGCGCATTCTGTTGATAATGTTCGGGATCCGAGAATTGTTGGGCAGACCGTTGATTACTTGGCTGGCTTCGTGCGGACGCTCATGGTTCAATGGCGGCAGAACAAACTTTCTGAGATTGATGTTGCAGAAGAAACAGAGTTCCTAGACCCAGAATCTCGTGAAATCACACTTCCTGCTCTTTGGAAGATGCTACGAAATTGCTTATATTCGGTGGTTATCACTCTTCGAGCTGTGTTGGGAAGAACCATCAATGATACAGCTCTTGCTGCAAACAGTAGTAAGTTACAGACGACTCGTGTTGTTTACGCATTACTTATTAAGTTTCTTTCTAGGTGCCCCATATCTATCTATGCAATGCCTACACATACTTCGCAACATGTATTTCATTTCTTCTCGGCTTGGTCAGAATGCCTCATCGCAGCAGACATTCGTGCTGTTGGCAGCAATAGACATCCTTTCACAATACCCAGTTCTCGCCGAGAACTTCCTGCGAAGCATAAAGCCAAGTGAGATTGGACAAATTCCTGCTCACCCAGTTGAACGATGTCTGGATCTTTTCTTCTTAAACGTGGCAGAGCATTTTCCTCTTGTCATATCCTCGGAGACCAATGAGGAACTATTATTGTCTGCCGCTTTCCCATATCTCGCAGCGGGTGCTAACAGTCTTCTGTTGGAGATTTTCGAAGCTGCTCACAGCCTGGTGCTTGTTGTCTTCGCCATTCCCCACAACTCGGAATTAGCTGCCAAACATCTACCTTTCTACATCGAGAATCTTTTTGCTGTGAGTTACATCCTCGCTATTGTACGAATCTAGGTTCTAATCATCTACAGGTTTTCCCCAATAACCTTTCCGCGCGCCAGTTCCGTCTTGCTTTCAAGACTGTCATCCAACTCACAGCACCCCCTTCTCCCTTAGCAAACAGCCAGCCCCTTCTCCCCTCTATCCTCTTGGAAGTTGTCCACGATCGTGCTTTGAATGCATCCTCTACACCTATTCCTCCGCAGGGTCCAAATCCAGACATGAGCCAAAGTTCACCTGTCTCCGAACAGGCTGTCTTGACCCTTGCTCTCCTCGATTCTCTTTCATTCCTCCGAGTCGAAGATCTGAAAGAATGGCTCCCCTTAGCAGCAAAATTGATGAACACAATTTCCGATCGCAATATGCGACACGCTTGTATCGATCGTTTCTGGGAAGCTCTAGCTGGCGGCGAGATGGATGTTGATCGATCACACTGCTGTGTTACATGGTGGAGCACTGAAGGTGGGCGTGAGCTTGTCCTCTTCGGCGCGGAGACCGCCCCGGACGAGTCAGATGAGAGTGGACATTTCATGAGTGGCGCGGTTGGAGGAGTCGCGCCTGAAAGCAAGCTATGATGATGCTAATGTTTAAAAATAGCTCACAGTTGTGAAGCTACTACACCTACGGGGGTGATCACTTATACCAAATATACCAGACTTCTAATCGATCAAATCCAACTTCATGCATTTTCATGTTTATCTATGGTTTCTTTGTATTAACTCGGTTCAATATCTTCGATACTGTAAGGGTTTGCAACTAAATGCCCGGAATACCAACCGGGGTTGCTTTTCTGTACTGAACATACTCGTCGCCAAAGAAAGAAACCAGGTAAGCTTCTTCGCCTGTAGCCGCATAAGCCAGTTAGCAAGAATTCCAAACCACAAACCCCGACAGACAACTTACGCTTGATCCGGCTCGAGAAGAACTGCCACAACACCAAGGCATATCCCACGAAACAAATCATATTCCCCAGTACCAGCTGCGTTCCCAGGCCCCACCAGAAGAATCCAAAGTAGCTCGGATGCCGCAGATACCGATAAAGACCGGAATTAACCAAAACATGGCCCTCCTGATGCTGACTCTGCACATGGTGATTGAAGTTACTAGCAGCCTGCGCCATAGCAATAGTCCGAACAACCTGTCCAATCAACAAAAGGACAAAGCCTGCGACAAGCAGCAGCGAGACCAAGCTTCCGAAAAACGGTTCAGTCACAGTGACCCACCGCCCAGCAGCAGTCTGCCCGGGCCAGAAAATGTGCGAAACAAGGCATTCCACAATGGCAGATCCGTGTGCCATATTATATGCCCATCCGTTCGATGACAACAAGAACGCAGAGACTGTCGCATACCGCGTGTTGTACCGCGCCGTCACGTAGAACTCCAGGAAGTGGAACAAACTCAGGGAGGCGACAAAGAAGGGAATGCGCCAGAGTGTGGTTTGGTACACAGTGCTTAGGAATAACGCCATGCTTGCGGATAGCCCGAGGCTGGTTCCGAGGAGCATTGCGCGCAGTGAGATCCCCGCCAGCGACATCTTGCCGTCCGGGTAGATTGAGGTATCGGGACCGGGCGCAATATTTGAGGCATCAGAGGAAGAGGATAGGTTGCTGTTGGTGCGGTCGTGGGTTGGATGTCTGGGCGATGAGATGTGTTTGGAAACGTGCGTGAAGTTCGGGGCTGTGTTTGGCTCTGCGCCGGAGGCGTTGGGGTACATATTCAACGAAATGAGGGTGATTGGAGAAAAGAGACTTGTTCGGGGCTTTATTTGGTTCGAGGACCGGGCATTTCGAGGGAATTGGTGGATTTTAAATAGCACGTTGTGGTGAGTGGGTGTCGATTTTCATTGTCTGAGAACAATCTGAAGAGGGTTGTATTGTTTTGCACCAGCACCCGCGGACCTTTCCCCCGACACATGACGGGGACATCCTCCCGGGCCCACATGGCCTTGCGGCTTTGGGGCTCCCGGATATCGATGTGTCTTTAATATACTAGGCTGGTGCCCTAATTTTTGCTGTGTCTGCTGTTTTCAGATTTAATATGCAATAGTAATGTCCGTCACAGCCATGTCGGAGCCTACTGAGAAAGAGAAGATGCTTCGTGGGGAGCTCTATCGTGCCTTCACGCCGGACTTGATCGCTGCTCGTACACGCTGCAAATGGGCCTGTAATCGGTTCAACAAGTCGGACGAGGTGCCTCGTCGGCGTCTGGTTGAAATGTGGCGAGAGTGAGTGATGTGGTTAAGTGGAGGCTTGGGTTTACTTCAATTTAGGAGGACACCGTTTAGACTAACCCATCATATAGCATCACCGAAGACAAGACCCCTCTGCCACCAAAGCTGGATGATCCGGCTGCCGATGAAGCTCTCTTTGAGCAAGATCCCTGGGTTGAATCTCCTGTGCATATGGATTATGGGTTCAACGTCACGCTTGGAGCGGGCGTCTTCATCAACATTAATTGTATCTTTATCGACACCTGTCCCATCACGGTCGGGGCTCGCACATTGTTTGGCCCCAATGTCAGCTTGTTTTCTGGAACTCATCCGCTTGATCCTGCCCTGCGTAATGGCACTGAAGGACCTGAGACTGGCAAGCCAATTGTTATTGGGGAGGACTGCTGGCTTGGCGGGAACGTTACAGTACTTCCTGGCGTCACTATCGGCAGAGGTGTGACTATCGGAGCTGGCAGTGTAGTTACCAAGGTACATCAAATGCACTTCTCATGGCTTGACTGTACCCAATCATGCTGACTCTAGCTTCAGGATGTGCCCGCCTTTCATGTGGCTGCTGGGAACCCAGCTAGGATTATTCGTCGGATTGAGACAACTTTGAAAGAATGATTGCCCTTCTGTTCTTTATTTTATGGGATCTTAGAGAGGTATAGAACTTTCTAGTGCGTTGCATCTATGAGATGTTGAAGGGATCAAACTGCGTCCATATGTGACATAAAATGTCATGCACGCCTGGTCCAAACACCGATCTCAATAATGATCCATAAGTAACAGTTATCAGAGTTCTCTAACTTGGACATAATAAACCGAATGGGTAAGACGATAGACATTGAGTGTAATGTCAAGAATCCAGACCTCAATGCACAAGACCGCATAGGGGGCTGTGCACTTTATGGCGCTTAATGTTCGCCTTCTATGTAGCTGAAGTGATAGGGAAAGCAGTCATATTTGCTACAAACTTCCAAGGTTTTACAAGTATTTTTTTTTTAATTAATGAATTAATTCATGCTTCTAAACTGCAATAGACAGTGTGGAATGCAAGTACGCAATGGTAAATCCCTAGAAGCTTGGTTGTCTTTTTGTAAAGAAGAGATCACCCTGTTCGCTCATCTCCACGGAACAACGTCACTGGTCCTGGCGCGTCCCCAAAAAAAGCTGTCGACCGCTTTATCATTTCTGAGGACTTACCTCTACTTCTCTCCCACTCAATCCTTTTCTTGAACTCCCAACCTTCCTTTTCTTCAACCTTCATTCTTGTTTTACCCTCATTTCACGCGTCGTTTCAATTACCCTGGATCTACTACGCGCAGAAAATGACATGGCTGTACCCCCGCCAGATAGCTCTTACACCCCACCTCTCACTCCCTTGATTGAAGAATCCCAATTCATCAGTGACTCTATGGAGGATCTTGGTCCCCAGGCGACCCGGAAACGTCCGCGTCTCGACAGTGGAAGTCGCGTCAGTCCGACCTTGTCGTTGGATGGAACCTCGCGTACTGCCTCCATCGCACCTGCCTCGGACATGGATGAGGCCTCGGATTCTGGAAATCCAGCTAATAAAGTCACCATCAACACAAAATCCCCTCTACCTTCCATGGCTCCCGAACGACCTCCCTCCAATCCTGAGCTCTCCGGTAGCGATCTGGGGCTCCTACCAGATATCGACACAGCTCCCAATCCCATTTCAGTTTCCTCCTCACCCTCCTCACCTCGAAGTCCTGAGATTGAAGTTGCAGAACCGGAAGACATCAACCAAAACCAGAACACTTCAAACTGGAAGTCACTGGGCCAAGTAGTACGAGATCAGGATGAGCTCGAAGTGATAGAGATCCAAGACGTGGCTCCTCTTTCCGACTCTTTCCCCAAAGTACACACTGAGATGACACCCAAAGAGAACATGAAGGCACTTGGTGATATGCTTGAGCATGGTAATTAAATACTCCACCCAACGAGACTTGACCATATACTAATCTAGCGAACAGGACACCCACGGGAAGGCACGGCGCTTATTACGATACAACAATGGCTTCGCAATTGTGTGCGTAATCTTGATCGGCTCACAATCGAGGAATTTGCGGCAGATCTGGATTTCTGGGAATATTTGCCCTCCATCCTGGACCGTCTTTTGCGCAGACAACAAGATCTGCAACTAGACATGATTGAAGATCTCTCAGGTTTCTTCGAGCAATATCTTCTCGATTATGCTCATGTTGTCCTTCACTTTGTTCGCTTGGACACCACGCTTCTCAGTGCCGTTGATGAAGATAGCGAAGACGTTGAAATACCCCCAAGCACCTGTCGACGATATCTTCATAGCTTCCCTTGGATGTTCCATGGCGACCAAATCCCCTTTTTCCGAGTCTTGGAAAATCAGTTCCGCACTGGAAATCTCGATCTTTCTGCCCGGCTGAAAGCTCAGGTCTCAGCTCCTCCCTTTGACGCACCCGGCGTACTTATTAAATACGCTTCGAAATTGCTTGCATTGCTTCCGAAGTGTCCGCAAATCGTCACCATGCTCTCAGCGCCTTTGGTCAACATGCTCGCATTTCTTGAATGTGACACAGAGAGTAACCAGAAAGGTGGCTCTGATTCTCCCATTGATTTGCCTGGCGATGCAACTGACCTACAGCCTTTTTTTGAAACGGTTCGAGGAATTGACAAAGCATACCGGAAGTTTGTCGAAAGGAAGTCGCAATTGGCCACCAGTGAATTGAGCGATAGTCTTCTGAACCCAATCTTCCGCAGTTACCGTTTCCTTTGCTTCGGTTACTCGGAGTTTTTGCTCCAACTTGCTCAAGAATTGTCGATTCAAGTTCCCGAGGGGGCAGATGCAGAGCAGACCGCTTTGTGTGTTATCTGGACGTGGAAATTCGATACTCTGAAAAAGCAGATTATGGAAGGCCGAATGGAGCTTCGTGTCCATGGCGTGGAAATGATGCAATCAGATCTTGTCAGCATTTGGGGTCAAAATGTATCTGAGAACCGCGATGGGATCGAGTCCCCGTTTCTCAAATACTTGGTTGAATATCTTCGCGAAAATAGGATCCTCGATTATCTTGTGGGCATTGATTCACACCCACAGTTGATCAGCCGCAGCAGTAACATCTTCGGATTTCTGATTGTGACGGCGAAATACACCGACCATGACACGGACGTCATCTGGAAAACTGTTACGGAGAGCCAAGATGATCGCACCGTCTGTGAAGTCATGTCCATGCTCGCACGAACATTTGCCATGCATCAGTCCAGGTCTAAAGCGTTGCTCTATGTGTGCTCAAAACTGCTTGAGTATCCCTTGGATCGCTTCGACAGTCGCATAATCGATTTTTGTGAGCAGCTGGTGCCTCGTATGCGCGAACGACCCCAGGATGGCGACCGAGACTATCGCACCATGTCCGGTGATGAACATGTTGACTCTATCCCACTGAAGCTCTGCGTCCGCTTAATCCGTGAGAGCTCGGGGGCGAAGGACCTGCCTCTCGAACAAAAGGAGCTTATGCAGGGGTTCGGAACCGAGCAGCTGGGTCAGTTTATCAAGGCTGGACTTAACGAAACCGACATGGCAGAAACTTATGAGCGCTGCATTCAAGACATTGGAGAAATGAATGAATGCACCGCTGGTAGCATCCAAGTGTTGAACGCACTGGTGCCCCGTGATGATGCTCGAGAGCTTTGGAAACTTGCGACCGATTTCGATTTGACGCGTTTGGTTGTAATAGAACTTCACCATCTCGTCAGCGAAGACCACGCTAAGCTCAAAGATCCGTCTTTCAAGCACGGCTTCTCCTCGCGGGTGGAAATCCTGCGGCGTCTTATTGATCTGGCCCCAGATACCATCACACCTGAACTTGGGAACACACTCTGGAAGGAGATTTTCATGTCTGAGAACTTGGCCTCTGAGGAACGTCAAACGATTTGGAAAATGATGGTGGATCTCACCAACCGTACCGCCAAAGAAAACCCGTTTCTTGAACTGTGCATTCATGAGTATCTACCAGATGTGCGTCCCAAGGACTACTCGCATGAGGTATTATGGTTCGCTCAACAGTCGGTCCACTACGAGATTCGAATCAAGTCACCTCCCATTGTCGGGGAAAATGAAGTCATATCTATTCCTGGAATGGATCGAATCTGGAACTTCATCCTGACGGCACCTCCACAATCGATCGAAGGCGAGGCTATCAAGTTCGCTATAGAGAGCTATCTGGACCACAGTATTGTTCGCAGATCTCCCCGATCGGCTATTGACGCCACTCACATTGCTCTTGTCAATCGCTGCGTGGACCAACTGAAGTCCGCTGCTGTCGCGTTAAAATCACCTTGCAATGAAACATCTAGTGGAGGGATTTCTATGGATATTGACATCTCGAATGGTGGCATCGGAACCGATGAACTTGTGTTCAGCCGGTCTCTCCATTTCCTTCGTCAGTTGCTCCATGGATTGCGAGCTCGGCCACAGTATAGCTCCCCTCGTGGCTCTCCGCCTACTATCCCGGAACGTCCCCTGAAAGGCGAGCCAATTGAATTTCGATATCAATGTTTTAATGGCGCTCTCATGTCTACAATCTGTTCAAAACGCATTGGTGGTCTCTCTACGGCTGCCGAGCTTGTGGAAATGCTTGTGCAGCTGAGTCGATTCTCCAAGTTTACTACCATCCTCGGTGGGCAGAAGATCGAGTTGCTGCAAGATCCTGAGGCCCTTGTGAAAAACCTGAAGCTCTCTTCAGGTTTGTTAATTATCCGAAAGGCCCCTGATGCTCATGAAATCACATGGGCTGGGAGACGGCAGTCTCTAACAGCAGTAGACAGCGAAGTGCTGAAGCACTTCGACGAGCTGTATGATATGCTTGACCTCAAGGGTGACTTGGCTCGTCAGGTATAACCCCTTTAGCTCTTCTCTTTTAGCTAAATGCCGACACTGACATTTTGCAGATCATTGACTTCCTGGTTGCCTTCCCGCCTCAAGTGAGGGCCCTCGAACTTGTTCGATCCAACAGCAACACCGAGAAAGACATGTTCCCGTTGCGAAGACCTTTCAAGGCCTTGTACTCCTTGAATACACTGTCAATGTGTCTCCACGAGGAGGCTGCAGAGGTGAGTTGGTTGCTTTTGATTTAAATAACATCGCGCTAACTATCTTTACAGATATCCCCAGACCAAGCCTTTGTGTCTCATAGCAATCGGGTTCTGGTTGCGTTTCTCACGTCAGATGAACTGTTCACCTCTCTCTCCGGCAACTCGATAACCAGTGTGCTCGCTACTAGGGCCATCGAATGTCTTCTGCTGGCTATATCTGGTACGTTGACTTTTGGTCATGGTTTAGTCATTGGGCCTCAACTGATTGTGATCTAGTCTATCGCCCGACTGATGATGATTCCGTTCTCATTGCTGATCCAGTATCTTTGGTCCGACGTGTTCTTGACCTGCTTGAAATTGGCCGCACCGGTCCCACAGATCCCCCTGCTGGTACATGCGCTCAAAGTTTGATATGCAGTTCATTTGCGCTCCTAGTCGAGGGTTCAATGCGCGACCTTCATGTCTGGAATGCTGTTAAGCAGCACGCGCAATTTGATAGCTTGATCCTATCTCTACTCCTGAAAGAAATTCGAAAGCCTATCCGGACTGACATTCTGGAACGCTTGAAAATTATCTGCGGCCCACTGAAACCGTTTAAACCGTCGGAAAAAAAGCCTGATACAGAATCTCCTGCCGCGGAAAACTTCAACCGGGTTGACATGCTTGCCACTCTTTGGTCTTCATTTCTACAAGTGATCCCCAAGACCGTTGAATATGTTCCACAGTCGGAAGAGTTCTTCAACGCTGCTCTATGGATATTCCGCACTGTGGCACAGAAATCACCTCGGGACTTGATCTTCAACGAGTATCTTCGACAATGGAGTGCCGTTATGCTCACTCATCAAACAGAAGAGGTACATTAATCCCCAAAAGACAGATAAATGACGTTTCACTGATGATATTTAGTTTGTTGGACGTGAGCCGGCAGATAACTTGATCATCGGGTTTTCTACTTTGCTAGAAAGGTGTCTGGAATTGGCCAACGCCGCGGGCGTCACTTTGAACACTTTGTATGTGCCACTTCTCCGTCTGATCAAGTCTGCAGACATGTCTAACTAACGTATAGGAACATCGCCGAGGAAATTTTTAACCAGTACCTGTTCCCAGATTTCTCTCCAGATACGGTGGAACATGCAGTTCCTCAAGTTCCAGTCATGCACAGCTACACCCGCTCGAGCCTTTACAATGTCGTGAACTTGCTGTGCAAGCAGAGCGATGCGACTTATTGTCAAGTTTTGGAGCTCCTCAACACAAATGTTCCACGAGGTTCGTCTCACAGATTTTTGCCTGCTGCATTTTATGCTTACATTTAACTAACCGCAACCCTAGACTCCCCTTATCTGGAGTATGCCTATAACAGGTCGCTAATGCTCCGGTCCCCGGAAGGCTATGCGGGCCTCAAGAATCTCTCGAACACATGTTACCTCAACTCCCTCATGACCCAGCTTTTCATGAACATTGAGTTCCGAGACTTCATTCTTAATATCCCCATTGCTGATCGGATATCTCAAAAGCTGCTTTATGAAACACAGCGGCTGTTCACATGGATGCAGGAGACATGGAGCAGAAGCATTGAACCGTCTGACTTTGTGAAAAGCATACTCACATACGACAACGAGGAGATTGATGTGACCATCCAGATGGACGTTGATGAGTTCTACAACCTTCTCTTTGACCGCTGGGAGGCTCAGGTTCTCGATTCCGAAAAGAAGGAGAAATTCCGGTCTTTCTATGGAGGGCAGCTTGTTCAGCAAATCAAGTCAATGGAATGCGATCATATCTCGGAAAGACTTGAGCCGTTCTCTGCAATTCAGTGTGAGATTAAGGGGAAGGCGACTCTTGAAGATAGTTTGCGGGCCTATGTGGCAGGAGAGGTAATGCAGGGAGGTGAGTGTTGCTGCGCCCCTAAAGGAGATCTAATTCTAACGAGCATTTAGATAATAAATACTCTTGCACCTCTTGTGGCCGACATGTGGATGCTGTGAAGCGGTGAGGTTTAAAGATGTAGTTGCATAAACCGATTTTCTAATTCCTTTTTAGTGCCTGTCTGAAAGATGTCCCTGACAATTTGATCTTCCACCTGAAGCGGTTTGACTTCGACATGGTGCATATGCTGAGAAGCAAGATTAACGACGAGTTCCAATTTCCTCACCACATCGACATGACTCCTTTCACAGTCGAGCATCTCTCTGACCCGGAGCAGACAATTGCACCGGACAAATTTGAATTGGTTGGGGTTCTTGTGCACACTGGCACAGCTGAATCGGGTCATTACTACTCATACACCCTTGAACGTCCCTCGTCTAGCGGCGAAGCAAATTGGGTCGAGTTCAACGACTCCGATGTCGGTAAATTTGATCCTAGCACAATCGCAGCTCAATGCTTTGGCGGCCCGAGTGAGACGATGCAGTACATGAATGGAGCTCCTAAGAATAAGGTGTGGAATGCGTACATGCTGTTCTACCAACGTGTCTCCACGATCGAGAAGTCCAAAGAAATCTTCAAGCCAACGAAGCCCAACCTCCCTATACACCTCCCGGTGTCAATCTCGACCCATAACTACATTGCTATGGACAACGAAATGCTTATCCGGATTTACTGTCTCCTAGACCCACAATACGCATATTTCGTGGGCAAATTGCTTCAGAGGTGGCCGTACATGGCAACGGAAAATGTCAACAAGGCTAGAGCGGAATCGTTGGCCATCAATGTCGGAATGGACACCATTGAGCAATTGGTCACGCGTACCAAGTATTTCCAAGGACACCAGGAGGTTTACGGCGAACTCGTCGACATGATCAACAAAAGCCCCAATGCGGCCCAATCGGCGCTTGAGTGGGTCATTAATCGGCCAACGTCAATGTACAATCTTATGATCAAGCCGCAGAATTCAGATATCCGAAACAAGGGAATTCTGTTGATCAACCATGCCCTAAAACACCTCCACTTGATGTCGAAAAGTCAGGATCTTGATGAAGATGAACGGATTTCATGGCGCGATCGATTTGATGAAGCCATTCAGCAGATTGTGCCCATGGTGACAGGTCTCTGGACCGAAGTTCAATGCGTTCTTCGAGTTTGGGATGACTACTTTGGATTTTTGTTGAAGCTTTGCACATATGGCCCAGAGATCATCCAGGTTCTACTCGATCACGGTCATTTTGCTGCCTGCATGGAGATTATCTGGATTGATGAAGAGGATAGGAAGAAATTGCGGATCCGCTATCTCAATTACGTGCGCCTCTTGAACAAAGGACGTCAGTTCAACCATCTGATTTTACTGTCATTGTGCTTGGTCTTTTTCAAACACGTTGACCTTTCGCTCCGCCCAACCCCCATTGGCGCAAAACGACGGTATTTGAATGGCAAATTCTCAACCACCGTCAGAGAAATGGAGCTCATCAAGCCCACCGAAGATGATGGATCCTTGTCTATTGTGTTGAAGCTACTGAGGCATGAGGTTCTCGCGAGGAGCCAGACTACCCGCGCGATCATTGGAGTTCTGTTAGACGGAGAGCCTGGCGTTGGCTTGCTGGATTCGATTCAACTGACACTGGAGAATGGGGCCAGACTTGAACCCGCCGTCCAATGCACACCTTTCCTGGAAGCAGCGACAACTTTCTGCCAGCGTTGTCCGGATAAGGGGCGAGTCATTGGCATGGTAGACTTCATTGCCAAGGGGATCGACAGCATTGACAACAGCGGTGGCCAGGAGCACATGGATTTCTTCATGTGTCTTTGCCGCGTTACCAACGAGCGGTTGAACATGGGCTCTGCTGATTTTACCGAGCTCGTTTTTGACAATATCCCGGTCTGGGCTCCGACTCTGCTCATTGACAAGGACGAGATCATCCGTCACAACATGCAAAAGATCATCGACGAGACGGTTATTAACGATAATATCGTGGAGGGCAACACAGATGACTCCGAACTGAATGGCGACTGGCGGACCACCATCACACAAGAGCGGCGCCATAAAATTTGTCGCCGGCTGCCGATCGCCTGCATTGAGCGACTTAAGTCCGCATTCCTGAGCGATCAGATCAGTCATATTGATGCCAGACTGCTCGAGAATATTACCCCCGTGATCAACTATTGTCTGGCTACTTTCTATGACGACTCTGAGACGGACCAGCAAGAAGTTCAACAGGCCAATGGTATGCTTGAGTATACACTTTGAGTTCTTGCAACCCTACTAACACATTTCCTCCAGAACTCCTCGCTCTCCTCAAGTCGATGTCGCTCGAAGAAGTCCCCGATTACCCACCTTCCGGTATGCTTCAATCTTTATCCCTCGTCAATGGCCGTGGACCATCATCTAACCCGATCCCCCTAGAATCGGACGTGGCCTCAGTCGAGGAATGGGACGCAAATTCGGTGATCGCAAGTGATTCCGAAATGGGTGTCGCGGGATCTCCTTAGACACTGACTGTTCCCGCTAAAATGTGCTTTTTGTTTTGTTTCTTTTCCACGCGTTCTTGCGATGTCAACGGATTCAACGAGCACGAAATGTGCATGTGATTAAAGGCAAATTTTCAAACCGGATTTTACGAATTCTTGCTGTTGTTGTTTTTATTTCCCTTACGATGATTGTGATGGTTCCTGGCGTTTTCTTCTGCTCATGACGAGCCGAAGTAGGATTTATTTCTATGAAGGGTGACTTTGGACGGATAGGTCATCTACATGCATTTCGCAAGCCTATTTCCGAGCATTGAAATAATAGAGATTCTGGTCTCGAGACCTCTAGTCTTTGATAGAATTGCACCCAACAAAGTTCGTAGCGCATAATTGTGCATTTCGTTCAATGATGTAGCAACACGTATATTTGTTTTGTTTGCTTAACCCTCTGCCTCTCCGCCAGCTGGAGCGTCGCCCTCATCTTCTGATTCAATTTCCACAGCAGCAAGCGCATCATGTTGGGCCCGAGGAGCGCCGCGAGTTTTGTTACCAGCTTTGGGGCTGCTGGGGTCGGTAGCGGTTGGGGCAGTTGCGAGCTTGGCCGCTGGAATGCCACCAGAAGTAACATAGAGGAAGTAACCCGCGGGGAAGTGATCAATATGGTTGAAGAAAGAACCAAAGCTGTGGTCAAAGTCAGTATTTCTGTCTCAAAGCGAATTCACACGGATTGATTGGAATAATATCATACCCAGCACTTTGCTCCTCCTCCCGGAAAATTCGATCATAGATCTCCCGCTGCTTGAACTCATTCATCTCTGCTTCAAATTTCTGGAAATTGATCGGCTGACGGTCAAGACCCTGTGCCTTGTTGTTGTAAGCGTCGAAGATAGGCCGCTCAAGCAAGAGACCCAAGCCAGGCGCTTTGGGAATAGCAATGCGCTCAGGGCCATATGTCTCAGTGATCCGATCAGGGTGGCAGCCCGAGCGGACAACCATCGTAGCCATGGCGACCATCTTGCGAATCTGGTGCATCATGAAACTCTGACCGTGAACCTTCAGGCTGAGCCATTCTGTGCCGTCGATGATGATCGGCGTGGTGTTCACCTTGAATGACTTGATGTGTCGTTTCGCCGAGGGGTCCTTGTACGTCTTCTGGATCGTGTAGTTGTGGAAGTTCCTTGTGCCTTCGTAGCGGTCCAGACATTCTTGCAGGCGCGCGATGCGTGAAGCAGGCGCGCGATAGGCTCGCTTCGCAGTTAGGTATGCTGCTTTGATAGACTTGATGGCGTCGGTGATGGCCTTTTGGCGGGGGTCCATTACAAACGGTTTTTGGGCCTCTCCGTCGGCTGGATGTTCAGTCACGGGCTGTTCGCTGGTCTCCTGCTGCACGGGTTCCTCGGCTGGCGCAGAGGTGAACACCCCCTTCTCTTCTGAGGGTTGGAGTGCATCGCGGGACTCGTCCTGGTAGAGAGACTTTTCGACGATGCTACGTATGTGTTCCGGCAGGGTTTCTAAGATCGGCTTAATGTACTTTTCGTCAACGTCTTCCCAATAGCTTGCAACCTCTTCCTGTCGAGCTGTGACGGCATCCAACTCGCCTGCCTTGTCGGCGAGCTCGATGATCTTCTTTCCAAGGTAGGTGCTTGGGTGCGGCGGTAGGAGACAGTGGCTTGGCATCAAATATTCGTAAACTCGGGAATCGCACATCTGGTAGCAGCTGAAACTCTTGCTAGTCACTTCGTAGCCCCAAACACGGATTTGGGGGCTGAGCTCGGCGTTGATTTTCTGGATAATATCCTCATCTTCGACAATCATCTTCAGCGACACAACATTGCCAGCTGCGTGAACCCCCTTATCTGTGCGGGCACAACGGACGAACGAGGATTTCTTGGGATCCGCCGCATTCGCTTTGGAAACTGCGCCAACGTTGACGAGGGCCGTGAATAGATCACCTTCAATGGTGCGTTGCTGCTCGTTCCTATGTCATACCTTGTTAGCATAAGGAACTTTTCATACGCTGAGCAAGGAAATGCCTACAACTGCATCCCGGAGTATCCAGTCCCCGAATATCCCATCAGAAGCGCAACTTTCTTTTTGGGTCGGCGCTCTTCGCTGTCGATCTCCTCCTTTGAGAATTGGGTCGCGTAGATGGGCAAGTTGACCTCTTCGCCATTCTCAATCTTGCGACGCTTGGCTTCTGCCTTGTCTTCATGACGCTGACGCTTATCTATCGCTTGGCGACTTTATTAGTTAGCCGACGAAGAACGGGAGGTTGCGATTGATGCGACATACCTCCATTCCGCTCGCCCCATATCGCGGTTCTTACGCCTTCCACCACCTCCGCCTCCTGCTCCTTTGTTGTCGGCCATTGTATCCGTTGGAAGACCTCTGATAGATCTGTATGAGGTGCAGACGGGTCACGCCAGAAAGAACGGTAAAATTCACGATTAAGAGCTTCGTTTCCGAAGTTTTGTGGAAGCGATCGAATGAGAATTGAGCTTCTGGTAGCAGTTAGGATCCCAAAAAGGTTCCGCTGGCGAATTATCGAGGTACGCATGAAACCAATGCTTCGGGGAAATTTGCCCTTTTGACTCCGCGCGGTTCATCTTTTCCATGATCTCGGTACTAGTCCTAGAGTGGACTAGCGTGCAAATAAATCAGACTAGCCGTATTTGGTACAACTTTGCCTGAGGAATCAAAAATTGCATGTGACGTGAAGCTCTGGGCTTTGAACCAACACTCATCGTTCACTCACTAGCTCAGCGCTGCCTGCCGCTCAAGCGCAACTCTCACTTCCGTCGTGGAACCCTCACTCCTTTCGCTGCTTTTGATTGAAGCATGCTTGTCTGGTCCAATATCTGAATCCTGCGATTTCTCGCCTTGCGCTTCAGTGGAATTCTCTTTCGGCCTTTTCCCTCCCCGACTACCAAATTTTGCTCCGGGGCTTCTGCAACCATGGATCTTTCAAAGACGCTTATTCGAACTGTGGCGCGTGCCTTTTACGAGACCCGGCACATCTTGATTGTCGATGCGCTCTTCCTACATTCAGTGTATGATGAGAGTTGATCTCTGTCGAATGGCCACTTTGCTGACCAGCTACAGTCTTCACGCTGAAGATCTTGCCTTTTTGATGGGAATGCAACAGAAAGATCTTCGCAAGCTTTGCGCAAAGCTTCGAGAGGATCGCTTGATCGGAGTGTACGTGACTTCTCCCTAATTTGATCTACACCTAAGGGTTGAAAACACAAAGCTGATCTAATTCTCTGTCGACTATAGGAGCACACGCGCTGAGATACGTGATGGGTCTACTCGCCCAGTCAATCGCGAATACTATTACATCCCCTTACACCCGGTTGTCGATGCGATCAAATTCAAAGTGTCGAAATTGACAGCCATCATCAAAGCGCAGTACACACCGAGTGAAGAGCGCATGGAATACATTTGTGTCCGATGCAAATCTGAGTGGACCGAACTGGATGTGCTGAGTCTAGTTGGAGACGAAGGATTCGAATGTCAAAATTGCGGTGCCATCCTGGAACGAACGGAGGATGTCAAGGGCGTGGAAGGGATGGACCGTACGGGCCACGAGAAAAACAGCAAGCTTATGGCACAGCTAGACAACATGCTCAAACTGCTCAAGCAGATTGACTCGGTGGAAATCCCGCCAAATGACTTTGAAACAGCGTGGGATCACAAGGTTGAGGTTATCCGGAACCAGAACACACACCCAGTCCGTGCAGCGATTGCTGTTCCACCCAAGACCCAGGATATCACCCGTCCGAATGCCAAGACAGATGCCGCTGCACTGGAGATCTCTCTGACCTCAAGTGAAGAGAAGAGTGCCGCCGAGCAGGCCGATGAGGCCGCTCGTAAAGCAGCACTCGAAAAGCAAAACGCACTTCCAGTTTGGCACACACATTCTACGGTCAATGCAGCCCAGATTGGCAGTGCTCAGATCAAGACCGAGGTGGGTACCTTAGTCAAGCCTGAGCTTGCGGATGAGGACCAAAAGCCCAGCGTGGATGCCTTGGACGACAAAGTTGCCGCCTACTACGCTGAGATGGAGCGGGAGAAGGTCCTGCAGGCTCAAGCAGATGCCAGCAGTGCTGACGATGACTCAGATGAGGAAGATTTTGAGGACGTGGAGGGTATCTCCGGTCCAAGCGGACCAGGTACGCCTGCGATGACTGACGGCGTTACAAGTGTCCCTACCACATCTTCTGGGGTCACTGGCATCAAGCGTGAACTCGAGCCGGCCTCCAGTGTCCCCGCATCATCCGTTGGGACTCCGTCTACCCCTACCGATGACGGACCTGCGGCGAAGAAGATCAAGGTTGAGCTTGATATGAAGCCTGAGCCTGCTGCCAAAATTGAGGCCGAGGTCAAGAAGGAAGCCGAGGAGTCTGATGAGGACGATGAAGAATTTGAGGATGTATAATGAAACCATTAACAAAAGCCAACATTGGCGCTGGCGCCGAATAATCACAACAGAACGGGAAGCCCTGGAAGCTTGTAAACTGAAATCGCGCATAGCCATAGAATTACATGTTACGGAATCTTCAAGCAAATCAATCCACGAACGTCACGTTTTACAAACTAAGGACACTAGATTTTGGCCTTCATAGAATCCTGATAGTATTGTTCGATGATTTGTCGTGCCTTCTCATCACTCCCAGCAATTTGGTTCATCAAAAAGAAGACGTCTTCCGGTTGACTTCGCAACTGCTCTGGGAAGTTGAGCTCATTGAATAGTTGCAGCTCTTTGCAACTTTCGATCGAGGGGTGTCGGCTAAGAGCGACAGTCTTGTCCTCGTGAAATTCGAATGAAGACGCCATGATTACAAAGAACCGAAACAGAGGATGCTGCTCCTCAGACTTCCAGTCCAGGTTCTTGCAATCCAAGTCAAGGGTTCCCGGCATGCGACGAAGCGAAACCGCTGACTCCCACCACTTGATGAATAGTTCTCGCCTTCGCTTCCCGCTGGCTGCATGAACACAACCCTTGGTCCCCATAGCCAAATGGGCGAGCAAACGATCAGCAACCACGTCGACCGGAACCACGTCAGTAAACACTTGAGAAATTTGGCCCACTGATTTCGTTGCCAGAGTAGCCCTGCCACTGGGAAGCAATGCAATCAAAGCCGCAAGTCGAGTCATCGGGCTCGATGATGGCACGCTGTACCCGCGAAAAGGGAAATTTTGGGCCTGTCCAACGACAGAAGGTCGCAAAATAAGCAACTTGTCTTTGACACCGCTCTGAGTGAACCGATGGAGAAGAAGTCGCTCTGTCAAGTTCTTTGCGTATGAGTAGGCCCATGGGAAACTATGGGCTTCATACGCATCGCTAGAGCCCGTCTCTTTGACCTGTGCCCACTCGTTCAGGACATCCAGATGATGGTTGGGATTGGGATCATAGATGTCTTCCTTGATCTCGACTTCGACTCCCTCGCTTGTGGCAAATAGGTAGGCATTGGAGTATGCGGTCGAGACATACACGAATCGATCCAAACTCGGGCAGGTCAGAGCAATGTCTGCCATTCTTTCACTAGCGCCTGTAATCACTTCCGATAGTCCACTGAGGGCCCTGGCAAGGTTTATAGAGGAGGCCGAGTGAATGATAACGTTGACCTCTCGTCTCAGTGTGCTTAATTCGTCCGGGGAAATCCCGAGATTGGGGGAGAGGATATCACCATCCATGACGATGATGCGATTGGTGCTGAAGAGCTTTTCGACTATTGCCGATGATAGTGGTGCTGTCCATTTTGATTGAAGTTTCCTATCATTTGAGTTGTCAGTCAGATTTCTCTCTCGGCATCCGTCCCAGGGTGAACTCACCCTATCCCCCCTCTGCACAGCATGTATATCTGACGCACAGATGTTTGCGTGAGCAACCGATATACGATAGCCGTCCCCAGGAAGCCTGTTCCTCCCGTGATAAAGATGGTCTTGTCGTTATAGTAATTCCACATTTTGTAGCGAGAATGAGATGAAATCAGATGTTGCACACAAGCTGATAGATGACACTCGGTTATTTTATCTCTACATGTTGACCTTGGAAAATCTCACAACACACCACCCTGTTCTCGTTCAAGATCGATGGTTGCAACCCCTCGCATTCTGATCTCCTCGATGTGCCACGTCATGACTACATCTGTAGAGGGATCGACCGATGGTGTAGAGCATCTACCAATCAGAATATCCCCTCTTGACTTTCCCAAGGAGGGTTCCTCGATCTGCAGCCATAATGAATCCAACATAGAGGCTTGGTCTTTGAATCAAGGCTGATCGTGGAAGATTTCCGATCGAAGTCATCTCTTTCATTCACCAAGAAGAAAGTCCCGTGCAACCCTTTAATCTAATGTCCGTCGATTCATTGGCACCGGCCCTACCGTCAGTCTTATCTGCATCATGCCATACGAGTTAGGGCTACTCAGGAGTCATGTCATCTGAGGAATACACCCACTTACCAATCGACAGTCTCCCACACTGCTTTTATTTCAGCTCAGCTTAGCAGGTGAATCGAATCAATTCGTCCACGGCAGAAATCTACGGATTTTGTATCGGCGAACATGGGGTTACACCGTACTTATGTGCCAGTCAACGTACATGACTGATTGGAGGGTTCTTTGCGTCAGATAAGGCACTGTGCAAAACAGAGCCCTTCGGTGCAATGCAGATCTATCTGACAAATAGGATCTAAGATCAACAGACATGCAGAGTACTCACGGGATTTTTTGTTTTTGGCGAATCTGGACTGACTGCAGCGTAAAGAAGCCATCCAGCTGCGATCTGTAGCAACTCTGGCCCTGGAGATTGCATCCTCTCTACAGCCGCATCGGACCGCTTCAGGATGGCTTGGCTAATAGTGAGATTATCAAGTCACGACTTAGACGATTAGAGTCATCACGATGCTTTAGGCCAAGTAGTCGGGGAGATTTTCACTGGAGCTCGGAGTTTCTTATGTTTAGCTCGAACTACAAATTGAAAGTCCTCCCTGGCCATCATTTGGCTTCGCTGGCATAGAAAAAGTCTCGATATAACACGATGGCGACTACACTATTCTGCCTATTTTTCTTGGCAGTTGCTGGTCTTTATGGCTTGGGCCGAGTTGCATACAATATCTTCTTCCATCCACTGCGAAACTTCGCTGGGCCTTGTATGGCTGGGGCTACATCGAGTTGGAAAGCATACAAGGAAGTTATCAAGCAAGAGTCGGCGGTACATGAGCTCTTTCATCTACATAAGAAATATGGTATGGTGAGATTGGGAACAATCAGTCAATTTCTTTAACGTACCCAATAGGTGATATTGTTCGCGTTGCCCCGAACGAGGTGAGCTGTTCGAAACACGACAGTCCATATTTTCCCTCTTCTGGGTCATAGGGCTCAAATCAGTCTAATACATACCTGCAACAGCTCCATTTTGGAAGCCCCGGTGCGTTCCACGATATATACCATAGCAGCAAAAGGTGGGACAAGGACTCGGGTCTTTACCGAACCCCTGGGGTTTCATCTGGGTCATTCACATTCTTGAAGTATGCTCAGGCAAAAGAACGACGGGAGGTGATTCTTCCCATTTTCTCCAAGAAAGCCATTCATAGTCTTGAGCATCTCATCTGGCGAAATGTGCGTAGTGTGATTGCGTTCTTTCTTTTCGCTCCCAAGCTCTCTGAACGATCGCTAAATCCTCGGCTCCCAGGCCAATCGCCTGGCATCTTCGATCACCAAAACCAATGCGACGAAAAGCTCCATCGACCTCTTGTATGCCTTCCGATCCTACACCCTTGACACCATTATGTGCGTCACGTTTGGAAACTGCATAAATGCCCTCGATGCGCCGGGTTTCAGCGACCCTCTGATTCTAGCCATGGACGCCAGCCTTCGGATGTTGCCCCTGCTGAAAAACTTCCCCCTGATCCGAGACCTCATCTTCGCTGTGCCTCCAGCCATGATCATGCGCCTCGTTCCCAATGCCAAGAGACTAGCTCCGCGCCTGTACCAAGTCCGCGATCTCGTCCAGCAACAGCTTAAAGTCGTCCTCAACTGCCCTGCAAAGCTCGACGCTGTGCCTCACGAGACCCTCTTCCACCGGATGCTCGACCCGGAATCATACAAGAGTAAGAAAGTCCTGAATCTAACCGAGCTGCACGACGAAGGCTTCACACTCATCTTTGCGGGGGCCAACACTGTAGCCGATACGCTGCTGATGGGCCACTGGCACGCAATGCAGAACCGGAACCTTCTAACCCAACTGCGAACCGAGCTCCTCACCGTCTGGCCCGACGTCAACATACAGCCTTCCCTAACAGATCTTGAGACCCTACCCCTCCTCACAGCAACCCTCAAAGAATCCCTTCGCTTTATTCCATCCGGGGTATCCCTAACGCGCGTCGTGCCACCAGGAGGCGCCGTGATAGCAGGACGGCCAATTCCCGGGGGGACGGTGGTGGGGATGGCTATTTTGCACGTGCACCAGAGCGTGGAAGTATGGGGGAAGGATGCACTGGTGTTTCGACCGGAACGGTGGCTGGAGAGCGAGCAAGGGAATGATCGGAACGGGACGAGTGAATTGGACCATTGGCTCGTTCCATTCAGTCGGGGGCCGCGTATGTGCTTTGGTATGAACTTGGCCTGGGCAGAGATGTATATCGCTTTCGCCACCATGATTCGCCACTTTGATTTGACTATTGACGGCACGACGGACGAAGATATGCAATGGCGGGAGTGCATCGCGGCTTACTATCCTCATAGGCACTTGCATGCGTGGTGCCGGCCAGTTGAGACTGACAAGATGAAGGAACGAGGCGGTATTTATTAAGATGTCCTTAGACAAATAGCAGTCGTGATTGGAGGGAATTGGGGGATGGAGTCGGAGAGATAGCTATCAGTGCACACAGTATTGAAGATGAATACTATTCTCCTTGCACAAAGATTTGTACAGGACATACACGCTGATCGAGAGGAACCAACCCTCGAACTTGGGGTGAGATGTGAAAATCTGGGGATTTTTGTGATGACGGGGGCCATGTTGCGTATGGATCTCCTAGTGATTGTTGAGTCGAGTTCAACTCCAGCCGAGTCACCAAAGGCTTCTACCAGCTCTCTCATGGGATTCTCCATACATCCTTCGAGCACTTCATCCAGCACTCCATCCAGCGTACTCGTAGTGATATCCTCGTCTAGTCTATCGCCTTCAAGTGTCATGTCTTCGACAAAATAGTCGTTCTCATCAGTGGAAGGATCATCTCAATCAACTCTAGCACCTGATTTCTCCACCATAGGCCCTACGAGACGGCCATGGCCTTCTGGTTCGAGGATTCCAATTTCCCATGCATCATCCTCGGTCTCCCCACCGAAGCAATCATCGAATGGTCTACCTTTGTTGATTCCCAGCCTATCTAGCGGAGATCCCGACTCGACAGGACAATCTTTGCCTTTGAACTCGGGAACCCCAATCTCCCAGACGGTCATTTCTTCATCGCCAGAACCACAATATACCTAGTGGCCTCTGCTGAGCAAACTTCCGGTGCAGACAACGTCGATGCTCCGACCTCGAGTCTTTCACTCATGCCCGTTTTAAACGGAAGCAGCAAACTCACAGAAACCAGAACCGCTATTCTGATGGAACCGACAACGTCTTCATCAAAGCCGACCTCTGTCTACGCTGATTCTACTTCATTCGAGGTTGCAGACTCCACTTCCACCGCATCGAGAGCTTTCCCTTCAGGATTATCTATCGATGTCGATGTTTCGGCTGAGGCTGCAAAGTCCCTGTCCTCCGAAGCAGTCGGTAACTCCGGTTCTGCTTTACAGACCGCAAGCGCGGTCATTCAGACAGGCGCTAGCAACTCTATACACTCTTTCTCCGCTCTCAGTCCAACAGCTGTTAGCAGCAGTACTCTTACTTTCTGTCGAAATGAGAGGTATCACCTATTCCAAAGTCCCGGGTGTTTCAATGGTGCAATGACTGAGACATGTGCAAATTGACCCGACAACACCCGGATTACCATGTTGATGTATCACACACAAATTGGATGCAACGTTGAGTCGGCCTTGTCCGCACAGATTGTTAAAAGGCGCGGATCTTGTCATTTTTGGTTAGAGAACTCGGAGAATTTTTCCATGCCACATCTATTGGTAGTCCATACATTGTTGAAACCATTGATCTCTGTCACTTTCCAGAAGATCTTTGCTGCTATGTCAACGGTATCCACCCAGGTAAATCGTGAGGCTACCGCCGCACCTAGGGTCTTGTACACTGGTTCTACGTCAGTTCTTAGCTCCGAGTGGTTAAGGGTGATTGGGGGTGGTCTCTTTCTTGTTTTTGTTCGTTTAGGTTGTCCCTAGAATACGGAACGCCGTAGTAATGAGGGACTTTTTCTGAACAGATGAGGCGGGTTTGATCTTATAGATGCTAATCGTGAATTGATTTAAACACCCCCCTCTACCTCCTATAACTGGAAAGAAGCTTCAAAGACTGGTGGGAAAATCCGTTATTTGGTTGCAAGTCGCTACAATCCACTGCTTCACAGTGTGGTCGTCACTAACCGGTTCTGCCCTGATGAGTGGATTGAGAAATCGATAAACATTCGATTGGCGAACCCTTTGCTAATGGAAAACTGATTATATGACCCATAGGGAGAGATGTAAAGGCATTGACAAATACCGCTTCAATGCAATGATTCACTCCTCAATCTTCCTCCGAAAGATAGAGATGCCAAGATGTACCTGAAACCGCGAAATCACAACTGCATGACAACTCGGTTCATACAGTAACTCGGTTCGCCTTCAAATACTCATAGTCCGACATGGAATCTCGAGTAGCCTTCTCCAGCAGCTCGGCAACCTCATCTCCAAACTCGACGCGCCACTTGGCAACCTCCGCATCCACGTCAACCGATAACGGAGCTTTGTCCTTGACAACACCTGTCGACTCCGCCAAAGTCGAAAACATGATCGAAGAAGCATTCCGATGCAACGTCAGCTCCGCAGGCTCACCATAATCTGCACTCTCAGGCGTCTCGTTCACAGACTTCTCGGAGCTATTCCACTCAAACTGCATCGAAGCAGTGTTTAGGCCAGTCTTTTCACAGAACTTAACCACAGCACCGGGATGATGGATAATATCATTGGCATCGACGACCAAAGGCGTGACAGGCTCATCCGGTTGCTCAAGACACCAGTCAAACAACTTCCGGGTCCATTCCAAACTCATATTCGTGAACGACATTCCCTTAATATCGTCGTCGTCGATGAAACCGGATTGAGACAACTTCTGCATAGCACGGTACATCGATGGATAAGCTAGGGCCGGGTGACGGATGATGAATGCTATCTGCCAGGTGCGCAGGTATTCATCCGGCAAGACGGTTTTGTTATTGGCAGAGAATGTCTGCGAGGGACCATATTGATCCGGCATGGATACGCGAAACTCTTCCAGTTGTTCGGGCGAGGGCATTGGGGCGCTGCTACTAGGGCTGGTGAAGAAGCCCGGATTGAGGAACCAGAAGGCGTGCTCTTTCGCGAACATAATCTTGTTCTCGGAGCGGGCTCGGGTCGAGTAGTCTTCTAGATTGTTGAAGCACCGTTGAATGATGGCCTTTGTCTCGCTCCTTGCGTCTGTTGTCCATTCGTCTAGTGGCTTGTCGACGCGACCGTCCCTGCTGACCGTCATAAAGGCATCGTAGAAGAAATATCCGCCCTTTTGGCTCGTGAGGACGTTGGGTTGGTTGTGGATGTTGAGGATCTTCAAGAAAAGATTCGAGGCGGTGCGAGGTATACTGACGAGAAGGACTCGGTGTGGTTTGCCGTTGTTCTCCGGTACCTCGGTAGCGATAGCCATGTTGATGGATGAGCGTGATACGTATAGAGTGTGGTGAATGGGTAATTAAGCTTAACTCACGACGATGCAATGAGCGTGAGAAGAGAAGGCTACATTCAGGAGTCGGATGGCGTGATCTCAGTTAAATAGATTCGAGAGCAAACAGTCAGGCTCTCTTCCAAGCCTCTTTGGTCCAACTATTCCTTTCCGCCTCCTTCTGCATTCAAGTGGGTCGAATTCTGGCATCCGTATGGGTGGTTGAAATATGGACGGGGGGCATACGCGCATGGGAAGTCAGACTCGGTATTCTTGGCCCCGATTGGTGTTGGTCGGTGTGTACTAACTCCGAAGAGGGGTCAATGGTGAAGTTCTTCATTGGACTACATTCTCAGGAAGCAAGGGTACGGATGCATGTTTCAGCCCTCGGCCTTTGCATCGGAGGATATGATCCGTGATCACCAAGCAAGACAGGTCCAGCTCCTCCCTCATTAATAACTTGAGGGTCTTTTTTACTCTGCACCAAGAGTTTGGTGCCGGTTTAGAGCAGACAACATCTCCAGAATTGATCCGTCAAGCGTCAGTTCTCTTGAGCATCGTCGACTAAACATTGTAGCCGAGACCAGAAGTTCCCATTGGCGGCTAATCTGGACGCGAGGTTGATTCTCAAGATTGACATGTATGCAGAGGTGTGCCTTGAATAAAGACGGAGGATGAGGAGTGGAGCAGCAAAATTTGATGAGCGAGAGAGTTTTTGTATCAATTTTTTTTTATGGCTGGTCTTGACGGCCCCATTACGGGGACCCCAATAGCTAAATTCCGAGACTGAATAGAATTACACGAACCGCCATTCCCCTGAGATCTCTATCTTTCAAGGTTACATCGTAGAAATGCTAGGCTGGTGATCTAAGACAGGGGTTGTGCAAAAGATGTTAAGCAAACCAGATTGTACGCAACCAACTCTTGTTGTTCACCTAGCGGAAAGATCAGAATCACTGCTCTCCTCCTCCGCCTTGGAAAGACTCTGCTCCTTCGTGAGGGTCGGGTTGCGAATGACCAGAGCGAATGCAATCAAAGGCACCGTCAAGCAGATACCCGTGATGCACAGCAGGCGCTGTGTCTTCTGATAGGCGAGAATGACGTGGTCTCTGTCAGGCGTACCCACAGGGTTGACCGCTGCAAATGCAAGAGGCTGGCCGTATACCTCTGCAGCCAAGGTTTCGTTGCCAAGTCTATGGTTCAGTTCAGAAGGCAAGACTTGGTTCCAGATCGCTCCTGAGATGGTGTTCCCTAGTGCACTGCCAACGTTGTAGGCGGCAAGATAGAGACCAGTAATCACAGCGAGGTCTATGGGATTGTGAGCCTTTGGGGTCTTTTCAGTATGCCAGAGTCTGTTGGGAAATACTAACGTTCGTGCTTAGACGCAACCTGGATGCTGGCTTGAGCTGGGTAAGAGAACATTCCACCCGCTGAAAAATGGGTTAGATCGGTTGAACCAGCCATGGAGCACATGTCATCACTCACCAATTCCTAGCAGAATTTGCGCACCAATGACACCAGAATGACTAGAGTCCGCAACGCCACCTCGAAAATAGATGAGGATTCCGAACGCAACCATGAAGAGGAGGGTTCCGGACACGATGAAGGGCTTCAATTGGCGAACCTTCATAACAATGAGGCCGAGAAAAACGCCTGTGATAACGGAAGTGAAACTGTAAAGAGACGTGATCCGAGTCGCACTAGCGACTGATTCGTCGAAGCTCACACAAAGCACCGTGTATAGGAAATCTCCCTGTAAGTACCACGCTAAAAAAAACCCCCCTGTTAAATCTCGGCCAAGGGTGGTATGCTGAAGGACATACCTGTATTAAGCATAACAGCGATTCCCAGGGCGCCCCAGACAGCACGGTCTTTGAGAAGCTAAAGCCGAACCGAGTCAGAAAAAAAAAGAAAATCTTGACTGTGGCTTTGTTCATCTCACTCACATTAAATGGCAGCATCGGGTATTTGCAGGTTTTCTCCCAGAAAATCCAGACCGGAATCAGCAAAATGCCTATGACAAGTGGCGCAATTACCTTTGCTGTCTTCCACTGTGCAGTTACGCCTCCAGCGAGGGTGAATGGAACAAGAATACAGGCCAACATGCCAATCAACAAAATGTTGCCAACGATGTCCAAATGCCAGAACAATTCGACAGCCAGTTGCGTTTTCCCCAGCAGCTGGAGAGAGCTTTTGTATGATTCAAGTGCCCCAGTCTTCTTTGTGCGTCGTTGGACGACAAAAAGGACAGCAATAAGAGGGAGAGCGCACACAGGATAGATAATAGCAAACATGCCGATGCCCCACTGCCATGTGGTGGCCTTGAGAACCGCAGCAGTCAAGTTGCCGCTGATCCAAGTATTGATCTAAAACAAGGTCCAGTGCGTTAACATGTGATGGTCGATGTCTGTGGTATGTGTAGCACTCACAATAAACGGCAATGCTGGGATGTAGGAGAAAAGGAGGCGAGATCGGCTAGAGGTTACATCGGCGATTAAAACTTCAACCAGAAGCATTATACTGGTGTATCCAATCTATACAATATCAGACACAGATCAAGAGTCCCCGGGCACATATCTCACCTGGTAGATAACAGCTCCCGCAGCGAACCCTTCCACACTCGTTGCTGTTGCTTCCACAATCGTACCGACGGTATAGAAGAGAATCGAGACAAGGATCAGTTCAACTCTGCCGAACACATCTGCAATTTTTGCCGCCGTCGGCTATCGAGAGAAGGTGAGCTACTGTAATGGATTATTGGCCTCTGGGTTTCTGTACCTGTGCAGCAGCAGCGATGACAGCCCGGAGAACATTGATAGTCGCAAGAAGACTGTGTTGACCGTAACTCTGAGTAGCATAGGGCTATCCAAAACAGAGATGTTAGTTGCGTTCAGGTCGAAATCTCTTGACGTCAGAACTGCGCGATACGTACCTGGTATGTAGCACGAACGGTTCCGTCCAAGCCGTATACATAGGCGATCAGGAAAGTAGCGAAAAAGAGGCAGATCCGATCGGGCAATCGGAAGTGCGATGTTATAATTTCGATTCGACGAACACCTGGACTGCTTTGACCCAGCAGATTGACAGGCGCATCCACTGGGACGGCTTCGTTGCGGGGGTTCTTCGAGTCCCCACTAACGTGGTGATCCACGCTCATCTCATTAACGAGTGACATGATGATCGTTCAGAATAAGATCTCACGATGCAGATCACCCTACGATGTAGAGAAAGAGAAGAAGAACACAGAGAAAAAGTGCAGAGAAAAACCGATTGCCAAGAGATGAAAAAGCCCAAGATAAAAACTGCCCACTCAATCTTATCTGATGGGACTATGACCCACATGCAACCTTCCAACCTTGGAAGGTCGGACGTGCCGAGGCGCGCTAGGAGCATCTGTCTGAGAAAACAGCCATTCAAGCAGCTTATGAGCCCCCACTCTCCATCCAGCCGTGGCTCGGGGCTAACATTTGACAAAGATTTCACTCTGGGCTTGCCTAGTGTCTTGGAATTGAAACTCTTCCGGTGCACTTTTACACCCGACATTCCATCGGATGACTGCCTATTCTAGCTCCTCATGATCCAAGATTGAATCTCCGACTGGTTAGTGATCCAGTAGCGAGCGACAGCGACTTCCACGTCGGAACCATAGAGATCCTCTTTCAAACGAAGAGAACATGTAAAAAAAAACAATACTTCCATGTGACAACGCCAGTTCCCATTTTTTCCCCCCCAGCAGATAGGAAGTCCGATACAAGAGTCTGAAATTACATTGTTAAAACCAGAGGTAGACGCCAAGAGAAGGTTCCACATCAACGTAATAAACAGCGCAAAAACAAGGCCACTTGTGAAGGGGGCAGGGTATGAACTTCTACCCTTCTGCATCTCGCAGTTGCTTCTTATCATTTTATAGCTCTTCTACGCCACCTCAGAGTTGGGGCGGTAGGGATGATGATGATGTTTCCTCAGGAGCATGATCTTCAATAAATTGAAGAATTCAGTCTTCCCCGCTAAGGTGGGATCCTACAATCTCATGAGATTCTCGACCAGAAAGTGATTTGATCCAGAAATGAGATATCATCGAGATTATCCTCGTGCCTAGAATTTGATTGGACTTCAATTTCACATAGAGTTCTATGTGTATCAGTTGTGGAATCATTTTACGCTGCTAGGGATTCAAGTTTCACGCCATTGGTGCAACGATTTAGAAGCTGATGCTTGTCTGGGTTAGATTGCGCCGGGACGATATAGGTGAAGTTTTTGGGGGGATCAGCAAACCGGTACAAATCAAAAATGATCGATTTTCAGGTTCACGAAAGATTCTTTAAAAGGAGCAATCTGCAACAGAGGGACGGAGAACTTCGGCGTCCCCAGGGTGTAGCCTATTACATAAGAAAAATGCCACCGGGGCACCTGGCGTGGCAACCTGCCCCCACACCCTGTGGTGGCTGCATCCGCTCAATCTTGGCTCGAGACACCTACTGGTGGAGGTTCATCGCAGTTAAAATCTGATACGAAGAAGCCCCGGTTCTACATCCAAGTCCCCTCGTCAACGATCTCAAGGACGGAAACATTCCCAATCGGCGCTCTGTGATATGCCAAATGCCTGAAAATATCTGTGAAGGTACAGCTAACGTGGAGGCACGCAAAGAAGCTGCGGCTTTCATCTCCATCCCCCCTCCCCCCCCTTGCTGTGCGGAAAATGACCTCTGTCACTGTGAGAAATTAACGTTCTATCATCAAAGTCCCGTCCACCTGTCAATACAACAGCTACAAATAAAATAAAATTCCGGCACTTATTCAGGGCAATCAAATTTTATACTACTAGTCGTAGGATCTCTCTCGATGACTATACTAGCGATTGTAATTAAGCGGATGGTGGTTGACACACGGAGAGATCTACGTCTTCCCGTTCAGGGCGTGCACTATTCGTGTCTTCTCCGGAGTGCCTGTTTCTTTGTTTATTTTATACTCTGCCTTGGATCGGAGGATTTTGGGAAATTTTGGGGTTTTCTTGAAAGGTTGTCGGAATAAAGTTCAAGCGAATTGCCATCTTATGTTTGAGAACGTTAGGTCACCATCAAAGCCGTGACCTGAAGGGAGTGTGTAGTCCAGTTACCGAAGACAAGCTATCTTGACGGAGACGATTCATCTCGGGATCATAAAGCGACTCTGCCTGAACAGTCGCCCTGATGCGCTTTCCGAAATATTCGATCTCCACTTTCTCGCCTTCACTCACATCAGCAGGCAGCCAAGCGTAGGCAATTGGTTTGCCGATCGTGTACCCAAATGCAGCGGTGGTTACATAGCCAGCTGCTTTACCCTTGTGGAACACGGGCTCCTTGCCAAGAATCATCGAGCGGCCATCATCGATGGTCAAAGCCCGCAGTTGCCGCGAGGGTACTTGGTTAGAAAGGCGTTGAAGGGCGGCTTTTCCGACAAAGTCATCCTTTTTGTTTGTGTCCACCGCGTAGGAAACACCAGCTTCGAACGGATTGTGTTCTGTCGTCATGTCCGCACCGTAGGTCCGGTATCCCTTCTCAATACGCATTGAGTTGAACGCACTGCGACCTCCGGCAATGATTCCATGTGGCTGTCCGGCCTGCCAAATTATCTCCCATAGTCGTTGGCCGTACTCTGCGCCGGTTTGGATTTCCCAGCCTAGTTCGCCGACGTAGGACTTCCGGATCATCGTAACTGGAATACCCGCGAGAACGGTATTTTTCAGACTGAAGTATGGAAGTCCCTTGTTTGAAAGATCAACCGTGCTGATTCCAGCGATGACATCCCGGGCTCGAGGACCCCAGAGTCCGAGGCAGCATGTGCTGCCAGTGATATCGCGGACTTGGATCCAGTGCCTGGGGGTCGTCTGTTCCTGGACCTGAGCTTCTCTGGCAAGATATGCCAGATCGGTTGCAGAATTCGCTCCAACCTGAATCACATCATCATCAATTCCCAGAACAAACACGTCACCCCGAATTCCCCCGTGATCATTGAGGAGGAGGGTATAAGTAACGGTGCCTGTCTTGGTAGTAATTTCACTCGTAGTCAGCCGCTGAAGCAGACCGACCGCTCCAGGACCAGACACTTCGAACCGATGGAAAGCAGTCATATCAAACACAGCAACGGCATTCCGCGTCTTCCACGCCTCGGCAGCAGAGATAGGCGAATGAAGCTGCGCTGACCAGGCATCCCGATTGACAGGTTTCCACGACGGTGGCAGAGACTCAACAAGATCTTTATTTGCCTCATACCACCACGGCCGCTCCCAGCCTCCAGTCTCAAAAAAGATAGCCCCTAGCTCGCGCTGGCGGGAGTGGAATGGACTAACACGTAAGTTGCGGGGCGAGGCCCGCTGTTGAAGCGGGTGGATTATGTTATAGATTTCGACAAAGCTCTGCTGTCCGGTCTCACTCACGTAGTCTCTGTTGAGCTGGACTTCTTCGAAGCGGGTAAGTTCACATTCAGAAATGTCTATCTCAGATCGGCCAGTTGTAAGGATTTGTGCGAGAGCTCGGGCGACGCCTGCTGAGTGTGTAACCCATACGGCCTCGGCTACGTAGAAGTTGTCGAGATGGGATGGTTGGCCAAGAAGTGGACCCCCGTCGGGTGTGAAGGAGAAGATACCGTTGAAGCCGTCCGCGATCTCTGTACCTCGAAGAGTGGGGAGGAGGGCTTGAGACTCTTTCCAAGCCGGGCCGAAGTCTTCGGTTGTGAATTCGAGGCGGGAGGGCATATGTTTTTCATCAACGCCTTTGGGTGTGAGCCCTAGTGAAGCCGCAACGACGGGCATTGGACGGTGTCCATAGTTACCAATGCCGTACTGCCCGCCATGTTCACGGTAGTAAAGACGCTTATCCTGGTGCCGGAGGATTGGGAGTGTGGCATTCATTCCATTGAGCAAGCTGTTAACATCTCTCCCCGCAAGAGCGGGTACCACCGTGGTCTTTGCATACTGGTGCGCCAGCGGGAGTAAAGGAATGTCCACACCAACCATAGCTCCCAATTCAACGCCCCAGAACCCAGCGCAAGAGACAACAATGTCTGCGGAAATGATGCCATTTGGGGTACTGACTCCTGTGACACGACGGCCATCGCGCTCAATTCCCATCACGGGAGTATGGCCCAGATAATGAACACCGGCCTCGCTTGTTCGTTCAATGAGCAGCTGCGTTGCTCGGGCTGCTAATGCGAGACCATCAGTGGGGATGTACAAACCGCCCAAGACCATCTCTTTGTTCAGATGTGGATACATCTTGAAGCACCCCTCCGCGCTGACTAGCCGAGCCTCGATGCCCCACGATGAGGCGTATCCATGTTTCCGCTTTAGATCCTCCAGTCGTGCGGGAGTGGTTGCTACTTCGAGACCACCCACTTGATTGAAGCATTTTTTTCCATCCTTCTCTATCGATAGAAGCTTCTCGACTGTGTATCGGGCGAGGTGTGTCATTGTCTTGGAGGGGCTTGTCTGGAACACGAGTCCAGGGGCGTGTGACGTCGATCCGCCCGGCATGTGCAACGGGCCCTGCTCGACAACAGTGATATCATTCCATCCTCGAGAGACCAGCTCATCGGCGAGGTTAGTACCCACGATACCGGCTCCAATAATGACAACGCGTTTTGCAAGTGACATTATTGTATGATGAATGATGTGATGTTTTCATTAGAAAGCGGTAGGCACCTGCTCTATTTGTAAATTCACATGTTTTCCAAGTTGTACAATGTGTGACATTACTCGGACACGTATCCCCGTACGCCACATCGGCGTGCGATAACTAGGCAGTGCATCTTGATACTCCAGATAGAAGATATTACGCCCCGCACGGGTTCCGGCGATGTAAAGCCGAGAATGCCAGTATTGAACCCGGGTGTGATTCTCTGGGAGAATCGGGATGGAGGGGCATCTACTTGGCTACCCTATGTGTATTGAGATAACGAATCTCATCCGGTCAATCATCCTCGGCCAACCAGCTCGATGTGGCGCTTTTTCAGTTGACACTGGACAACATTTCCTTTTTGGGCGACCCATCCTTTTTTTGGTATGTGAAGAGGCGTCCTTATTTCCTGGATGCAGTTGGAGCCTTATGTATACTTTTATCTACGGGCTGATTAGCTCCTCATTTTAAATACGAAAATCCAGGGCTGTTGTATAATCCGCGTGGTTGTCCTGAGCACTCATACGTGCGTGACTACGCGGGAAATCAAAACATCCGCACTCGAACACCGGATGCATCGATTTTTCCATTAAATCGAGAGCAACTGTTTAGATCGATCTCGATTTTCCAAAACAGTTGATGTGATAGCTTTATAGTAGATCCGAGCTTAAGGTTCCAAGACCTAGACAACCTTGAATGTGTTCAGAAACACGTTGGATTTAACGACCGGGATCCTATTTGTTTCTCCACAGTGAGATTTGACCTAGCTACTTAAAGTAAGCAGATCGTTGATTGTGAAGCGTTGTCATTGGCAGCACATTCCAACATCACGGACGAAAATGACGCAATCCCCATTTTATGATCTCTGATTGGCCAGGATGAGAATAGATACAGGGGTGTGTTCGATGGGGGCGTAGAGCATGCAAATCGGTTGTGTAGAGTTTCCGATATCAGATCTCTCATCAGCTTCTCTATCAATACTCTGTGAATCCGGATGATATACTAAATGGCACCCGAGAACAATGTAGCCTCATACTCTGCGGGACAGATGTTTGACGTTCGGCTAGAGCCGATCCCCGAGGAACCCAACAACAACCAATCCCGGCCCTTGGAACCTTCACTCGTTCTCAAGAGAACTTCCTCAACTTGGTGACAACCGGCAATGCTGGTATCGGCAGCTTGTTTTCACGCCTCATCATGACTGAGCCTGGCGAACCCCGTGTCCCGGAGGAATCACCAACCGCAATCCTGACCGACTCCCGCCCGACACCCGACACCCGCGATGACGACAGGGAAGCATTAGAACTCCATTCGATCCAAACGCACGAAGACAACGAGCTAGACTGCTCAACCCCATCTGGCTCGTCTGGCGATGAGCATCCCGTGTCCACACATCAGACTGCGTCGCAAGCAGGTTCCCGGCGCAGACGTGAAGCCCACAATGGCCTTTGGGGCCAGATCTGTCGGTTCTGGACTCGACATGTTATTATAACTGTGCCGCAGAAAAGCAACCGAGATCATTTTGGTACGTTGTTTTCTGGCTACGCCGTTAGAGAGTTAATTGACACCACCAAAGCCCTGGAAAGAACGTTCCTGGCGTACGTCCGAACGTCCACGGTTATCGCCATGCAAGGGGTACTTGTTGCTCAACTTTTGCGTCTTCAACGGCCATCGGAAAAAGTCGATCGCTTGTCGTTTCACGAAGTGGGTATCCCGCTTTCTGTTGCCTGTCACTTTGTTGCAGTTTTTGTCGCCTTGACAGGTGCGTTTCGATTCTGGAGACAACAAAACGCGATCGCTCGTGGGAAAGTATATGCTGGGGGATGGGAGTTAAACTCGGTGGGGATTTTGTTATTCATGGTCAGTTCTATCTAGCGCAATGCTCGGCCTCTGAATTTTAATCAACTCCCAACGCACAGGTCATTGTGGCGACATTGGTTCTTATTATCATCATCTCGATCCAAGCCAATTTGAACTTCAGTGCGTTTCCTCATCAAAAAGTACGGTCATGAAATCCAGTCCGTTGTTCTGTCACACTATTCATATATGCGTTTACCTAACGAATGAGAATTTCATCCTAGATGAGCATCATATTGACCATATAATTGTCATGTCACTATTAGGTCCCCATCATCTTTTTACCTCGATTGTTGATCAAAGCTGTAACTCTATCGCACTCTTATATTTATCCCATAGCATTCCCGAGGAAATTCAAATTTTCCAATTGTCTGCATGTCTCGCAACCACGAATTCCGTGGTGTCCTTTAGACCGAAATGGTGCAGTGATCATCCCGGCATATCATTCACCTTTCTTCTCTAGATGGTGATGTCCCGCTGGTACACTATTTCGGCGCATTTGCTATGAAAGTATTACATAACCAATAACTATGAACCAAGTGTCTAATATACTCTAGTTGGTGTGCTGATACGGCGCATTATATGGGCATGGCAATGTCTACTACCATCGTCTCTTCGATAATTTAACTAGCTTCGATACAACCTCTTGCCTTGTAACTATTCAGCAGGCCCAGAGCTCAGTGGGAACGCTACCCATGCAGCGGATGACGGAACAACACTATCTGTGGTCTTTGATGTATCAGGATTCCGCCAAACAGGAATGATGCCATTTGGCATACTGTGGTGAAAGGAATTAAAAGATTTCTCAGACAAGGGAGCTTGAGATGATGCACAGAAAGCCAACTCCTGTGGCAGAAAGCTTGGCCAACGACCCTGCATCGGGTGCCACACCGCCAGCTGGGAACGCTCAGCGAGAGGAAATAAACCCTTCGGGACTTTATGACTGTTGGGGTTGTTTTAGTGTGAAACTTCAGAGTGTGTTGAAAGTCAAGGACGTGTAGGATGGAAGAGAATACTAAGTGAGATGAGAAGAAAAAGAGCGCAAAGCCAGAGAGATGAGCCCTGAGATCTCAAGTGCTCGTCTACTTTCCTCACTTCACATCTCCTCATCGTTTGCTCTCGCCATAAAGTGCCTCCCTTCTATCTTCCGTCTCTTCTTCCTTCTCTTCTTCCCTCTACCCTAACAGCAAAACACTCACAGTTTTTACTACACCGCGATCTGGACATTCAGGCTTTATTTTTGATCTTCCACATTTTTCTCTATCCTCTCCCTGAGCCATGGCTGACGACAGCCAGCACCCCGTAAGTAAAGATTCTCGTCTACTAGTTGATAATCGTGGCTCATGTGGACGCTGGATCATCACAGCAGCCCTCTCCTCAAAACACAAATCCCCTAAAATTTTCAACATTTTGGTACACAATTAATACAGCCAGCTGGCTTGAGCAGTACTACTGTCACTTCAAGAGGATGGTATCATCCCACTGTGTCCGGGATGACCTTCCCTTCTCTGGGACCCCTACCCCTCCACTCCCTCCAGCCTCTTGGAAACTTCCCGGGGAGGATCTGTGCATGTGCCCTTACACATTCTATCGTTATCATCGCAATCTACCCACCACCCCTATCAAGAATACACGGATATGAACTAACTCGTCATAGTTGTGGTGCAAATATTGTGACGTGGAGGGACACTCGGTTGTCCAATATCAAGCTCTTCATGAAGAGCTTACAAATTTCGATGCAGCTATCCAAATGGCCCAAGGGCCGGTCAGCACTCTACTATGATCTTCATGAGAAACCAAGTGTTTATATAAAGCGTTGGCCATAAAAGGCCTCTGACCCCAAGAGAGACTACCCTATTACCCACTGGGGCCAGGGAAGGCAGAAGAACGGTATGTTCTACGCAACTAACATATCCAACCTTCCCCATCCGCTATTAACATAGTTCGCATATCCTAGTAAGCAGGTTACTAACACTAGTAGTTCATCAACCCGGTGCATTTCTAGCCACTCGAGGTGTCCCTGTTCAGGGTATCAACTACCTCAAAACCCCTCCACTTTTCTCAACCCCTTCGACCCTACGCTTTGATAGATACGTTTACCAACAGCGGGCTTATTGGTTGTGGTGCAATCTTGCATGGACTCATCAAAACCTCGCCGAGGGAAACCCCACACTGTGAAGAGAAGCATTCACGGAGGATTGCAGTTTTATTTTCGCCGTATCTTCAATCGAGAATGCCTCAACCCCTGCATTTAATATCATGAAATCCGTTGTGACGTGAGAATGAAACCTACAGATCTTTGCAGCCGTAGGAGCAACTGTCTAGTCTCAAAGCTTTTTAGGGAGATCGAACCATGCCACGACGCTAAATGATATTATAGGGGCTGGCACCAATTACAGTTGATCTAGACGTAGACTTTCAAGCTTAGTATACCCAACCTTCTTAGTTGGATAGTTTCAATCATCACCCATGGATACAACGTGAAGCTAGGTGCAGTCATACGCATGACTTCTGACCTGAGCCCTGAATAGATACTCCATAGAGATTGGATTCGCGACAGACTATTTCATTTTTCAGAAACATCAGTTGACTGAACACCCGAAGACCCATCAGAACGAATCCCCCGGTGTTCTATCAAACCAACAGTAATCGTTCGAACCGCCAAATAAATCTGATCTTCACCCGTTGACGCTCGGTTCTCGGTAAATCACTCAATACCGTTTCAGACACAACATCCCGCAGGAAGTCCTGTCAGGCAAGATGATCATCCACCAAGCCCCATCCGGAAATTCGACATTTCCACCCGATCCGGCATGAAAATCAACCCTCCTATCTCTTTGGACATCCAGAGACTAGGATATCCCCCACAACCCACGCATCCTTCTCGGAGGTGACACGGTGTCAGATCGGCGGGCGATGTCTCATCTTGAAATACTACAGGCCCCCTATTCCTTACTCCGCACACTACTCGGCATACCGTATCACACGCCCCGCGGTCCCCTCCGTACCAGAATTCGGTCCGTTCGCGGAGCAGACTGGATTCCGGAGTCGAAGCGGACATTGACCGGATATCGGGTCAGCCTCACAATGCTGAACCTTGAAGGTGTGGGAGCAAGATTTCGTCCGAACGGCCCCATACTCCGTATGATGATAGCCTACATTGTATAGACCGGGGACACTGGATGTTTGTCGCATAGGCAGATGTGACAGGGAAAGGTGGACGGAATCAGACGAGGGAGGTGGAGCATTGAGACGTCTTTGTGGACACTCTTGCTGCATGGTTTCAGACAATCCGGTCTAAAAAGCGCACCAACAGAGTGGGACATGGTCATATCGGCAGTTGCTACGTATCCGAATAGTCGGTTAGTTCCTTGGCGCGCCATGGGCCGCTCGGATACTCTTGGAATGTGTAGCTTCACGAGGGTGGCCTTCTTGGCAGTGGCGATTCAGCCTTATTCCTGGTATTTGGATGGCTTGGCAGCTTTCAGGGGGGAAAAAAATGACAGCGATGGGGGCTTGTTGTTTTTGGCCCTCGTTTTTTTTTGGTAATACAGTAATTCCTACGGAGTACATACCACGAATCAGTCCATGCACAGGGAACGATTGGTTGAATCCAGGTATTCACAAAAGCTCGGTCACATCTCAAACAGATAGGTGGCAGGATATCCTCGTTCACATGCAAATTCACACTCTCAAACAAGTCCCTAAGATCGCCCTGCTTCTTCCCCTAATTTTCTCGGTTCTAGCAACCTTGCAAGCCTCTTAAACGCGCTAATTAGCTTCGCTACACCCGGATCTTACGGCTCTTCCGATAGATATAGGGGGTTTAAAGCCCAAAGAGCTTTGTGGTGTCGAACATAGGCCTCTTAAACCTCCGTATCCTTCCGTGGTAATAAGTAAGCTGGGACTCGAGTGTCTCGGTCCCACCAATCAAGCAAGCCATTTACCAGAGAGCTACGGACAACGTAGGCGCTGCTCTGGAAGGTTGGGATCGATCAGCACGGCATTTCGATTGGTTGAAATGGGTTGAAAACGGTATGATAGAACTGGAGTACAACAAATGATTTTGTGCAGAGCAGAATGGTGAGTTAACCCGGTCCGTTGTGGGGGGGGGAAGGAATTTCATCATCACAAGCCCTTCGAGAGGGCGCGCAAGATACAACCGATCTACTCCGTACCAAAAGAGACATTTAAAAAGGAGCCACGAGGCCGCATAAGCCGACTATGCTGGTTCGCAGCAAGGGGTAAATTTCGCTATTACTCACACTATGGCGGATATTGCGCTAGTTTCTAGTTCGTCAAAGCTGGGGTCTTCGTTAAAAACAAGTTCGTCATATCTCTGTTTTGGTAATACCATGTTCGGATCGGTGAAAAGTGGGGTCCGGCGCTAACGGTCTCGTTCGGAAGACTTTTGTCGTCCCCCCCCCCCCTTTTTTTTTCTTCTTTTGGTGAACAGGAATCGATTATTCAATAGTCAAAAATGAGACTGGAGACCTGGACACATTAGCAGGTTGTGTGGCTGAGATAATGCGGAGCACTTGCTCACAAGGTTGGTTTTGGGAATTTGGGATCTCATAGTCATTCGGGTATTGGGCTCATTGGGCTCTATGTTTATATGTACATCCAAAATTTATCCACACTCCCTGATACTTCTCGGCTTCATTGTCTCCGTTGTGTAGAGAAAATAACCCACAGTCACAGATAGTCCTCGGCTTGATTTTCTCTATTTTGGAAGGAAGAAACGCCGGAAAAATGAAGGAAGCTTTAAAAAAAAACAAAAAAAAAAAACAACTAATCATGATCTGAACAGATGTGATATAAATAGGCTGAAAGAAACGATCAAAACAAAAATGTGTATCATAGAAACAAAGCAAATGCAAGATATGAGAAGGAAATATAGCAGTGAGATATAGACATAGGACAGAGAGCTCAGGCCGCCAGGGCATTGCTTCTGAACAATTCGGTCTGAAATCTTGACCAAAATGCTTCCAAATTAAGCTGTCTGCATAGGGATGCTAGTCATAGGCAGCGGGGGCGGGGCCTGCTCGCCCTCGTCGAACATCCACTTCTCCAATTTTTGCGCCATGCGCGCACAGAAGGGGTCGACATATCCCGTCCACAAAGTGGCGCAGAAGTAGACCAGCGCGATCCAAGTCGGGATACTGAGAGCTACGACCCAAGGTGCGCGGATGGGAATCCAGTGCGGATGGAGGGGTTCGCCGTCCTCGCCGTAGATTGGATTTCCCTTTTCGTCGACAATGTCGCCATCCCAGGGCTGACCGGTAATTCCGTAAAGCATCCAGCAGAGAACGGTGCGGAGGAGGGTGCCGTGCACGAGGTACACGGCGAAACTCTGCTTGCCGAGCCAGAGCAGGAGACGGCCGGAGAGGAAGTCCTTGATCGAGGGTGAGATGTAGATGGCGAAAATAATGAGGTCGACGCCCAGGGCGGAGTAGCGTCTACCGACGTTGACTTTTGGAGGAAAGAGGTAGTGTGATGCTTGTTCCATGTAGGTTGACCATGTGGCCCACTCTGGGTGCTCTCCGGGGTAGGAACAGACGAAGAGGCCAAGGCAGATAAGGAAGCTTGCCACGAGTTTGCGGCCCCAGCTGTGGCGCTCGACGAATTTCTTGAACCCGGTTTCATATGAGAGATCGCTGAGGAACATGCCGTAGATTGCCTGCATTTGGAAAGTTTCTGTTTGTTGATTAATACCCGGGGTAGGAATTCTGGATTTCTCAGAGGACATACCGGTGTTGGGCGCTGCGTTTTGATGGAAGTAGAGGTACATTCCCACGTAGATGGCCATGCGGAATCGGAACTTGCAGAACATTGTTGCGCAGACAAGGACGTAAACCAACATGGAGGCCTGGAGCAACGGAAGCAAAGCCCACTGGTGGTCATCGTACGCCATATAGCCAGTAGTCCAAACCTCTAGGAAAGTCTTGAACAGCCGGACAAACTCGTCCCAAAAATTAGGTTCTAAATCAACGGCTGCGTAACGGCACCACCAACAGTCGGAGCGATTAGCGGTGACAAAGGCGCCAAATTGTGCCATGACCCAGGATATAAGCAAGGCGATAGTCGCAGGGAAGATGAGGCGAGGTGGCCGGCGGAAGGCACTCTTGCTAACCGATGTAAAGGATCCAAGGATATCACCATTCCGAGATTGTTTGAGTGGCTTAAGAGCGCAAACGTAGCCAGTCAAGAAGGCGAAGATGGTAACTCCCAGACGGCCTTGCCACGGAATACGGAAGACGGGCCACTGCAGGATTCGAGGAGGTGTGTCAACATCGTCGCGAGGGGCGAAGAGGTCATAATCCCACGCTCGGGCAAGGTGAGTGAGGATAACTAGGAATGAAGCGATTCCTCGGAGGCCCTGTGAATTGAAGTTAGCAAGAAGGTTCATCCATGCAAGGCTGAGATGCGAACGCACATCAATCCACTTTACACTTTTCCGCGGATCACCTTTGATCGATGAATCTGCGGACTTCCAGGGAATAGTGTTCAAGATGCGCGAATAAATATGGTTGGGCTGAATATACTCCATTACGAGTGATGTATGGAGTGAATGAAAGCCTGCACGAGTCCGATGGAAGACTCCGGGTGTTGTCTATTGGATTAGTTGGAATGGAAAGCCGAACGCGACCATCAACATTGAACGTCAAAAATGCCCCCAAATGCCAAAACAAAAATCACAAATGCTTATACAAATAAGGAGAGAAGAAGGACAGATACGGTTACTGAGAGAGCTTAGATTTCCCCATAGAGCGCAGACAAATGCGGCAAAAATGGTGGCCAAGAGAGGGGTATATGTACTCCCGTAAGAGAAATCCTATTCAGTTGATCCATTCCCACGAATCGAAGATCTTGCCCAAGCGGAAAACGGGTACGAGGCGAATAACTTGAGCTGGGGAATTTACTCTTATCGCCTACTCAGTGGAGCATTCAGAAATACACGGTCATTCCCATTTTTTTTTTTTAAATACGTGACATGTATACTTTACCACTTTTGGAGTTGCAAAATTACAACCAAAATTACAACCTAACCGCTCGGTTACTCGCCTTCTGTTGCTCTGCAACTAGGTAGATGTACTATGTAGGAGGTGAAAAAGGAAGCCCACAGCGCGCATATGGGCAGGCGTCTATACGCATGTAGGTTGTGTGTATCCATATATAGTGACATGGCCGTCGAAGATGAGCAAGGTCCTGCATACTCCGTACTCCATACACCCAAGCACACAATTGAAAGGGGTGGAATCAAGTAGCAGATTTGAAGCTATCTCCAGCCTCCTACGAAATAAGCTATCTCAGTGAGAAGCTGACGACGCTTTGTAAACTAGTAATCAGCCAACCAATTAAACGCTAGTATTTTTCCCATCTGAACCGTGGACTAAAGGCCGCCTCAAAGTACGCCAGATCTTGGCATTTGTGCCACGTACCACTCACCTCGCTTTTTAATTGGCCAGGGTCAGACCAGCGGCATATCGGAATCTGGGTTTCGAATTTCCTTTTTTGGAAATCGGCGGCACGCTTCGGCATAAACGCCATGCCACTACGATCCTTGGAAGGAGATGGAATTCTACCTTGGAAGTTAACCCTCTGTTTTTCCGCCAAAGACGAAACCGAGAACCCTGGGCATCTTCAGAGGGTGCTGCGTTCTCTTTATGGAGTAGACGGAGTATGGTTATGCTCCATATGCTGTTTGAAGTACGTTTGTGTGAGGTAAATTGTACGCGTTATCTGACACGCGGACTCCGGGAACTTCACGATACCCATGAAACAAGTGTCAGGAATGGTGAACTGGAGCAACTGAACTCAACCAACATTCCGTCTCGTGAAGGAATGTGACAGTTGAACCTGGTTTGAACCGAAAAAAATTTGAAAGATGCATCACCAGTCCTTAGGATAAAATTCACCCCTTCGTGCAGAGAAAAGTCATGGCTTCTACCAAGTCGTGGTATTAAATTTTCCAGGGCTAGCTACTCCGTCGACTCTATCCTCCGTATGCTGTCCGATATTGAAAGGATGGATCTAGAATATCGTAGTAAATTAATCAACTTAGAATTTATTTCTTTGCCCTATGACATTTAGTGATCGTCACCTGGGTCGACGGTGTACTCTGGTACTCCGTGCTCCGTATGGAGCACATAGCGCAACATTTCCTTCGGTTCCCAACCACGTGATAATGCACAGAACACAGCAACGTGGACTCTGAAACTGGCTATTTTTAAGTCCAAATCGACTTACGTATCCCATCTACATGGACGCTTTTCGGTTTCTATCTATATTGTATTATTAGAGCCACAATTGAGACAGCATGTACGGAATACTCCATACTCCGTAAGGCTAGGGGGGACCCAACGTGATGCCCATCAAAAAAAAAGATAAACTATCAGCCATCTGAGGATCTCCGCCTGTAAGCACATTGTGTTTTTGTCTGATCAATTGGGAATATCTCGGTTCTTGGCGACCCATTTATTTGATTAAGTCGAAACTCTGACTTTCAGCCCTGGAGAGTCCAAGCAGAAAAAGTTCGTCTTTTATGGTCGGCGGTCGACCGGTAGCGGTTCCCCTGCATGGTATTATGTTGTATGTGCAGGGGACGTATCTAGCTGTCTATGTTGTATATCCCCGACTTAGAGACGGGTATGGAGTGCTGACGTTTGACATACGGAGGACATACGTATTCGGGGTCGGGGTTTCCACTGTGCGCTTTTCTGGTCCAAAATTATAACATACGTTCTAGAACCGGCATCTTCCGCCTCTTGTGGACCAGTCCCCACTTTGATCCAAATTAAAAAAGATTTAAGGGTCGGGAAATTGATCAGATATGGTTCTTTGTGGCTGTATTGTAATTTTCCTGACAATACACTGCTTGGCAACAATAGCCGGTGGCGGGCCAAGGTCACGCAATTTGAGTTTCAACTCGGCACATCCAGCCCCGTCTGAATGATTACCCCTTTGTCAGGAGTTCTGGATGGAAGGGGTGTAGCAGGACCAGAAGGACCAGTTTTCGTGGAGGAAAACAACTCTTATCACTTCCAGAATGCGGCTTGGACAATCCCTCACGACCTGTCTTTCATGGGCCTGGGTTGCTTCGGCCACCATTCTCGAGAACGGTCAAGTGAGAGAGAATGCATATCCCGGTCAGTTACAGCCGGTGACTTTGGACGATTCATGGAGGAATTATCCGGCGCATGCCCCGGAGATCTCCTACAAAGGTCGATGGGATAGCCAACACATTTCGTGTATGTGCCCCATCTCCGGGCTTCCTTCCCCGGATTATTGTTTGAACCTTAATACTAACCGTGGGACAAAACGCAGGGTGGTCGTAGGTCTCGCTGTTTATTATCATATCGGGGTTGCTAATTAATTCAGTGCACCAGGAATCAAAGTCGAGTTCTCGGGGGAAAAGGTACATCTTGTCCAGATCAACCTTCAAAATGGGTCGTTAACATCATAGTAGCTTGCTGTCCATTTCGGCCCAAGCACCAATACAGGTGTTCTCGTAGCCTACCGGTATGCGTGTTCATCTTCCTCTCTCTCTCTACATTGACTGTTCTAAGCGTTAGCAGGATCGGCTCTCTTGACTGGCAGTTCTCTAATATCACCGCCTCCTCCACATATCAATTTGTTGGTCCATCGTCAGAGCTCAAAGATGGTGATGACCCCGTTGACCAAAATGTCTTTGAGATGAGAGGTATGCGTTCCATCAAAATACCAGGAACAATCTGTATTCTGACTGCATGACAGTGACAAACTGGGGCATTGGATAAGTCTCACCTTGACGTTCCATCTGTTCGTTGCTTACCGTCCACACAGTTCAAATCGCTGGTGTAGCTGTCGCGAATGATGCTGTCCTCACTAAGCCTCCGACCTTCAAAAAAAGAGTCGAGATCATCGGCGGCTCGTAAGTAGTCGTACCTTGCCAGCTACTCCTTCATGCAACTGACTGTTCCCAAGGCTTGCATCTGGGCAATTTGCCACCTATGAAACACTCTCCTCATGGTCCTTCCTCTTCGCCAACGGCCTAGGCAATGTCGAATATGGCATCACAGTCAGTCCACTCCAACTTGATTCCGTAAATTCCAAGTATGCTAATACCGTCTCGCAGGCCTATCCCGGCGTGTGTCTCGCCGATCAACAGTGTTACAACGGCGACTCTCGTGGCGTGGTATGTTACTAACCCTCTCATCCCCACCATGAACCCCACCATCCATTAACAACATTACTAGGGATGGTACTGGCACCGCGCCTCAGACCCCGGCTCTCGCGCACATTCAATTTACGACCGCAACCCCGAGGAGTGGGATGTCAGAGCAGAGCAACCGGCCGATTTGGTGATCATTCAGATGGGCGGTAATGATCACCGCTACCCCAACGAAATCCCCGGCCGGGACTTCTACCATGCCTACGTCGACTTGGTAGAGGATATCCACTCTAACTGGCCTCATGCGATCATCATCCTCATGGTATGTCTATCTTCACTCTACAACGTTTGACTATAAATGTTCCCCCAGCCTAACTTTCAATAGTCCCAATGGGGAGGCTTCACCAAAGAAGGCAAGAAGTACGTCGGTAGCACTTACTACCAGGAAGAGACCCGGGAGGTCAATGAGCACTTCAAGAACCGTGGGTTTGTCTACTATTTCCCCACCGAGGGTCTGCTCCAACACAATGATATCAACCCAAAGAACCATCTGACGGATGTTGGACACGTCAAGATTGCGAGTCACTTGTTGCAGTGGGTTCGATTGGTTCTCAGGTGGAACCTCGAGCCCACGGGTGAAACCACCTCTGGAACCGCTTACTGGAATGATCAGCAGGAATACTGATCGTCCTTTCTGGGGCTAATGATCTTGCTTTTGTACAATTGGTGTTTTTTTTTGGATACTTTTGGCACTGGGTGGATAAACCGCAGGAACATTCATAGAAGATATATCCCGCCTTGTACGGCATTGTACTTTTTCAGTATGCTACTTGAATTCGGCATTGCATTCATAGGCAACCCAATAGAAAGGTAGTCACGGAAACTTGTAAATGTGCCCAAGACTCTTTTGAGGCGACGGGTGACTCCCGCAAAATCGCTTACATGAAATCCAAATCCCGCCAAGTCCGCAAAATGAGGCTCCCGGGAGTGATATCAAATGAGAAACAGCATTAAGATCAAGCACAACCCGGTGATGAGGCCCAATTCGTACCATTCGTCAGGTGTGTGGTAGCGCTCTACATCGAAACCGTTCTAACCGATGAAGGTTCGGTCTCCTGTTATAAGAATTGGGACTAACCTTTTCAATTTTTTTTTTTGCGTTGCTTAACCTAGGGAGATAGATCCTTTGATTTTCTGGCGCAGGTGATTATTTGTAGTCCTCACCCGTAAATTCATGGTTGAGTGCTCAACCCCTCAGCTTCTGTTGGGAATTGCGAAACTGATTTACCCAGAACTATTTGAAACATCCCCAAGCATTAACTGAAACTGCAGGGAGAAGTCTTGAATCAATGGAGATATTGTTGAATCTGCGTTGGCACCAGATCCGCCGCCATAGAAATATTTTTGCTCCTGATGGGACTGATCAATCTGACGAGAGTGACAGAGTGACAAAAGACAGAGAGACAACTGCTTTAGTTCCCCAGACTTGAGAAAAAAAGAGATAACATCAGGGCAATTTGCAGCAAAAGACAAAGATGTTCCGGTGAAAGAGGTCAAGCCCAAAAACCGGATGGAACCTGTACTCCGAGAAAGCTCATTGTGAAAATGTTTCTTGGAAGGAGCGCTGAAAATGGTTGTTCTGTTTCTGAAATCGACACCGGGGGGGGGGAGGGGGAAGGGACAAAAGCGAACAACATTCAACGGAAATCAAGTCTTGGAATCTAATCAAAGGAATGTGTCTGATTTCACTCTTCGTTCATCTTCCACTCGTTACTATTGATCCTTCCTAGGATTAAAAGTATCCAAGATATGAGCTGGTTCACCTCCTTTAACTTCATATTCCCTTATGGAGGATGTGTAAGCCTTATTTACAATAACCCTATCACCTCTAGCACTAGTGGATAGTCTGAAAAACTGCTTGTATCGGGTATAATCTAGCTTAGAGTATACATCGATAATATTACTAGTCCCTTCTTTTTGTCAGGGTGCGGGCTGGCAGGACGGTATGATAGGAGATGACTGGTAGGAACAGGTCATAAAAGATCAGATTCCCATTGACAGGTACAGGCAGGGGCAGGCTATTATACAAGACGTAGCTCGAAGAGCTACAACAGGATCTAGAACTGAAGTTCCAGATAAACAATTCGGAGATCACGTGCCGTGATCTTCCTCTAACTAAGCATCACGGTTCGCACCGTGACATGGACCGTGGGCGTTATGGACGGGCACTCGAAAATCTAAATAGCCCACCGCACACCGTGGACGGGCGATGTCGTAGTCTACTAAGAAGCTTCTTTAGAGTGGGCTATCTTCTTTAGTCTCATAAAAGAAAGAATTCCGAATCGTAAGAACTACCTATAGACTTGGTATTAGAAAGATGATGGTAGCGAAAAAGATACTAAGGGCCCTTCCACTAAGTAGTAGTATTTCAGTTTTATTCTGATTCGCGGATCACCTAAGGATAGTCGATCTCTTAGTTAGGTTAGTACATAGTATGTAATCTATTCCTCTACTATATATTTACCTAACCCGAATTCTCCTCGGTTATTTTCTAGTCTCGTTGTGTAGGTATGTGTAGACATTTCATTGAGCAATCTATAACCTCATGCCATGCAAATTCTTGCACATACGACCATAGGGTGTGGAAAACAGGGCTTCCCGTCCGCTCAGCCGTACTTAAGCCACACGCCGGTGAGTTAGTAGTTGGGTGGGTGACCACCAGCGAATCCTCACTGTTGTATGTTTTTGTCTTTTTCCTCGAAATGTGAGGTGTCACCTTGTTGTACGTAAACTCTCTAACCAACTAACTGACTAAATTGACAAATTCCGCTCTTTTTCCAGTCTGTGCGGACATAGCTGATTACTTCTTTAGTGATTTCTACCGCCTCGAGAATCGAATGATCGACACGCACAATGTTTGCAAGTGATACTTTCTCTCCCGCTGTCCTGCGTCTGCAAAGCGTCGCGCTTCTCAATAAAAACAAGGCATGGATGGAAGTGGAAAAAAATGCAGAAAAAATTGCCCAGGACGCTCTGGCAAAAAAGACGAAGGCCGCCGCGTTTCAGCCCACGTTCACGGATACTAGTGCTTGCAATGAACTCATACGTGGCGTAGCACTCGACTACGAAAAAGTAGGGCCTCTGCCATTGATAACCAACTTTCACTGACAATTTATGAACAGAATGCAAATAATTTTCCTGGGCGCCCACCGAAGATAGCTCGCTGCAGACGCGGCGGACTTGTATTTCTACCTGGGTATATACCAATAGGCACCAATTTCATGATAATCGAGCCAATATTCTGCAAAGGCAAGTCGACAATTGGCGGTGTTGAAGTCGACATGGAGCACTATTACGTCATTTTGAAAGAATGTGATGTCCATGTTGAGGATGATGGAAAACTGGTCGCATTGGCGATGTCGGATATTCAATGATGCTGGATAGGAGCATTCATGATGCAAATACAATTATAGTATGTATGCAGGTAAAACAGTATTCAATTGGATGGACGGGGAGAGAGAGAGAAGGTGAGAGTGGAAGGAAGACTATCTAGTTGGTCTATCCTACATGTGATGCCTGAGGCATCCAACATCCCCCTCATAGACCACGTTCCATCAAACTCCCCGAATTCTGGTTTTCATAGTAAAATCCTGCAAATCATGCCGATCAAACCAACAAAAGTCTCAAATGGCTCCTTTGCCAATGCTTTTGTAAAACCGTCAGCTGCGTTCTTCTTCGTGTCCACTCGTCTAATGTCCACATGTCCCTGTGCGACAGCATCCTTAACAAAGAACCATCGTAGATCGAGCCATCTATTCGCGGATTTTACTATGAAAACCAGAATTCGGGGAGTTTGATGGAACGTGGTCTATGAGGGGGATGTTGGATTGGGTGTTGTCGTCATTGTGACCGTTGTGGTTGTGACCACCTCGGCCACCTCGGTTTCCTCCACGACCACCTCTTCCATTGCCTCGGCCTCGGCCGGCATTGTTGTTGTAAGTAGCATTAGCGACACCTTCCATGTCAGCTGCTGCTTGAAGTGCTCTCCAGTACTCCTCCACCTTGTCGAGGTTATGAGCCTCTTCTGCTAGCTGGACCACTAGCAACTCTTTTCTCTGAAGCCATTTTCAACTGGAGACTTTTGACGATCTGACCCCACTGTGGACCCACCTCTGTGTGTGACACAACATTCAGATCCAGCCAATAACATCTAGGAAATCCTTCGAGCCCCGCCGGCAAAAGCTCCGTTTAGCTTTAACATCCAATCATGGCCGACACCGAGACGGACAACGAAGGGGACACCAACCCTCACCCGCTTGATGCACCAACCCATTGGAACCCCAGATCCCGTCCTTTACCAATCCGATCCAATTCACACAGGATGACAGTGATAGTGAAGATGAGGACAACAAACCGCCCCATCAGGGACATGGTCTTCCAGCGATTGCAATGACCAAAATCCAGATCGGATGCAGACAGCGTTTATCGAGATGCGGAAGTTCGACAAGATGAAACGATCGGACTACAACTCGGCAAGCGAGTACATTGAGGAATACCAGCGACAGTACCACGTGCTAGCTAGATTCAAAGCAGCACCACGCCCATCACACGGCTTATCACAAGTTCTTCAACACATTGAACTGGAAGTCAAGAAAGTATAGTTCATTAGGGAGGAAGTTGCAAGTCTGGAGCCTAAGAAACTCACCCTCGACAAGGTGGAGGAGTACTGGAGAGCACTTCAAGCAGCAGCTGACATGGAAGGTGTCGCTAATGCTACTTACAACAACAATGCCGGCCGAGGCCGAGGCAATGGAAGAGGTGGTCGTGGAGGAAACCGAGGTGGCCGAGGTGGTCACAACCACAACGGTCACAATGACGACAACACCCAATCCAACAATTCATGCTAATCAATCAATTTCTGAATTGAAAAAACATCAAAGTATGTACAGATACGTCATTAAACCATGTTTCGCCTTCTCACAAATGCTGCTGACTATAGTATCCGCTAAACATGTCAAATTGCTGCATCAGCTGGGCAGCATTGGTGTAGTCTTCGGGGCTGAAGGTTTCTGGATTGAATTCGTGCATTAGCTGAGCAGCATTAGCACTATATGTCATTGGCTCCAATTGGAATACATTCATCAAGTGGGCGGCATCATTGAACATCATGCTTGAAGGGAGTGGTTGAGTTTGGCTGGTGTCTAAAAGAGGCGCATTCGACAAGCTTGATACCCTAGATCTCGCGTGTTGCATGGGTTCAACTGCTGCAATAGGAGCTTCGTATTCATGAAAGGAGTGGGCAGAGGCTCCCACATTTGCCGTGCTAGAATGCGACAACCCAAGGTTCGGCGAGTTCATCGGACTCGGAAATTCTGCGCCATTGGGGTTTGTAGCGTGGAGACTGCTATCAACAGTCGTCTAGGCGCTTTGGCCAGACGGCTGGCAAAATGCTGGTCTTGGTGAATGAAATTGAGGATTCTTTCCAGTCCGTTTCGATGTTTTTGGGTTACGCTTTTTGTGGATCCGCGTTTTTTGGCCATTTTTCCGTGTTGGTTTGATGTTTTGATCACTTTCATTCGATTTAAAGATGGATACCTGCGAATAGAACTGGTTTGTGATGAACCCCACTATGTTGTTTGCCGCAGATGTTGTAGAATTTTCTGGTTGGAAGCCAAGTGAACTGTAGTGGTTAAGGACGATATCCACATCACTTGTTTTGTTCAGGCACTTTTCTAGAAGGTGCAACGCATTATCAGTGATGGGGTCGAATATGATATAATAATTTGATAGATATATTTTCTTTTTTTTTTGTTGCACTTTACGACTTCCCATTTTTCCATGATCGCACTCAGGTATGCTATCTGCAGCCGCTATTGTTAGGTGCAAGTTGATTGACCCCACATAAAAGGGCAATACTCACATCACGTTTGAAAATATCAAGCGCAAAGAGGAACTGGGCTCTCCTGTAATACCATACTGTGCTATACAATTCGTCCTAACGGGAACATGCCCAATACTAGGTAGGATCTGTTTCTTTACTGAATACTTTCGACCAAGCTCTAAATAAAACTTTATAGACGTAAGCCACTTGATCCAATGAGGATTAGTTCATTGTTAAACGATCAGGATGTTTGCTGGCAATCGAGGGAAACGTCGAATATCTTTGATCATGTTTATACGGTGACGCCGAGATCAACGGTCCAATCCGGTAGGACTCATTCCAAGCAGGTGCAACTTTCGGACCTATCACTTATCTCTACGAAAGAGTCTGGTCACATCAGCAATCACAATGGCCACAATCGAAGATACAGTGACGAGGAGTTTGGTTTATCTGGTACAAACGCACTGTTCATCGCCAACGATAGGACAAAATACTTATGGACTTTAACCACCAATTTTCAAACCGCCAACGTGATTGCGTCAATGGAATGAGAACCAAGCTCAATCAAGAGATCATGGAAAAAAAGGCTACCATCCCGCAGTCAGATTCAAGTCCAGGCAGGCACTTCCCATCTGGATAAGGCAACATCTCTCATTACCCGCGCGAATGTATCGTACCCGTGGATACTGGAAGCTTTGGAAACTACTCAATCTTCTGCTGGAAGTGATGAGATGATAGAGAACGTCTCTAGACTAAATTGATATGATCCTATTTGTATAACACCACAACAACATTGAGTGCCTTTAGGAGATGACTGGTTTTTTTTTGCCGTAAATGAGTTTGATCATTACTATATTCCGTATGAGTTTCCATAAATCGGGGTATAGAGATAAAGTGTGGTCAGTGTGTGCTGATTGAGCATGCAAAACGTGATGATTAGTTCGCGTGTGCTGTCTAACACGTATAGATCTAGTGACTTCGAGCAATTAAAGTCCCCGGTTTAGAATAAGTGCAAAATCGGAGATTTGCTGCAATTAATCTGATTTTTTTTGGGTTGAAGAGATCTAAAAGAACTTGCTAATTAAGAGACCCTACCACTTTTGGAGTTATATTAGAAAATACGGAGATATCGCGGATATATTAGTAGGAGATTCGGAGGATGTTTATTAGTCTGCATTGTGCCTACTATGGTCATTTACCGGTGCTGACCTATTGGATTATATAAAGCTAGCTACTTCCCTAATTCATTCTTCTACTTATCTCAACCCCTCCTCGCGATGCCAGATGCCGGATTTAAGCCCATACCAATGAGCGCAACCGATAAGCTCAGAGAGTATTATCAGAATTCTCTTGGAAATCTCGGTCTTGGTCAGCTCTGCTGTATTTCTAGAACGTTTTCTAGAACGTTAGGCGAGCCAAAAAACGCACGAAACGAGAAAGGCATAAAAGCCTCTACAATATGTTTAACCACTGAGCTGAAAAGCAGAAACAATACGATCGATTCTCTCATTCTTACGCACGCAACCTATCACTCTTTATGTTTAGAAAAATCTCTTCAAATTTCAGTGGAATCAAGAAAAATACTAAGGGCAATCACAACCGTTATGAAACTCGAAAAAGAGTATACGAATGGTGGCATGGGTAAGTCTTCTTTTCCTTTTCTCTATAACTGGAGCTAAACTGTGTAGGGGACAATATGGAAAATGTGGGTATCAAAACTATAAGAGACGGTGATGGCTATGCATTTGAACTGTTTCAACTAACCGGTATTATTCTATTTTATCTACTTTTATTATCATTTTGCGTTCGTACAATACGCGCCGGACGGCATAAATGACCGAGAGCGCTCCAAGCCATTGGCTATTAATTGCTGAACAAACCTTTTCTCTTGGCGTATCGCTTGGTTGATGCCTTTGAGATTGTTAACAGTGCTTGGCCCAGAGTGATGAATCAGTAAAAGTGCTCTTGGCCATTTGCGGGATCAGTGAAACCGTGAGGGATAAGGTCTATAAATTGAAGGTGAAATTCCCCCTACCGTTGTCCTTAATCTCACCCACCCAGAATAAGCTGATTGTGCAATCCTTTATCTCATACCAAAAGTCCCGTCCTCAGCTTGCTTGGCACCATGGCTGGCCACTGATACGACGACCTACAACGTCTACCGAGTCTATTTCAAACAAAGCGACAAGCCCGATCATCAAGGCATTGCTCTTGTTCCCGCGCAGATGGTGGATCAAGGCCGTGGAAGATTCTACCTATAAGGCTCAGCATTTCAATTTCAGATCCCGAAAGCGAAGCTCTCCGACTTCGAAGGAATTGCTGCGAAGCAGAAGGTTCCTCACGATCCACGTGTACTCACGGAAAAGAATCCTTCCCCACCACCTCGAAATTGTGCTGATTGGGTCGACGATGTTTTGAAGGAGGCGAAGAACAAGCTAGTGGGATGAGGCTTCGATTATAAGGGAATGAATGTGGAACCGAGGGGATAGCACCAGGAGTTGTTGAGGGTAGATTAGATTTTCAAATACCTATTGTATGTAGTGACCAGACCATGATACACATACACGCTAAATCAATAGCTTTTCCATCAAAAAAGAGTGTATGAAGAATTCAGCGTGATACGGTTGAAGGATTTGCAACAGATAGTCTGTCCAATCACTCTGCCAGCCCCATACAAGTAGTGCCTTTGCGAATTCCCAGTATTCTGGATACCAACCACTTCGCTCCCAGTCTATAATGGCGACCACATGTCCATCTTTCACCATAACATTCTGAGGCCGGATATCACCATGCGTAAATAAGATGCGGTGGGATTGAGAAAGCATTCCACTAAGAAAACTTTTGATGTGGCGTTTCGGCACAGTCTTTTGATAGGCGTTAATGAGAGCCGTGTTAAAGTCCCGCTCCGAATCGAATGGGCCTTTTCAAAGAAATAATTAGTCCAGATCAAGCGGTCCCTGCGTGTTCCATTCCCAAGGTCTGGGTTTTGTACCTTTGTCAAGAGAGGTCGCTAAACTGCGGTCAGTAACAGGACCATGATCTATGGAGCCAATATAGCCAACGTTCCCTATATTGCGGATCTCCTGGATATAGCTTGCAATTTGTCTTGAAATTTGGGATTTGGCGGAGACGCCAAAAGAGTCCCAAGCTGTGTGGAGTGTTTCGCCGGCAATGAAACTCATGAAGATGTAGGTATCATAAAGGCCTCCGTAATCGCCAACATCACGATCAATTGGACCGTACGTATAATATGCAAAAACTTTGGGCACAGGAACCCTTGTATTCTGCGCAACATGAATCATGGTTTTGGCCTCGATAATGTTGACATGAGCACCAAACTTGACGACAACTTCAGGTGATATCTTCACAATGGTGACACCTTGGCAGAAGATCAGGTTGCTTTGGTCTTGGCAAAATTGGTTGACAATACCGGGATGCGGTAAGCAAAAACCAGGCGCAGAGAGTATTGCACATTCAAAAGAGGCTCGGAAATCGAGGATTGGGAACTACTCAATTCTGTAGTGGAAGACATGTTTCGGTGGAATGACAGAGAGAGTAAAAATGTAAAAGAACTGAGTCTTGAAGATGAGAAGAGATCAAACAAGACTCGGGCTTTGAATCATGTGCAACCAAGCCACCCATAACCCCACGCTCGGGGCTTATTTTTGGAGGTTTCAACAAAATGGAACCAGACGAAGCAAATCAGCGTGCAATGTTTCGAGGAAGGATTACAAACGAGGCTGGCCTAAATATGTTAAACATGTATGCGTGTGAATTTGTGCGTTTTAACGACCGACTACAACTATGCCTCATTTTCAATACCAATTACGAATAATCAGCCTTGATAATGCAAGCAACGTAACGCGAGGTGGATATCTAATAACGAGGTGTCTATTTGAACCGAGGCGCTAGGAAGCGCGACTAAGCATTTGAAAAGAGTGAAGTCCAGCTCCTATTTTAACTAGGGAATTGCCAGACGCGGTTGGTCCAAATTAATCTTGTCAGGTGACTGACTGTGTTGGTTAGGCACCAAAACCCCTCTCCTTGACAGCTTGAAATTCGTTCTATTTTGATTCCGTCAGCCACGCCAACCTCTCCTTGAAATCTAGGTCAAAGTTTTCATGGTTTTGGCGACCACCACAACTCACCAGTTCAAGTCTCGAAGGCCAGTGCTGGAAATTAAGACAGGTCTTCACCCGCCGATGCTTCGCCTCCAACCATGCCAACCACGCACTCGTTTAAGCCCCGAAGGCAATAGGATATTGGCTTTAATACACGAATGGCTTCCAAGTGCAGAGTTTGAAACCGACAAATCCGGCAACAGGCTCTACACCGACGCTAAACGGGACCTTTACGTTGCGCCGCTTCTTTCCCTATTAAATTTGAAGGGGTGAATCCCTGAGTTACATTCTTTAAGCAGATAGATGCTAAGTGAATAATACCATTAGCACCTCGGCTACTTCATTCAGCGTTGCTCTGTACCAACACCCGTCGAGAATTCCACTGGCCCGGGCTATCTAATCCCCGTCGCGAAAATCAATCAGACAACACCGACAACCATACCTGGTGGTCCCCTAGAGCCAGGATCGTATATTCACTTCACTTCGGGAGAGAAATTCCTCGTCACACCAGAAATTGATTGTGTATTTGTGGTTACACCTCAACAGCAAAAAGGATATCCCGGCGCCTAGCTCAATAACTAAAGATGGGTCGTGTGGGAACATTTTGAGCAGAATTGTGCATCTCTTCCGGGGTACATGGGTGTTGCAGTGGCGTCATTGACATACAAACGTCTGGTGGAAGCGTGCAAGAATCAAAGGGTGCATGCAAAGCACAAGTCGAAGGATCAAGGACCCAAAAATGCCCCATCTCCGCTCGCATGGAAGGGTCAAGAATATAAGGATGCCCGAGTAAATCAGAGCTTCTCTGGGTTTCTTCAGTTGAGATGTCGTATAGGCGTTCATGTCCCCTCATAGCCTGTGTTGAGGAGTCGGACAGTTGAGGGGAGGTGGCCGTCATGGTAAGGGGACCATCATCTCTGGCGTTAGGTTGAAGGACCACATGTGGGAAGTTGTAGGAATGTATGCTGTTAGTACCGTCTGTGCGACTGTTCAGAATATCGCCGTATTCAGTCCCATTGGGGATTTGCACGGCCATAGTATGGGGCTGTTGGTCTTGCGCTACGTTGCGTGGTTGTTGGTCATACATATCTGAAGCAGACGAAATTAATGAAAGGTGGTCAAGCTCTGGGCCACCCGAACGTACCATCTTGAGAAAATTGACGTTGGTTGAGTTGGGTATTCCCTTGCTCGCTTGCAAAAATTGCGACGGGCGATGCATGTCGCATGTTCGCATCGTCCAAGCAAGCATTGTCTGGTCCTTGACAATGCGTAGAATGCTCTGCCTGTCCATTCGTGTTCGACCTAGCTAATATTTCCGTAGCTGGAATGGGCCTTTTCGTTAACCCAACAGATAAACCAGAGATGGCACGAGGCGGCGAGTCAACACGCCGGCGTTTATTTTGTCTGGCTGTGGTCGGATTACCGAGGTTGTGCGCCCGAGCACATCGTGCTCCCATGTACCTCACTGAGACGATTAGTACAAGTACGGATAAACGACGAACCACAAGCAAATTCTTACCACAATCAATATCGTAGGTTTCCTGGCATTGATTTCTCCACTCAGACTTTGCCGCAAGGCCAGAAAATCCTGGTGAATTGCGAATCAATTCCGCTAGCCGTGGCAGGTACTGATAGTTCAAGTCTCTAAACCTGTGAAACACGAAGAAGACAGGTGAAGAAGCACTAGTTTCGCCATAAAGAGTTTCAAAGACTCGGAATTTAATCCTATTCTGGATAGCCTTTCTAGTTGTTGCTTCTTCTTGTTCTCCTTGCTGGGCCAGATATTCTCCAATGTGACCAGTACGCTTTGTAGCCTGTTCGAGATTTTGAGCCAGTATCTCAACCCGGGAAGTTTCATGGGTCTTTTTTTTCCTATGCCAAGTATTCATCAGCCAAGGAACAACGCCCAAGATTTGCCCGGAATGTCGCCGTAAGAGAGCGATTTTTTTGGTCAGCATGATGTCAACAACGCGAGGATCCTTGCCTGTCCAGCTCCCGCCTGTGGACACTGCGGTAAACTTTGACAGTTTATCCAGTCGTTGCATGGTCTGTTGTAACATGCTCTGCTGCACTGCCTCGGTGTTCATAGATGCACATGGCTTTGATTGCTTCCCGTTCGGTCGCAGAGAATTTGATTGTTGCCGATTTTCCTGTGAATCACTAGCTTCCCCTTGGCCTGGCTGCTCGCCAACAAAATCTGGCATATTCGTTTGGTCTTTCGGGCTAGGATCCTGCGAATTGGTGGTGCGTGAAACTTCACAAGATACATTGGTAGCCTCTGGGACTCCGTCGCTAGCATTTTCATTGTCATCCAGAGAACTTTCTCTTTCCGACTCTAATACAAATCCCGAGGTTTGGGCAATGAGAAAGCGTCTCGGATTCACAAATGCAGATTCGAGCTCCCCATGATAGGGTAACAATTTGTCAGTATCTGGATTTGATAGACGTAGCTCCAAGAGCTACAACAGGATCTAGAACTGAAGTTCCAGATAAACAGGTCGGAGATCACGTGCCGTGATCTTCCTCTAACTAAGCATCACGGTTCGCACCGTGACATGGACCGTGGGCGTTATGGACGGGCACTCGAAAATCTAAATAGCCCACCGCACACCGTGGACGGGCGATGTCGGTCTACTAAGAAGCTTCTTTAGAGTGGGCTATCTTATTTAGTCTCATTAAAGTAAGAATTCCGAATCCTAAGAACTACCTATAGACTTGGTATTAGAAAGATGATGGTAGCGAAAAAGATACTAAGGGCCCTTCCACTAAGTAGTAGTATTTCAGTTTTATTCTGATTCGCGGATCACCTAAGGATAGTCGATCTCTTAGTTAGGTTAGTACATAGTATGTAATCTATTCCTCTACTATATATTTACCTAACCCGAATTCTCCTCGGTTATTTTCTAGTCTCGTTGTGTAGGTGTGTGTAGACATTTGATTGAGCAATCAATAACCTCATGCCATGCAAAATCATGCACATACGACCATAGGGTGTGGAAAACAGGGCTTCCCGTCCGCTCAGCCGTACTTAAGCCACACGCCGGTGAGTTAGTAGTTGGGTGGGTGACCACCAGCGAATCCTCACTGTTGTATGTTTTTTGTTTTTTTAACTAACCTCTTCTCATTTTGACTCAAGGCCAACAGTTGTCACGTCTCATCCCACACAATCCTTAGATCCTCAATATCATGCAACATCTCCCCTAACCGCCTGGTAGCCTGACGCAAAACCTCGCCCGGCACAGCCGCGATCTCACACAAATCTAGCTGCAAGACCCCGAAATACACTGTCACCTTAGTGACCCGTACATTGGGCGTTGTTGCCATTGGGCCATCTGTGTTTTTGTCGCGAGTGCTCGACGGAGGTTGGGTTCGATCTAAGCCACCCCCGGTCGTGCGAAATGAGTTAAGCGGGTCATCTCAAAGCTTAGGATTCATATACCAACACCCCCACCGTGAGGCTGGGTCCCACGCCAGCCTCCGATCATTGACGAAACTGCCGCCTCAAATAGCGTGAGCATCTTGATGGCCGCATCTATCATCATTTCCAGCGTTCGTGCATCTAGATGGGCATCGGCTACGGGGCAGCCATACAATAGTTCCCAGTGATCGATGAAAGATTCTCCGAGAATGAGGACTTCATCTAGAGGTATGTAGAATGGCTCTGAAGATCTAGTCGAGAAGGTTAGGAAGCGATTGAGGGCTTGTGCTGTCCGGGCGAGACAGTTGCAAAGCGGTAGGGCTTGAGGGCGGGGCATTTTTGGTGAGTTTCAAGTGAACAGGTAAAAAAGCTGACGATTTGTCTGAGAAGTTGGTCTATTCTTAGTGTTGTAACCTACACATAGGGAATGGTATCACACTTCCCGAGGGAATCCTTTTGATGGGTACTGGAGGGTTCTGAACTATCAACCACTGCCCATCACCCCTTGCAACTTCGCATTGCTTCGGAGAAATATGCTTGCGACAGTTGCGCACGCCATCGTTGAAACGTATTACGGCATTGCTACCCATAGAGGGAGGGGGGGGGGGGGGGGGCGTCATGTTGCTCGCAAAGAAGGGCTCGACGCAACCTACACCGGGATTTTTGGGTATTTATTTTCATCTCGTTCATCTATCGGGTAATTTCCTTGTTGGCTAGGTGCTTAGCTGCCCAAATCGATGAATGTTTCAAGTACCCGGCGTGCATGCTTCGATGTTGTTTGAACAGGTCACAGTCAATTCGGCTGGTAGGGTCCTGAGGAATAGAAGTACATCGTCGACAATTTTACCTTTTGTTCCTGTGCAGCACCTAAAATTAAGGTGAACTATGGTCTCACGCCGGCCAAGCCATATACTAAGATCGAGTTATAAAGGGTCAGCGGACCAGCCATGTTCGGTTTTGGGGATCGGGGATCGGGGATTTGTGCACTTCGGCTTCTCCGGGGTGGAGACGAGAGTTATGCATGAAACTGGGATATAGATAGTACAAAAAGTGATCAGGGACTGTAAGAACTGACTGGTCTGGCAGTTTTGGTAAATTGGTAAGTCTCGTTTAATAGGACATCTCTTAAATCTTCGCTTCAAGATCAAATCTCATCCGATACGGTCTCATCGACAGATGCCTCAGGCACACATCGTCTGAATTCGCCCAATCAGGCAATTGCCGAGGCATCCAACCATTTCCTTCGCCAAGTCCTTTTCGATTCTGATGATTTTTGATGACTTTCGAGGGTTCTTCCCAACAACTCCACATGCCCTCAAAAGATTGGTGCTAGTGATCAAATAGTTCCCAACCGTTGCTGTTCGACCAATGTTGTATCTCCTGCACCGGGATCGTTTCCATGTTAGGGAGATGCCGCCGAAGAGCATTTTCTCCTTTTGAGCCTTTTGAGCGTCTGTTCTGCTTTCCTTTTTGAAAGAATGCTGGCAGATAACAAGACCTAGAGAACAAACGACCTGAACAACCTGCCACACTTGAATTACAGTTGGATCACGGCTACCTTTCCGCAGGCCCCAACAACTCCACAGCCCACACATTCACAATGGCTCCACCCGTTCCATTCCCGGGCTTCACCCCAATATCTGATCGAGTATACCTTCGCAAGGGCCACGAGAAGACCAACCCCTCCCCAGCCGACGAACCCACAACGATCATCATTTCCGGCTGGGGCGATGGCATGCCAAAACACGTTACCAAATATTCGGACGGTTACCATGAGCTCTATCCATCCGCCCGGATCATCGTTATCCTATCGCGTACCTTCCAGGCCACCCACCAATCCGAGGACGCCAGAATCGCAGCCATGATGCCTATCGTGGACACCGTCTTCCCGACGCCAACTGGCAGCGGCAACGAAAAGGAACGCGTTCTTGTGCATGCCATGTCAAACACAGGTGCCATTTTCACGGCCGCCGTCGTTATCGCCTACCAGAGACGCCATGGGGCAGACAAGCCATTCCCCCACCGGCTCCTGGTGCTGGATTCCACACCGGGAAGTCTGGTCTTCACGTCTCAGGTTGCCCGATGGTCGCGTGCGATGACAGTCGGCACCGCCAAGTTCTTCCCTTGGCCCTTCATTGTCACTCAGGGTATCTGGTATGCTTTCCTTTGGGCAAGTCACCTGTGGCAGCTTCTGAGTGGCTCTGAGGCGTCGGGGGTGTGGGCAGATCGGATCTTAAATGATCAGTCCTGTGTCACGACCGATTCGAGCCGAGTGTATCTTTACTCCAAGGAAGATGAGATTATTGGTTACCGGGATTTAGAGGCGCATGTCGCTCATGCGAAGACTTTGGGGTACTCGGTTGATCTGGAGATGTTTGAAGGCTCGTCGCATGTGGGACATATGAGGCTTCATCCTGAGCAGTATTGGAATAAGGTTTCCAGCTCTTGGAAGCAGGCTATCGTAGAGAAATAAGGTGCTAGGGGTACTGGATAGGGTGCATGGGGTGCATGGGGTGCATTTGTCTTTACAGCCTAGACTACTTTTAACTAAAACATAGAGTTCTTTTTTTTTTTTTCTGGACAGTTGCATTGATCTCACTCGCCAGTTTGCAAGACAAAGGATCTTGAGGTTAGCCAAGCCCCCGGTCCGGGGGCAGGTGGGGGTGTGTCGATCGAATCCGGCGCTAGGGATGGATCTACGATGCGCGATGTCGGTATATGTCTTGGTCTGGTCTTAGGTGATGCTAGTTTATTTGCTTTGAGATACAGCTCAGTCTCCATTTACGGGAGGAACTGACAAGCCTTCCGGAGCTAGCGATTCATCAACGTCAGACCTCCATGGCTCTGCACTATCAATCTGGTTCTCCCACGCACGGCGAAATGAAGATACAACGACAACAACCCATCAACTCGACCCTAGAGATTTAACCTAGTCACGGTCATCAGGATGGAAAACCAATGCTCGCACTTCGATACTCTCTCGTCCCGCTTCGTGCTCCGTCTCTGGGTTCACAAAAGCAGTATGGGGCACACGACGAGCTCTTCCGTCAACCTTGGAATCAAAACACTTGATCAGAGTCACCAAGTCCGGAGTCTGGCCATAGCGGTAATACCACTTGATGTTAGGATCTGGCTTGACGCCATATGTCTCACCCTGACGGTCCGGGTAGATGAGCCCGATGGGGACAAGGTCACTATCGGGGACTGAGTGCGCATCTGCCACAGCCAGTGGATCCTTCAGGATGGTTTTAATCGGACGCCAGACGTTGATAATCTGGTATCGGCCCTTGAGAAGCTCGGGTGCCTCGGCTGGGAGATGGTGGGAGACTCTGTTCTTGGATGCGGTATAGGATTGATCGATGTGCACGCGCTGGACAGGTCCGCGGAGACGGACGCCGGTGGATCCGTCGAGTTGGGCTCTTCGGATGGTATGGTCGAAGATGAAGATGCGGGATGCGCCCGTGCTGTGTAGGTCATGGTCAGTTTTGGGTGAAGAGGTTCTGGGGTGTTGGGATTGCGTACGCGTCTTTGAGCAGTTGTTCTGTTTCCGGGTAGTATTCACGCTTGATCTTCTCCTCGTCGAGGAAGTCCTTCTCTTGGCTTTCATGGTAGTAGAGCTGGAATCCATGACTGTCGAGCTTGTAGTCAAGCTCATGCCCGCTGACATCGTGGATGGTGGCCGCGAGAGGAGCCGCAGGTCGATCGTAAGTTTCTGGCTTGCTCGTATATGCGGGTGCCGGTGGTGAGCCATCCTCATTCTCTTTAAAGAAGTTGAGGGTAGTTTGAACATGGTGAGGCTTTTCAGAGATGGGGACTCGGGGCTTTTCGGAGAGCAGAGAGCCTGGAGAACCGGGAAGTTGAACAGCTGCTGAAGCCATAGCGATTTAGTTGTGTTCTGGTTTAATAGAGCGTAGAAGAGATGATCCTCAGATTAATTGTTAGGGTCGGCTACAAGAAAGGGCTCTTTTATATAGCATGGCTGGTGTTGCGGGTTGAGTTCTATTTGTCAGAAAACAGCACGCAATACTTGTATGACATGGAGAATTGCTGATAAATGCACCTATTTGTACGGTGAATGCAAGCATTAAGTCCGATGCTCAGTAATAAGTCCAAAATGTGCTGGGAGTTCATTATTAATGGACGATGTCGTGCAGATGCTATTTATATTGCAAGTGTTCTCCGAAAGATCATTTGATAATCGTGATGACGCAACCGGATATCAAGTGTACGAAAAACAACATGGCTGTTCTATATGTAACCAATGTAACCAAGATCGTCTTTTGAAATCAATTCAATTAAAACTAATAAAGATCGTTTCGTAATGGGTAGACATATGATGTCGATGTGATATAACCCCCATGTGCTCCCTGTTTTGGGCCTACACCCAGTCACCAAATTGGCATCCTTGAAAAAGACACCCTTCCAACCCCAATTTTCGTTCCAGTCACAGCTTGGAGGTAGCTGCCAGCTAGAACGATCTTCTCGCCAGTCGCAGCCAAAACTACCAACATCTCGTTGTATGTGTTACATCAAATCAGGCATTCTCTACTCCAATGAGTGGGGGTTGGCATTGTGTCCGAATTAGACTGCAATGATAACGATTTGGACTGAGAGACTTTAGGAGAAACAAAAAGAGAGGATGATACGTTGTTCATGAAACTACTCAAGGACGATCCAGAATTACCCAGAAGAACTGGAACCTCGGGGCAGCACACAGATTAGACAGCTTCAGTTCTAGTCCGATTCCATTAACGTATTGAGAGATTTCATCCTTCTCGGACACAACTATGCTCACGTTATGAGCTATAGTCCTCAAGAGAGGTGTTACAATCATTGGAGATGACCATCTCCGTCCAAATCGTGCGAATCGCCAAGAATCATTCCACTCTCCGATGAATCATCCATTGGACGAAGGGCATGTCCCTAAATGGAATTGGCTACACTGAACTAGAATCCAGGCACTATTGAAATTGCTGATAATCTCAAAGGCTGTGTATGCCGTCTGGTAGCTCGTGGATTCCACGCTGCCGATTTGGCCGATGACTATAAGACTGGGGATATGTTGGTTACCGGCAATCGCGAAACCACTATTTTACAAAATCAACTCCTCAGAAATAAAGGCAGTAAAAAAAAGCACAAAGTGTACACAGTCCTTCTCTATCCCTAGCCCAGGAGTTGAGAGGGGACCTTGGTACAAATGTAATGCGTCGAGTCGTCTATGCGCTATCCAGTGTTCCTTCGGGAAAAAACACTTAGAGTTGAGTTTCCCAAGGGATTTTCCACCGCATTTTTCCTTTCTATATTCACTCAATCCTGTCCTTATAAAGGCACGTTTATAGGTTATAACACGGAGGTGGTTCGAGAGAGCGCAAGATGACCAGTCCTCAAGTTAAAAGCAGCGGCTCTCCCCTCAGTGCGTCATCCACATTCGTTCCAACACAAGCGGGCGCCAATAAGATGGCCTTTTAATCCAAAAGCACAGTCCTCAGGTCTTAGGATAATATGACGTTCAAAAAAATCCCCTCCATGTTACTACAGCAAGTAATTAATCCAGAATTCTCCCACCATGACAGCTCTTCAAGCAAGATGGATCAAAACGGTCGGAGCAGAGATCTTACAACGATCCTCTCAAACAGTCTCTGTCATTGATAGAAAGGTCTACATCTTCGGCGGGGAGTTGCGGCCGCGAGAACCCAGAGACAACTCTGTTCACGTGGTTTCATTTGGAGATCGTGAGTTTTGTCTTTGTTCCAATAAACAACATCACACAGATTCGAGAGACAACCAGTCCATGGACCCGAGATAATCATATACATACAGCTAACCCCCACCCCACAGCCGCAACCCTCTCCACCTCGCCACCCACCTCGTCATCCCCCTCCCCTCGAGTAGGAACCGCATCAACAACCCTGAATGGCAAAATCTATTTGTTCTCCGGACGTGGAGGCACGGCAATGGCACCCATCGAAGAAAATGGCGCAATCTGGGAATTTGACCCCAGTGCAAACAAATGGTCCTTCCTAAGACCATCCGAGCCAGTCACAACCGCCTTCCCAGCAGCGCGCAGCTACCACTGCACAGCCAATGATGGCAAAGACACTGTCTTTGTCCATGCAGGCTGTCCTGAGAAGGGCCGTCTATCGGATTTGTGGGCGTTCAGCGTATCCCAGAAAAAGTGGGCGGAACTTGCTGCTGCGCCGGATCCCCCGCGCGGTGGGACGTCGATCGCGTTCACTGGGGGCAGATTGTATCGGATGAACGGGTTTGATGGGGAGCGGGAACAGGGCGGTAGAGTGGATATATATGAGCCTGGAACCAATCTGTGGGGCTCGCATTCGTTTATTCCGGATGGTGTGACTGGGCCATCGCCGCGGAGCGTGGCAACCCTCCTTCCAATTGTTGTTTCGGGTCGTGTGTACTTGGTTACCCTGCTTGGTGAGCAGGATCCCAGTTCCTTGGGACATCAGGGTGCTGGGAAGATGTTGGGTGATGTGTGGGTATTTGATGTTGAAGCCAAGTTATGGACGAAGGTTGAGCCTCAGGGAGATGAATGTCCTGCTCCACGGGGCTGGTATGATGGCGATGTTCTTGAGGATAGCAGTGTTGTAGTTCATGGAGGACTGGGGGAATCGAATAATCGGTTGGGTGACGTTTGGACTTTGGAGTTTTTCTAATCTTTGGAGGGCTTTTGGTTCTCAGGGTAGAATCTGACAATCTTTAACATCTTCAATAACCGAACCCTGTTGGAGAATTATGGACTCTTAAAAAGAATGGAACGAAGTAAGGAGAAGTGTGTGCCTCCTGAACGTACAGCAAAAGCACAAAAGAATAATATCAAAAGGAAATCATTTATGCGTGCTATGGAGTCTTGAGTTGTGCTGCCATGCTTGCCTTCGCCATTCCGCAAGAATTTCATAAGAAAAAGATAATTGGACAAAGAAAAGGAAAATTCAAACGAGTCGCACCATACACCAACACCATAAGGGAAAATCCTGTCAGAGGAAATGGACAAAAAAGAAATCAAATGACTGTCATCGCGAAACGCCATAGCAAAAAAAAAGGCTGAGTTGAAATGCAGTGGGAGACCTCCGAGAGGCAAATCAAAAGAGTCGTTGTGACAACTGCCACAGAAGATAGAAAAGTTGATCTGTGATTTGGAACTCTATTCATGCTCAAAGCGTTACTTAGAACATGAGAGAGCGGGTTTTCTGTCGACGCGCTTCGGTACTGCTAATCTCAGGTTGAGAGTAGGTGTGCTTGTGTCGGGATTGAGGCGCCGGCGCCCCAGATCCTGCAGTCGATGGAGGTCCCATTATGGCACTGACTCTGCTCCGAACAGGTGATGGGACTGAGGCAGGCGCTGTAGGAATCCCACTCGGTGGACGACGAGGAGCAGTGCCATTGCTAGTTTTCATGCTACGCTCGCGCTTGAGCACAAGCTCGGCCCAGGGCTTGAGTGCACCATTACCGGAGGTAGAGCCCTTCCCAACAGCTTCAGACATGACTCGAAGCCAGCCCTCCTTATCTGCAGCGCTATCCGCGTAGAAGTCAATCACTTCACCATTACCAAAGCGGATGCGGAATCCCTCCTCAACAAACATGTAACCATCTTCTTCCTCGGCGAATGCAGATTTGCGGCGGGAACCTCCCTTGGTGCTGGTCTCTTTCTGAAGTAGGGAGGATCGATCGTCAATGAGCTTAGAGGCCTTGGCTAAATTAATTGTAGCACGAGGTTGGCGCGTTGTTTCGTGGAAGGCCGTTAACTTGGATCCTTGAAGCTTGAAGAAGCGACGGCGCCAGTACTTTTATGACATGTGAGTTTGAAATCGGAAACACAAGATGTTTTGGGCACTTACCGGGCAATCTCCACCCTGTTGGGAAAGGAAGCCTTCCCAAGATCGAGCTGCAACGCTCTCCGCATCCCGCATTTCACGAATACAGGCATTCATGCTCTTTGGCATTTCATCATCCTTGCTACCCTTAGGCTTAGGAACAAATAACAGTTGCAGTTCCAATTTTCCAATCTTGTAAGGTGGTCGACGCTGCGTGTTAATGCTAGTCGCACTCTTCTTGCTCTTGACACTACTCATCTGTTCGTCAACTGCCCATTCGTTGAAGCAAGCAACGTCAACAATGTGGGGACGGCCAAAGGCCTGCTGCTCGTGGTCGCTCAAAGCCACATATGCGCGGCCAAAGCTGCCATCCCGCGCAACCAAGTTTCGAAGCCGTTCGTACACAGGGGCATTGACATCCTTGCTCTTCTGCTGCTGCGACTGCATTTGTTGCTTGATATCGAGCTCCTTACGCCGGCGTGGGGATGCAAATACACGGCTGAAGGCCGATGCCTTTTGGCGTGAAGGGGACGATGCAGGTTCCTGTGTTTGGAACTTGCTCTCATCAATCTTCATTTGCAAAGTCAACTGGAACTCAAGGTCATTCTGGACAATAAGCTCAAACTCCTGTCCAATTGGAGCAGACTTGCCCATCTCCAACCAAGAAGTGGTAACACAGTGCAGTCCGTTATCCAAAGTCAATGCGAAGTACGAGCGTTCACCTAGAGTTCGATTAGTAACAGGGAATTGCAGTCAATCTTGCGATAGGATCTTACCACGTGGGAGAGGAAGGTCACAGTATTTGAGGCCAATAACCTTCACAAACAAACGCCCTCGCTCTTCTCCATCTTCGAATGATTCAGGGATGACAGGTTCGTTCTCTTCAATGCTCGCGGGAGCTTCCTGGATGTTGCTGGGCTGTCCAGGGAGAGGTGGGACTCCACCTGCACCAGGGACGGGCTTCTTCTTCGGAATACCAGTGGCAGTCTTAAGACTTGGGCGTCGCGCTGAGCCGTTCCAAGGGACTGTGGTCCAGGTCTGTTGGCTTGGTTTGCGTGAAGAAGACCCAGCAGGACGTGAACCACGCGGGTCTTGGGCAGTGTGCTCAAGAGATGTCGTGGCTTCTTCTTCGTTACGGCTGCTCGCAATGATAACTTTCGTGTTCTGCCTCATAAGATATCCTCTCTGTTTCAGGGTAGGAGAGTCAGCGGGGTATGCACTATTTTCTAGGGGTTCCTTGGGTGCGATGGCCTGAGAAGTGGGAAAAGAACCAGGGCTTCGGGAAAGGGCAAGGTGAAACGCAACCTTTTGGGATTCTATGACACGATCAAACTCCTTATTTAGTCCAAAGCCAAGACTTTCTTCCTGGATACTGAAGGGAATATCGAGTTTCAAACAACTGCTTTTTCGTTGGGCAAGATCAGCGTGCGACCCCGACTGCGGTGGCGAGTCGGTCTGCCTTTCTTCATCATCAGAGGAGTCTGAGTCAGTGGAGATCCGCTGGGTCATTGAAGGGACGGGTGGAACATGTTGGCCACTGATCTGACGTCGGGTAGCAGCCATAGATTGTATATCCGCAGGGGTCAGTGATGGTCGGGTCTTGAGATCAGCACCAGGGGCTCGAATTGTCGCGATAGGCTCAGGAACAGACTCGTCGGATGAACAGTCATCACGTTCCGGCTCAAGCTCATCTTCCTCCTCTTCCTCCTCCTCTTCCTCCTCCTCTTCCTCCTCCTCCTCTTCTTCTTCCTCTTCTTCATGTTCATCCTCATCATACTCGTCCTCAATCGGATGACGAATGACAGAGTCTGGAGTCGAGGGCTCGGAAGCTTGGTCTTGCTGCAACTCAGGTGTGGCTGAGCGGGGGAAAGACTGACGTGCAGATTCTATATCAAAGGATTGATCTGCAGGAGCGTCCGACTCTTTGTATTCCTGGGTGTGTTTGTCCGACTGTGCAGGCTTTTGAATGTTGTCCTGGGTTTCAGCATTAGGGGTAGTCTCTTCAGAATGCTGTTTGTGACTACGGTATCCAGGATTTTCGCGCTCAGCGACTTCGGCAGCAGAGCGTAGCGAATAGTTGCTATCCTCGTCGTACTTGGCCCGTTGATCACGGGAGGACAGACTGTTGTCTGACGTGTTCTGATAGTAACCCGTGATAGAATAAAGGTCCTCTTCATGCTCTTCCGCTTTAATGATTACACTGGAACAGTCATCGTCATTAGTTTCCATTGATGGAATAGGAACATCAGGGTCATAACGGTCATAACGTTGGGGGCTGGAACCAATTTGAGAAGATTCATCGAAGCTATCGTCATCGTAATTGTCCCCCTTGCGAATTCCTCGCAAGATGGAGTCGCGAGAAATTCGAGGCGGAGAAAAGAAGTTCTCTTTGGCCTTGTCTTCTCTGTGGGTGTCACTTTTTGGTATAGGATCTTCATCTGCTCTGGGAAGCTCCAAGGGTTCCTCCATGTTCTCCGTGTGGTCATCGCGTGTATCATTATCACCTTGCTCCTGCAGCATCATGAGACGGAGTCTCTCCTCTATAGAAACGGCGCCGGGGAGGTCAGACTTGGAGTATGAGGCGGGAGCTGGGGGTTCTGGGAGCACACGCTGGCCTGCGCTGCCGAGCTCAAACGCAGCAGCGAGCTTACCAGCCGAGGATGGGCGCGCGCCAGACATTCGATTAACGGATGGCAAAGGCGGGAGGGGGCGTCGCTCGCCATTTGAGTCCAACGACTCAACGCGTGTGTGTTGACAAGATCCTCCTTCACGCGAGATGGGTCGGTCTTCGGTGCTGTCTTCTTCGACATTCTCGACGAAAGGGTCGCTATCACTGTTTGGGCTTTGGCTCATAAAACGCCAATCTTCGGGCAAGACGACAGGAGTCTTCTCGATGTCTTCCAACGAGGCGTCAAAGCTATCATCACAATCAATGGATGACTCGGCCTCAAAACTAAGATCCCCCTCTTCCTCGGACTCGTAGCTATTCTCTCGTGACTCAGATGCCACTGAGGAAAGATCCGGTGTTGTCATTTCATATTCATTGATTTGAGGAGGAGCATGGTCAAATGTGACGCTCTTCGCATGACGATGCCCAGCACTGCCATACTCAGACCAGATGTCGTTCTGAGGGTCAAATCCCTTGCCGTACCGGCCACCTTTGGATAGTGAGGACTTGCTTGGTGATGCTTGCTCTTTACTGGAGGACGACGGGCGAGAACTCTGGGTGGTGTCTTCATCGAACTGTGACGTCGCAACATTCCTCTGGCTGTCCCGTTGCGGCGACCTTTGTGGGGCCAACGGTCTTTGAGGAAAAGCTGCTGAAGCTGGGTCATACTCTTGACCTCCTTCGAGGAACATGCTGTGATTTTTGACCTTCGACACGCGTTTCAAATTTTCCAGCGATGGGCGCTTTGTAGGGAGATAACAACCCTCTGGATCATATGGTGCTTTGTTCTCGGCCCCCTTAGAAAATGGCGAGGGAGAGTCGCGACCTTTCCAAAAGAGGCGTGGGGACGTTTTGTTATTCTGAGATGACACATCGTATGCGGGCGATTCGCCATGCGGCATCTGTTAGTCTTGTTAGCATGCTTTACCACCTGCGACATGTCGTATTGACAGTACCTTGGTAGCTTGGTTCCAGCTAGGCGAATTGCGCCTCTGAGCCATAGGGCTCACTTCAGAGAGTGGCCGCTGACCAGCTCCGTTACTCATACTGACGTCGGGGTTGCTGGTGAGTCAGTATATGAAGTATCCAATCATGATAAAAGATCAAGACAGGATCTCTATGATGTGCCAGTGCTTCCTCATCAAATCCTGAGCGGCAGGTGGGTTCATAACCGACGATAAAGGGCAGAAGGCAAAACACACAGAGGACGGGTACCATACCTTTTGTAATAACCAAGAGTCGCGTGGTTAATGTTTGCCAGCGAGTCCTGATACGTTGCTGCAAATGCGTTAAAGTCGTGTCGATCGTGGCAGGAATGGCGCGGCAAAGGGCGAAGGTACCAAAACAAACCCAAGGTTGGGTGTCCGTTTAACAAATGCAAAAAGAAAAAAGGGAAAGGGATTACGAAGGGATACGATCTCAAGAAAAGCTAGCAGGGAATAGAAACAGAGGCAACGAAAGAACTTGTGAAGACCAGTAGAAACAACGAAACTTGATATGTCTCTCCCATGGATTCAAGTGGATTGTTACCCCAAGCAAGAAACTGTTGTGGCGGAAGTTGTCATGGCAACGGATGGATTCGACTGTTTTAGCATCCCGTGACACTGCGTCAGGTGCCTAGGATCGGCGCTAACCTCGAATGGGATAGCTTCGTGGATCATCTTCGATCCAGTTTGTATATTGTAGTTGTTTATCTTCTGATTACTCTCTTACTATTTCTTTTCTCTTTTTTTTTCTCCCCCCTCTCGATTTGAAAGTTATGGCGCTTGTGCAGCCCATACTGAAGTCGCAAAATTGATCAGGTATTCTTTGTCAAGTCGAACGTCAGCTTCTTTGTCGATTGCAGGACGTCGTCCAAACATGTGTTAGAAAGGAATTACAATCAGGTACCGAGAGACTGTGATTTTTTTGGTTTATCTGTCTCTTCAATCACCCTTTATTTTGACGCTTGGACTTTGAATGCTTATATTCCATTCATATGTATTGAGTGTGATTCGGTTCTTACGGCGGTGGACTTTGATAACCCCATCACCATTTTTGCTTGACCGCGGACAAGATTTACCCACATTCTGGTGTCCTTGTGCGACTCTCTATCCGTTTCAAAAAGAGCAACCTCAACGACTACAATGGGTCGTTTGGGTTCGCCATGGTCACGTCGAATGGGACCCCATCCCCAATCTGGATGCTCGAAATTCCGGTTGCCAACGTCAATTTGCACCAGCCCATTTCCCTGCACTATTCAAGATAGTCCCAACCGCTGTAGAAGTTCCAGGACTTCAGTGTTTAAGGCCATCGTAGCTTGGACATTCTAGGCGGACGAAATTTTGAGAATTAATGTCTGTATGGCTGCGTGGTAAAACATCTGAAGATTGATCTGCAAGCAAGAACTCTTTCTCGAATGAGAAGGGATCAATGATACTAAGGAAGTAATCTTCTGGGGTATTGGTATCAAAAGATTCATCCTGGAGATGGTGCAATAAGCGTTCAAAACGGCCGTATTCAATTTTTAGGATTTATCGAGTTGCTCTTTTCCTTCACATGTGTTTCTGTTCATAGAAGGAGGCAAGCCAGTCAGAAAGCGTTCCACTTCATCTCTATACAGAGCATTGAGATCCTGCCTTAACTTGCCTTTTTTGATTTTCCTTCTTTGAAAAAAAAAAAAAACGTGAGAGGTAATTTTATCAGGATGCGAAAAAGGCCTATCAAGGATGTAATTGAGTTGAGTTGCCGAAGGCTGCGAAAACACTGAGTCAGCACTCTGATAATGCGCTAGTCCAAGAATGGAATGGCGTCTATAATCGCAGAAAAAAACATCTGAATCTATTCAGTCCTCTCCTCTTCGATCGTTCCGTGTTTTCTATATCTGCGCAAACTGTCGTATTAATCTTAGGTAGAATGCCTCTACCAATTCGATCTTCGATTTGTTTTCTATGTCAAACTAAGGCGACCCTGATCGCCCCATCGATTCTTCCGTCATCATGGCAGACTACGCGAGGCTTGGCCACCGTTCGATTGCGACGCAAGGCTGCTCGGATGGCGCTGTCTCCTACTGTTGCCAACCCTTCTCTACCACCTTCTAACAAGTCACGACGGGAACGGGCAGGACCCTTTGCCTCGATGAACCAAACCCAGGCACGGATTCGAGACACACCACGCACACGATCACAGGCGGCCCTCAAGCGCCCAGGAGAGGAGGGCAAGACGGAGAAGAAGGAAAGCCCATTGTACAGGGCGTTAAAGATGCAGACAACACTAACCCCGGTGCCTTACGGTCGACGTTCCGCTATTAAAGCTCGACTTGCCGACATCACCAGCTTCGACCACTTCCCTCTCCTCCCCGCAGTTCGACAGTCGGTTTTTGCTCAGGCTCTGGCGGGTCTCACAGATGTTACCCCCACGCCTATTCAAAGACTCGCAATACCCGAACTTTTGCTCGATGAGTCCAAGAAGAAGAAGAAAGTGAAAAAGTCGAACGAAGATGTAGAAGAATACAATTTTGACCAGTATCTCCTGGCAGCAGAGACCGGCTCGGGAAAGACCCTCGCATACTTACTTCCCATTATTGATGCTATCAAGCGTGCTGAAGTCGTCGATATGGAGGAAGAGAAGGCCCTTGAGGAACAAAAGGCACAAGAGCGAGAGGAGAGAATGAAGAATAAGGCTTTCTCTTTGGAGCCTGAGGAGCCGCCAATGACAAATGCCTGCCGTCCTCGGGCCATCGTTCTCGTTCCTACTTCCGAATTGGTATCTCAGGTTGGATCCCAGCTCAAGGAGTTGGCTCACACAGTCAAGTACCGGTCGGGCGAAATCTCATCAACTTTCACTCCCCGCCGAATCAAAAACACCCTCTTCCACCCCGCCGGTATCGATATCCTAGTTTCAACTCCTCACCTTTTGAGTTCTGTTGCGAGGTCGAACCCCAATATCCTCAGCCGAGTCACTCACCTTGTACTCGACGAGGCCGATTCCCTTATGGACCGATCTTTCATCCCAACAACGTCCGAAATCATTGCTAAAGTTGCTCCGTCACTCAAGAAATTGGTTCTCTGCTCCGCCACCATCCCCCGCAGTCTCGATAACCAGCTGCGCAAGCGCTTTCCTGACCTGCAGCGCCTGACAACTCCGAACCTGCACGCCATTCCCCGTCGCGTGCAACTAGGTGTGGTGGATATTGAGAAGGAACCATACCGCGGAAACCGAAACCTTGCCTGTGCTGATGTCATCTGGTCAATCGGCAAGGCTGGAGATAGACATGAGCACACCGAGACATGGGGACCGCTCAATGCGTACATGGAGCCGAAGGTTAAGAAGATCATCGTGTTCGTCAACGAACGTGAGGAAGCCGACGAGGTCGCTGGTTTCCTGCAATCCAAGGGCATTGATGCTGTCTCGCTATCCCGGGACACTGATTCCCGGAAGCTACAAGAGACTCTATCGCAGTTCACTGAGGTTAAGCTCCCACCGACTGCGGAGGAGATCATGATTAATAAGAAGAAGAACCGCGCCGCCGGCAGCATTCCCTTCGAGCTCCCTGAGCGCCAGGAGCCCATTCGTCGCCTTCCCGACACTAAGGTTCTTGTCACTACTGACATCGCCTCCCGTGGTATTGACACGCTGGCAGTGAAGACAGTGGTTCTCTACCACGTGCCGCACACAACCATTGACTTTATCCACCGACTAGGCCGTCTCGGTCGTATGGGCAAGCGCGGTCGTGGTGTTGTCTTGGTGGGCAAGAAGGACCGCAAGGACGTCGTCCGTGAGGTTCGCGAGGGCATGTTCCGTGGCCAGGCTCTGATCTAGATCGAGATCTAGATCCAGATCCGCGCGTGCGTGCATTCATCACACTATATAACCCTTTAACATGCATGGAGTTGGTTTGAGGTTTTGATCTTTCTTTTGGGAAACTGGAAAACGACTATACCCATTGTCGCTGCGATAGTCATTAGATATTTTGGAAGTATGTACGATATGCAATCATATATGACGAACTTAATTCTCCTCTTGTATGACGCCGTCCGAGTCCAACTACGAACCAACTGTAAACAAACACTTTCATTCTAACCTCTCACACTGGTATCTTCCTCGCCAGCCTTCGCCAAAAGTCACACCTCTCCTTTAACTGGACCAGCTTGACATTCTCAAGCCCATTATCTACCACCACAAATTCCTCGCCCGTATGTAGTTCTGGTACACCTGGTTGCGACGCATTCGTCACCTTGTGTGCATTCGGGTCTCCCGTCTGAAAGAAACTCGCAAAAGCTCCCGTGTAGCCTTCATAGACGACAGGGTTAGTCTTTTGAACAGCGTTGATTCTGTTCCACTAATATCATCCAAGTTAGCTTATGCCACCAGAACGAGGAAGCTCCAGAGAAAAAGAGAGCAGCTATGGAAAGGGAAGAACAAACGTAGATACCATCACTCCCATGCGTCGCCGGAGAAATCGTATACTCCCCAATATACCCCTTCTTCGTCGCAGCGGACGCAATCCAATAAGCCGGACAGGCAAGCACCACATCCCGATAAACCAAGCCAGCCCGAACATAGGAGGTATTATAACCGTTGATCGTCTCTGTACTCCCCTTAGCGGGATAAAGAGATTCCACCTCACTAATCTGCTTGGCCGACAACCCAGGCACAAAACCGGAAAGCCAATAGTGGAAGCTGGCAACAGAGGAATTGAAACCATTTGCTAAAATGGCGCTATCAAGACCCGACGGAACAAAGTTCTGGCCCTCATGGCTATTATACATTCCCCATACAAACTCTGTATTCAGGGAGCCCCTGTTCACAGTGTCAGTGAGTGTCTCAACGAGGAAGGTTCCGTCTATCACAGGCGCCCAGGTGTAAGAGCTCGTTGTCCAAGTGTGGCTTGCTCCGATGATCAGGCTTGCATCACGGATTTTCTGGACGTCTACGGATTTGAGACAAGCGAGTGTCTCACGAGCGTGCTTATCACCGGCACAGCCTGTCAGGTTCGCTAGCTGGGTGTAGATGGCTTCTGCTTGGGGTGCGTTGTAACTATACGTCTTGGGCCAGAATGGTGAGCTGGCAAGGGCTTTGGTAAATAGTCTCGGTTGACCATGGCGGCCATTTGCGAGGACTTGCGCAACTACTGAGCCGGCCCCGGCTGATTGGCCCCATATAGTTACGTTGTCAGGGTTGCCACCGAACTGGCGGATGTGGGTCTGGACCCATTTTAAGACACATTGCTGGTCTAGCAGCCCCGGGTTTAGATCTGAGGTTGACGAGTCTTTGATTGCCTTGCCGGGTAGGAAGCCGAAGGCATTGACGCGGTAGTTGGAGTAGATAACGATGTAGTCGTTAATATTGCTAACATTGAGAATCGGGAATGAGGATGGTGGCATGGTGAGTGCAGCGCTGCCTTGAATGAAAGCTCCGCCGTAAAATACGACCAGCACTGGTCTGCTGGTGTCCTTTGCTATATCCCATGGCCGCGAGAATAGACCCAGATAGAGACAGTCTTCACTGCCATTGAGTGTGCGCTGGGGGCACATGTCGAAGTCCTGGTTTGTGTCATAGGGGTCTCCAGTGATCTTGAGTGGTGGCTGAGGCGCGCGAAAGCGGTTCTCCCCTATTGGCGGTGCAGCAAACGGAATCTTGCGAAAATATGAGAGGTTGTAGTTACTGCTATATTGACCTTTGAAAGATCCGTAGTCGAGGGAAACTTGAGGGTTGTCCCATGCAGTGCTAGCTGTGACCCCTATGCCGAGGAGAAAGGTGACAATCAGCTTTGAGGACCTCATGTTCGTGCTTCATGGGCTTTTTTCTTGGAGTTGTTGTTATGCTCATCTTCGGTGTCCGGCCGGGCCCCACGCTGTTTATAGCCTTTGGGTGCACAATGAGGAACTATTGCCCCATTTGACAAGGGAAATCGCATTCGGTAGAGGAAACCCCGAGCTTCTATTGTGTGGCTCTCAGGCGATTTGGCCGTTGTCAAGCAGATACTCTCAGACTTGGCTACGAGAGCAGCTCATTGGTGCAGTTATTGTTGATGCCCGGAACGAAATGCGGGGATCTGCGCAGTGGTTGTGAATTCGGACTCGATCACCCCGACAAATCACTGATCATATAGTGAGGACAAACCAGGTTTGGCTAGCAAATCCCCAGGATACCTAGTCATAATAATATTCAACATCACATCCACAATTAATGTGTCAAAGAGTAGCCGTCAAGGGAGTCCCCGTGCGAACAAAGCCCAAGTAAACACTATCCACTCCAGATTCAACCCCTGAAAATGCATCCCTGTAAGAAATCCAAACTCCAGATCCAATTTCCATGCAAAATAATGCAAGTTAAAACAAGTTAATCATCAATCCCTATTCTCCTAAACCAAAACTCCCACTCCGACTGTCTTGTTTCGTGGATCAAAAATGGGTCCAGGAATGTCCTGTTTACATATTCATGCGAAGTTCTCTAGTGCGACGCCGGCTTGCCCGAGCATCAAGACGAGACTCGGCTGCATCACTGGTCTCAGTTTCTGGGGTGTTTGTATCAGACAGCTCGGGGGTGGGGGTGATCCCAAAACTGACACCGCGGTCTCTGCGACAGATACGTGATTGTGCGTCGGGGGACAGAAAACGATGGATGGTGCGGTGATCCATTACTCGTTCTTCGCCATCCGGGCTTTTATCCGTTGATGGCCACTGGTATCCGTACAGCTTGGAATGGCGTTCGCAGCGCGGACATTCACGTCGCGTAAGATATGAGTTTGACTGGAGGAACCATGTATCACAGGTCTGGCACTCTACCCAGCGGTCGTACTTCTGGGCAAGCAATCGTGACGTCTTGGTATAGTCTCCAGGGACTCGGGCAACTTGTGACTCGGTCTCAACGGAGTCTACGATGAATCGCCGCTTGGTGCGAGGCTTTCGCTTTTTAGGTGTGTCCACAACCGCACCATTGGCGTCGTCTAGCTTGGTGGGATTTGATAAGTCTGACAGTCCTTCTTCGGGGTCAATGTCCATGGGGTGGGTGGTGGCTGGCTGACCTTCGGGAGATGCATCAGGACGATCCTCACCGTAGAGTGATTTCGACTCAGACGATTCCAGCACAGTCTCTTCTGTCTTGATCTTGGTTCCCATGTCGTCCTCAGTTGTGGGGGTAGTTGACGTCGAAGATGGGTGTGTTTCATCGGCGGTGGAGTATGGAGATTCGCAATCCGTGGGGATCGTAGAATGAGTGCCATTTATCCCATCTGATTCGCCTTGGGAAATCAAGCTTGGTTCCTCCGCCCCTGTGACAACCGGGAGAGGGGTTGGTGAATCAGTTGGCGATACCACTGCGGTTAGCTCTGTGATTTCTTTTTTCATGTTGGACACAGGTTCCACCAGAAGAGCAGTTGGAATTGATGCAGTTTCCAGGATAGGGGCGTTCTTTGATCCGCTCGTTGGACCTGATTCCCCAGCAAGTTCAGAAACCGAGATCTCTTCTCGCAACTTGGAAACTTGTCGTTGGAATTTTGCACGTTTGCGCGGAGTGGAACAATTTGAAGTAGAGGAGCTGTCGGGTTCATCCACGTCTGAGCTGCGTCTACGCTTCCTGCTCACATTGCTATCTTCAGGTGTAGCTTCAGACACGGGGCTGGACTCTTTGCTGTTTGCATCTGTGTCAACCTGTGAAGACCAACCATTACGAACAGCCCTCTCACATGTATGACACAGACACTCGCAATTGTCAACGCCAAAGTAGTCCTCTCCGTAGGAAACCGTGATCTCTTCTCCCTCGTGGATGTCGCGCATGGCTACGACAGACATGCCCTCGTTGCCCCTGGTTGTCAAGCTGCCATTGGCATCACAATCATGATTTGCAAAACGAGCCGGACCCAGAAAGAACGATGGGGCTTTGCGGCGACTTGACATTACGATGCTGAAGTCTTTGCGGGTTAAGCCGAGATCTAACTCTTCTTCATGAGTCATAGACACAAGCGTTCCACTCAGGTGTTTAATCTCCTCTCCCTTTTTAATGAGACTGCGAGCGCAGATCGCTGCCTCGTGTTGCGTGATGATGTATCGATTGGTCGTGGTGACCTCAAACGGACAATCAGGAAGATACATCTGAATGTACTTGCGGAGGTGTCGGCGGAACCACTCCTTCTCTCGAGGGCTACGGAGGTTTGTCATGTATTTCTTTAAGCCTGATATCTCCAGCAGCTTGCGTTCCGCCGTTGGGATATCCTTGTCGACGATGACATCGTGGAGAAGGATGCGCCCAATATCGTCATCGTGGATTCCGCGGGCAGGGCTGTACTTGGTGCGGTTCTTGCGGGTGGTGGTCCAAAAATAGGCCTGCCAGTGGCAAGTGTCAGTGGACAGATATTTGTGTAGAATTGCGGGCAAAGAACATACGTGATCCACTAGCGCATCGGTTGCGACATCGTCATAGCTGGCCAGTTTGGCCAGGGTCAAGCGCTCGCGACGTTCGGTAGCGGGCGAGTTCTTTTGCGCTTTCTTTGGAGGCATTGTGGACTTTCCAAGAAGCTGATGACCGCTGGAGATCGAAGCAGGAGAGGAGATGTGGTCTCATAGAATGCCGAGCGGGTGCAGAGGGCAGTCGGAGAGCAGTGGAGGACGGAGGTCCGAGGGATGTCGAAAATTGGTTCGAAGCGCAAGACAGGTGTTAAAATGAGTGACTATCAATCAACACAAGGAACATTATGAGGGGCTTGTCACCATTGAGGCTATTCCAAGGAGAAAGGCCTCCTTCGCCGATGTTTTTAGGGGCGGAACGGACACTCGGGAGTGCCAGCTGAGACCTTGCCGTCTCTTCTACTTTCACTCTCTTCCGCCTTTCCCTTTGAGGTGTTGTCTTTTGCTCTACTCATTATTATTAGACACGAGATGATTGAACATTGTTGAACATTGTTACTCTGTCATTTTCTACTCGTATAGCTTTGTTCTGACTTGATTTTTACGCGCCCAACTCGCATGCAACAAAATGCACCGTGCGTCAAGCCATCCAATCCTTCCTCCATGCCATATCACCGCAATTACAATTAAAATTAATTTTGGAGACTAAGTGATCAGTGTTTTTCTGCCTTGTGCGTAAGATAAATTGTACATTATCCCTCAGCGGGTATTTGCTGTGGAATAGCTAACCCCTATGAAGTGCTGGAGAATGATAGATCCATGAATGAACGTAGGCGCTCTTTGTCTTGGGAATTTCAGTCGTGCTCTGGATATATTGAGATTATTCGAAAAGCTAGTCTAACTGGCTACGGGGGAAAATAAGAATGAAAGGTTGGAATAATGAATCTGGGATGGTGATGGACTATATATATATATCATGAACTATGTATCTGTTTGATACCGAATGGCCAGGTCAGCAAAAGCCCATGCAGGATGTTACTCATATAACCGGAACAGATACCCTCTATGCTAACCAGACCATTGCATAAAAGAACAATGGATGCTACTCCGTATATCATGAAGAAGCGGCGCGTCTCATGCTTGATTTGGACGTACTATGGCTGATGTGGGTTGGAGATCAAACCAAAGCACAAAACCAAATTCCGTCGACCAGCGCCTGGAAACATCTCACAGATGGCTACAGCCAGCTACGTAGGATGTGGAGCGTTTTCTGCACCACTAGCGATGATAATCTGGCCCGAGTAGATATTCTCTGGTGACACTTTTGATGCTGCAACTCGCTTAATTGTCAATCACAGTTTGGCTTGTGGAGACCACTCTTTTGCTGTTGTTGTAGTTTGCGATATGTTAACTGCGTTGCGTCGCCACGAACAGCTACAGTCACTGTTACAAAACATAGCTCGATTGGGCCATTCCAGCAAGTCTCGATTTACATGTTTAAGATGAGAGTAACTAGTTGCTCGAGTGGCCTCGAACTAGACATATACTCCCGGATAAACCCGCTCTCCGGGGAAACCTCCCTCCGGCCGCGAGAACAAATTGCGGACAATCACTGTCTCCAAACTAGGTACCAAAACACAATGATTCAATTAAAGGTGCGCAAGCGATTCCTGCTACTGACTCACAAAATGCTGACCCTCGCTCCGCCAGACACTATTAAATTGCATCGACAACTCCGGCGCCTCGATCGTCGAGTGCGTGAACGTCCTGAAGAAGAAGCGGCCCGCGACAATCGGTCAGTCTCCACGGCACTCGAACCTAGCACACAGCACAGCAAGAAGGGTATAGGGAACCCAAGCTAACATTGTGATTGGTTTGCAGGTGACCGGATAGTCGTCGTCGTCCAGAAGCAGCGATCTGCAGGCTCCGAAGCCACTACCGCCGCGGCGCTTGCCAGTAAGGTCCGCCGTGGTGATATTCGTCATGCCGTTGTTGTTCGTGTAAAGAAGGAGTTGCAGCGGCCTGATGGGTCCCTTGTCCGGTTTGGTGATAATGCTTGTGTACTGGTCAACAAGTCCGGAGATCCTATTGGGACAAGAATGAACGGTATGTGCTCATCGGGGAGTCCAAGATATGTCGCCGTCTCCACGTTTCAAATGCTGATATCTCTACAGGTGTGGTGGGACAAGAACTACGCAACAAGAAGTGGTCAAAGATCCTGTCACTGGCGCCGATCCATGTTTAATATTTCAAGTTTCTGGATTCGTTGGAAAGCGCTCTTTGTTTCTTTGATTTGGTTTCAATCCATATGTATTCCTAGTAGATAGCTTCATTCTCATCCCCGTTCCGAAATCTCTATGCATTTTCTCCCGTTCCTGCTCCGAAATCATGCGCCAAACTCCGATGATATTGCGAAAAATCAAAAACAAAACATGAAGGGTATCGGGAATTGGAGACCGCACTGAGGAAACGCAGAGATCACATGTAGACTTGACCGCACGCACAACAGACGTAGTAGAGCTTCTGCGTAAATAGAAGACTGGGTCAGCGCATGAGCGGTATTAGAGGGGCCCAGGGATCCGTGAAAGGATTAGTTCTCACCATGCCGGTTTCGGCGGATCGTTGTTGCGACTGGAAAAAGACGGCTTCGGTTTCGCCGCAGCTTGGACAGAGCTTGTTGGCCCGTGGGAGCTGCAAATCACAAGAGGGTTAGCCTATGGATGCTCAGGAAGTTACAGAGCTGGGGGAGACGCCCGGGGCTCGACTTCAGAGGACTCTAGGCTTTCACCCACAGGCGGCGCAAACTCGAGGAGATCCTCGTCCTGGTTGGGGCCGCAAATTGAACATGTGACCAAATCACCGCATAGGGTACAAAAACCAGGAGCACAAACCGTGGGGTCAGATGTCACATCCTGAGTGACACCGGCAGTGTCGCCGACTTGGCTGTGGAGGTGGTTTTGGTAGACACAGTGAGAGGAAGCAGGCTCGCCAACATGGCAGGTGCGGCACGTAAACATCAACTGGTTGTTGACACGATCCTCCTTGGGGTAGAGCAGGTTGGAGCTATTGAAAAGTCAGCGAGATATCCTCAAACCGGATATCTTCACACAGCGATGAAGTCCAGTTGAGAGACTTGGATATAGACGTACCATTCACGGCAGAATTTGAAGTGAATTTGATCCGACGGCTTGGTGTCGCCACCAGCCGTGGACGAAGGGCTGGCAGACATGCTGCAAAGATGGGTTGTAGAATTCTAGACGTGCAAGGTCAAAATTTGAGACGTCAAGTAATCTCTGGGAATACTGTGGGACCGGAGACAGTAGCTTAAAGATGATAAAAGTGACTCCATCATTACCTTCATAGTGATAGTCGCGAAAGCGAAGAAAGAAAACCACGTGATTACACGTGATTTTTTTACAAAGTAGACTTTGAAGTCCTGGTAGTCTCGTATTTGACTCACCTGGACAATAGCACCCGTAGATGTTTTGGCAAGCACAATCCAAGAGCCTCTTGAATAGATTGACTTGAAAATAAAAACTTCCAATATGTCCTACCTATCTAGTGACGTACTTCAAGTTTCACATACAAAAAAGTGAACGTATTTACCAATGTACCTGAATTGGAACCTACGTTGTAGCTCACTTTTATTATAACTCTTTTGATATACTGGAAGTTCACATCTATACGTCCATGTACAAAGTTGTCAGATGGTGATCGTTCAAATTGGAAGGAGAGCTAAAGCTTGGACATGTTTGTGTAGTTTGCAACTGCTCACCCCGCAGTTTCCGTTCACATACAACGGGTTGCTACTGACTAGATCGTTTTATCGTTTACTTAACAAAATCCATTGGAGTGATATTAATCTGTACATTTTTATTTACTCAAAAATTAACAGAATCTTCTAGATCCGATCTTGGAAAATGGTGGGATCAAACCGTTCCGAAAGTTTGCATAGCTGACCCTTCAACCTAGGCCGACACAGGTCTTCCTACCGGTTGGGAAGTTCGCCATTCCAACTCTAAGAATCTTCCATACTATTTCAATCCTTCCACTAAAGAGTCTCGCTGGGAGCCACCGGCGGAAACCGATACCGATAAACTGAAGGTCTTCATGGCGCAAAACCACACCCCGGCTGCTCGCCTTGACGCCTCTGGCGAGGGCGAGGGCAAGATCCGATGCAGCCACTTGCTTGTCAAGCATCGTGATAGCCGCCGTCCCAGCAGCTGGAGAGAAGCTGATATCACTCGCACAAAGGAGGATGCTATTGAGATCCTCAAGGGTCACGAGCAGCGCATTCAATCTGGAGAGATCACTCTTGGTGACCTGGCCGTTGCCGAGTCTGATTGCAGCAGCGCCCGGAAGAAGGGCGATTTGTGAGTTTTGTTTTTAATTATCTAAGTGCCAGATGTCTCGCTAATTCCTTAAAGGGGCTTTTTTGGCCGTGGCGAGATGCAGAAGGAGTTTGAAGATGCCGCTTTTGGCCTACAGCCTGGCGAAGTGAGCAGCCTTATTGAGACAGCATCTGGAGTTCACCTCATCGAACGGTATGTTCAAATCTTCAAATGAAGTTTTCTATGGCTAATCTCAGATTATGGTCTCTAGTGTCCAATAATCGTATGCTCCCGCCCCTGTCTTGTTCAATTCCGCTGCGAAAAAATTCTGATCGCATCAATGCTTTTCAAACACTGCTCTCACTTCTTGGAATGATCTTCAAAAGAAATCAACTACAGTGAATGAAATACCATCTTTGTTTTCTTCTGGTTTAGAGTGTTTTGTGTCTTGTCTCGGGCAGGGCCAATCGAGTAGCAGAATCTGCGACAGCCTTTTCACTCACCATAGAAAGATGCTATTTTTTTTTTTGGGGGGGGGGAGTTGAAGTTAAGTCGCCCTGAGATCATCGAAAGAAGATTTGTATCACAACAGGACTTGAAGCTTGCCATCTATTTGGATTCAACAAGCACAAAATGGAATTTGAGGAAATGCCTGATATCAAACTTAACCCCCAACTCTAATTAGGATCTGCCTTAGGCTAACTATGACTAATTTAGGCTTAGTAGCTTGATCAACCGAAGATTCCAAAGTTGGAGAAGTAGACCGAGACCCAAAATAAGCCGCGTGATAACCTGTGGCCGTCGAGGTCAAAATAAGGATGCCAAAGGGCATTGAGCGTATGCACAACACTGCTCTTACAGAGACATCTCCCAGATCCTTTACTTTTCTTCTACCATCTTTCCTCTCATGCTTTTCTTCTTACCCACAACTTCCCTTTATCATTTATTCCCCTCACACTGTCTTCCCATACACCTACCATGACCAGCGTCACCCTTAAACTCCGCCAGAAGCGGTCCATGACGCGCCTTCTTAATCAAGGTCGCTCGATTCTCGAGTGCAATTTCGACCCAAACGCCTTCATCGTCCCTCAGTGGATCTTGGCACCCCCCGAGGTGCGCAATGCCATGCTCGCCCTCCAGTACAAAGCTATGATAGCCGTTTATGGCATGAAGAGCCTCATGGTTGCCCGCGACCACCGCTACTTCGAGTTATGCCCCAAGAACATGGGCCCTATTGTCTACCAGTTCCATCAATCCTCCATGCGCCGTCTTCTCGAATGGAAAGAGGATTGGAACTTCGCCGACCCGACCCTCGCAGCCGCTGCTAAAATCCCTCGCGACACTCTTCAGTTCTGCGTCGACTCAATCGCCTACGGAAAGTTCACCTATGACTACACCAACAGGATTGACACCTTTATGTCTGGCTCTTTCCAGGCCTGGCGCCAGCTTCGCGTGGAGATCGGCCACATGGCATTCCGTCTCATGAGCCATAAGCCGCACGACTACAACGAGTGGTGTGTCTGGTGGGAGGGCAAGTTTGCTGATGACATGTGGAAGTGGGAGGTTTGCCTCGAGGGCCTGATTCTGCCTACCTGGGAGGAGATCATCGATGATGTTTACCTCATGATCCATGATCGAGTTGAGGATGCCCAAGACCTGGCCGACTCATTCTACATCAGCACCCCAGGGATGGCTTCGACAACTTGAGTTGACTCGGATTGGGTTGACTCTACGCATCTGCGCTTTAAAGTTCTACAATTTCGATTCGATGGAAATGACCGCAATTATGACAACAATGTGACTTGGGATTTTGGCTTGGTTTCGGCGCTGGTACAGAGCGGCCTTATGAGAATGAGGGAACTGGCAATAACTGGAAGTTTTGATTTTTCTTTCCTTCTGAAACCCAACAAAATACCAAAACAAGCAATAAACGATAGGTTGTGACACTTGAAGGCGGATGCGCTACATGAGAATAGTCATTTAACCCAAATGAACGATGGCGAGTTTGGTTCTACAACGTCCTGAACTTCCTTAACTTGAGACCATCATGTGAATCTTCTCAGATCGTAATTATCGATGATCTGATATCTAATTGCCCACTGAAAGAAAAGTAGAACATTGATTTGCTATCAAAGGTCACGTGTGTGTTCGAACCCTATGTGGTAGCAGCCCAGGAGAACAAAGAAAGCTACTTAGGCACCTTGTAATTGTTTGTTTTCCGCAAAAAGAACAAGACAAAGAAACTGGACAAAGAAAATGAAAAAAAGAAACCCCGGAAGAGATAGACATAGAGAAAACTAAGCACGAAGGAACACATGGTCTTTGTGCAATTTGAACCTGTCTTCAAAGTTGACTTGTCAACCAAACCTTTCTTCTATGACGATGTAAAGCCCCAAACGAAACTTGCCAGATAAACCTACAAGTAACAGGGTCTCCTATCTGTACTCTTTATTAACCCCTATCAGCCACAAAGCTACCAACCTAGCAAAAAACAGAATCCGAGGATTTCCATTCTCCAAGATGTGCATCTACTGGACATGCAAGTACACCCTGTGCGGCTGTATCTGGGATATGAGCCCATCACAATGCTCAGATAAGCGGCTCTGCTTGGGACCAAGAATGATAACACTCGAATCCCACACAGCCACATGCGCAGACTGCTGGGCGAGAGGGGACAAGCGGGTTTACGAACTACAAACATGTGACAAAGCCGACAGAGCTGGAGAATCAGCCAAAATACCGACACCAAATTGCGAAAGCGACGCAGATAGGAGTGACAATACTTCTGACGATGAAGATGAGTATTTTCAAGCCGAGGAGTTCCTGTCTCCATCTTCGAACTCGCGACCCACCACCCCACAACTATACTACGAGCTACATTCTGAACCGTGCCCCGTATCTGAGGAAAACGAGTTCGATTTGACCAAGGCCTGTGACCCGGTAGATCTTGCGTCAATGGGGAGGAACTATCGAGCAAGGCGTCACAAGACGACAAGTAAGGATTTGTCGGATGGCATAGATTCTTTTGTTTCTTGTGAAGAGCACCTCGAAGAAACTTTTGACAGGGAAGATTCCAGTTCTGGAAATGAAGAAGATGACGTCTAATTTAGGATTGTTGCCCACCCCTGTTAGGCCTAAAGGTCTGATCAAAAGCCTGGAAGACCGATCATTGCTGTTATGTGGCCCAGTGCAGGATTACTGCCCAACAGGGGAGTAGGAGAGATATGAGGGACGGACTGGAGGATTATGTCGAATGTGGTAGCCTATAATACGACTGCACCATTTTTCTAAAATGTCTTTTTGTCACTGTGCATTTCATCTACTACTTCGGAATCATTCCAAGACTAGTGCCTGATTATTGCGTAGATGGGAACCTTTGAGGCTATCCAAATTAACTAGGAGGAATGGAGGTAGACACCAAATCTGGCAGTTGTAACAACGATTAATGGCTTTGTAAATTTTGTCTAGATCTAGCCTAGAACAGCCTGAGGCTAAGTTTCAGCACTCAAACTGTGGCTCATCTCATGAGCCTTGTGCATTGGTGCGTGATAACGTACATGTGACAAAACTACCTAGATCCTCCGACAATCTGCAGAACTGGGAATTTCACAGACTCATGTTCAGTCGTTCTAAACGTGACGTAATCGCGTTTATAACGGCGGACCTGTAAGAAGGTTAGCCCATGGTTCATTAATAGGCAAATAAAAGAATCAACTTACTCTCGTTCGACCATCCTCATCGCATCTGCAACCTTGGCCCGTTGTAATCGTTGGGACACCTTAGGCTGGCCCCCAGGAGAAGACGAAATTCCAAGCTCCGGAGAAGGCATTTTGCCAGCGACACACTTGGTTTGGGCCATGAGGTCCAAAGCAAGGCGTTTGACCTAGATGATTTGTGAGTATTCTAGCCGAAGCGAATGTGAGGAAGACAAATCTTACAGTCTCCAACCGTGAGATCAATGGTTGATCCTCCTCTTGCTCTTCACCCTGCTTTAAGGATGCAGACAATGTCTTCACCTCGATTATCCAAGCCTTCTCCCTCTCACTCAGAGGGCGACCTCCAGAATTCAGGACCTTCGTGCGTAGTGCCTCATATCGTCGGTTCAGTTCGCTTTGCTTATCCTGAGCGGCTTGCAATCTCTTATCCAGCGCTTCTCCGTTTCGGACTCCCTCCTTGCGATGTCCATCTTCCCCAATCTCACTTGTGACACCCTTGACACGCTCTGCAACATCTGCAAGCTGCTTCAATTGGTCTTGCATCTCGCCCTGCAGCCGCTCACAGCGGCGGAATAAATCCGAAGCAGCTCGCTCAAGAGCATTCGTATGAGCAGATAGCACGCGATGCGCGGTGGCCACAAGGTCCAATGTCGCAGGAGACAGGCGCACTTGTTCCTTGAGAGTGTGGCGTTGCCGGTGTGGGACATGCTTCTCGACAAAGGAATCCAGCGGAGAGTTGGCGTAGAAAATGGCAGGAACTTGATACGGGGCCCTGCTCGGGGACAGAATAGGCAAGCCTGAAGCTGGCGTCCTGGGCTCGTAGAGCGATTTGTCTAGTGCGACTGACAGAGAATCTTCTGGTGTATCCATTACAGCTGCATACGGGTTAGAGGGATGGTAGGTGAGGAGCAAGTAGCCAAAGTCAAAGTCATAGAAAACAAGAGACGTGGCAAGATGTTCATTCTGCGCGGTAACATCGGCATTCGAAACCTGCAGAATTCTCTCTCGGGTGGTCACATTCCCGTCACAGAGAACTTGGAGACGGAAAGCGGAACCTGCTGTGTCTTCGGCTTGCAATTCAGCCTCCAGTCTCTGGACCCAGTCGGATAGAGATAGGAATACCACGTTGGTGGCAGTTGTGACAAAAAAGGAGTATCGAGAATGGACATCCTTAGTGAAGGTAGGCCATGTATTTTTTTCCTCTCCATTCTTGATGGTATCCAGTGATTCGACCAAGACCAATTCAGTCGAGTCCGAAAGAGGAGTTCGGAACGCGTTCTTCCTAGCTTTGGGTAGCCATTGTCCTTCAACGCCATCGAGCTCCAGACAGATGTGGACACGGCCATTCCCACTAGTAAGAGAGAGAACCGTCGCCGAAAGCTTATCATGGTCTCCGGTTTCTAATGCTAATTCTTCTTCCTCGCCCATCATGAGATCCTCGACATTTAGACTGGCAGCAATGACATGAATATCACAGAGATCCAAATCATCGAGCTCGTCGCCATTGTCGAAGCGGAAAGGCCCTTGTAGTCTAGGGATGGCGCTAGGATTGGCCGGGCGAGTGAACACATCTGCGCCTTGGATTATTTCTGATCCAGCAGGCGCATCCAGAGGTTCTTGTTCATCGAGCTCGGAAAGCCACTCGTATTGTTGCCGGGAGGCAATCAGTTCCTCTTCCGATTCCTCGGGTTCCTGTTCCAGAGCACAGAGTTTTGGAATAATCGCCGCAGAAAGGGAAGGAATGGTTGTAGAAGGGGCTTGCCACCTAGAAGGTAGGAGAGGACAAAGCGCATAGAGATCGCCGGGTCTCATGGCAACCCAAAGGGTCATAGGTGCCCATGCATCTTCTCTCTCGTTCCCATTTCCAGCGAAACAGGCCGATGCAACCTCCATGTCAATGACATCAGCAGAGAATCCCTTGTTTTTGCCAAATCCAGAAGGTGTGAAGTCCTGGTCTGATGAGGTCCCATCCACAAGCTTCTTCAGATCAATTGCTAGGGTCGGCTGGTCAAAAGACCAGTGGTTATTCCGGTCCAACTCCCATACACGCACCGCAGCGTCAGCTGTGATTGTAACAATACAGCCCCCTAGATTGGTGTGCAACCCTAGCGGATGCCATAGCGCTGAGACTACCGGAGCTTCAGGAATCACATGTGTCGTCGGTCCTAACTGATATGTCTTCAGCCGGATGGAGTCGGAGTCGGAGGACGAAAGGTGCGAAGAATCGGGGAGAACGGAGATATGAACGGTATGTTCAGTGACGATGGCAAGGAATGCGCCGCTCGGAGAGGGGATGATCTGTTTGATCAGTCCGTACACAGGCACTGCTAAAACCTACAAAACTGTCAGTCGCAATTCAATTCAACTCGAAATTGGTTTCCTTAGGTGTCTTAGGTATTCATACTCTATAGGGATGAAGTTGAGTGTGGTCAGTTTGCTCTTCAGTTTGACTAGCAGATCCCTTTTTCTGCTTAATCTCTTGTTGCCACTGGTCTTTAAGTCGGGCAAGGTTTGACCACCGTATCTCGTTGTCAACAACGGCGAACACCTCATTTCCCCTCTTGGCTATCGTTCGCGTAGCTCCATTTCTCACAGGTTTGGATCCGACTTGCAGCTCCTCCGTTTGACTTTGGACTGAACTGCTGGACAGGAACTTTGCGCCAGGCGAGGGCCGGCACAGCCAGGCAGGCGCATAACTGTTGACCTTCGGCATTAAGGATATTTCGTAGTTTGAATCGTATAATCGGAATGTGTTAAGAGACTCAGACCATCCTTAGGCGGTCAGAAACAGCACACGAGTAGCGCGGGTGAAAAAAAATTTAAAGTAGACGAAAGCAAAGTTGTTGATGCGGAGTGGAATTCTTGGGTGCCAAGATCTTTCAAAGAGCTCCGAGCTGCTTTGCTTCCCCAACTACCTTCCGTCAACCACGCACTCCAAGTTCAACCTTCACTTCAATTCACCATGAGTTTGTTGGCTGTAAATACAGTCGACAGACTAGATCGACCGAGTGCATACTATGTTAGCAAGGTGAGTGCCTGCCTTGGATTGCCTTTTATTAAGCTGTGTCGAAACCAGTCAGAATGGGCCATAGAGGCTGATGAATTGTCCACAGAACAAGCGTCGCAGATTTAACGATCGCGATGAAGAGGAACCACAGCAACAGGAGAAAGCTGACGACAAATTGAAAAACGCGACGACCCTCTACGTGGGAAATCTGTACGCAAGCATGCAATAACCTAAATGCAATTTCCGTTACTGACCAATCCAAGTTCCTTTTATACCACCGAAGAACAAATTCACGAACTCTTTGCCAAGTGAGAACACGCCTTTGGTGCCCTTTGAATTATGATTAACCTCGAATACCAGGTGCGGTGAGGTCAAGCGACTTGTAATGGGCCTTGACCGATTCAATAAAACGCCGTGCGGCTTTTGCTTCGTCGAGTATTACACCCATCAGGATGCGCTGGATTGCTTGAAGTATATCGGAGGAACTAAGCTGGACGAGCGAATCATTCGGACAGACCTTGACCCTGGATTTGAGGAAGGGCGGCAATTCGGGTATGAGGTCATCACCAATGGCGGCTACGGGCAGTTAGTGACTGACTTTCTCTGCAGACGAGGTAAATCGGGTGGTCAAGTGCGGGATGAATACCGCGAAGAATACGATCCGGGCCGTGGTGGTTATGGCCGTGCCTATGATGAGCAGCGCCAACGCGAGGAGGATGAATACGGCGCCGGAAGGTAGGTCAGGACATGATGGAAAATTACTGGCTTGGCAAAGCAATGGCGTTACTACATGGGAGGGTGAAACCAATTAGCAGAACCAGGAATTGTCTATTCACCGAATACCCCTATTTATAACTTTCGTTCCCCCCCCCCCCCCACTCACTTTCTAATGCTTGTGAACTATTGCTTTAACTTGTCTCGTTTCACCACTGCTGCTTGGACTTCGCGCAACCACCACGTGTGGATTCTTGAATCCCCTGTCAGCTCTGGGTGGAAGCTGGTGCCGAATACATTGCCCTGTCGCACTGCAACGATGTCGCCAACTTCCTGGTCTGGATTTATATCTCGACCCTCCGTGGCGTTTTGAGCTGCCGGTCCCACTAATGTTGCTAGCACCTCAACGTGCTCTGCTGTTGCTGCTTGCGCCACTGAGTCCCGTGCTTCCTTGGACGGTGCCACAACAATCTCTTCCTGTTGAATCTCTTCGGTTTGAATGCCTTCATGGTGAGGAAGAATTTTTTCCACAATAGGGGCTCGAATGAATACTGCTGGGAAGGGAGGCGCGCCCTGCCCCAAGAATGGCAGATTCAACGGGCCTTGGAAGCTTTCTGTCTGTCGTCCGAAGTGGTTCCGGTTCACTCGCACATCAAGGCCACCAATCAGTTCTTGTCCACCCTTCTTTGTCTTGTTAGCAGACTCGGCGAGCAAAATGAGCCCGGCACATGTACCCCACGTTGGTTTGCGATCCACTCTGTGCATACCCGACGTATTAGATCGATCTGATATGGACTGGCCAAAGTCACTTACTTTACAAATTCACGCAGTGGCTCAAGAAGATTCGACCTTGCTGCGACCAAAGACATGGTGGTACTCTCACCTCCGGGCAAGACCAAGCCATCGCATGTTGCTAGTTCTTGTGGCGTCCGTACTTCAATGAAATGCCATTCCGACTGCGGTACTTGTTCGGCGGCATTTTTCAAAAGCTGCATATGCTCAAAAAATGCGCCCTGTAGGGCCAGAACTCCGACAGTGATAGCCATTGTCTTTAAAAATGGGATTTGAGGACTCTCCGAGCTCGGATTCTTCTTGATATTGATGACTAGTTTGAATCACGTGACTTTGAATTTCCGGCGGGGAACTTGTCTTCACGTGATAGCTCTCACTCCCAACTTTAATTCCACACATTCCACGCTGACACCAAGAACAGCATGTGAGCCTCAACGCAAGGCTATTCCTATCAGGCTCTCTTGAAAGATGCATATGCCCACTCTGCTCCGGAGATTGTACTGGGGATCAGATTTGCATGTTAGAAAAATGATCTGGCTGCTTCCAATGTTGATTATCTCATTCATGTTGGGTGAGGTGTCGAACACGTTGTCTTCAATAAATCCTAGAGACCTTGCGTTTACTACGGGAACTTCTCTTGACTAGATAATGTACAAGGGATCACAACTAGTCTGTTCCTCGTATGCCGGCCTATTCACGTCCTTGGGCGGCATCGACGCCTCTCAAGATGCTCCAATTAGTTCCACGCGCCGATTAAACGCCGCTGTCTTATCGACACGTGTTGATAGATAAGAACTCCGATATGGCGCGGAAATGGCTTCCATCTGACGAAGTGGGATGCTTCTTTGGTGCGGATGTATACAAACGACAATGGTAGATATTGGCGTGCCTGGACTAGTGAGTAGCCGCAGAGTCTCTAGGAATGTAACACTTACCCACTTCAGATCAAAATGACGCTTAATGAGATCGAACAAAATGACATCTCCAAGGACCAGCCCACGTTGGTTCGATGGTATATTGATGTCAGACGCTGGGATGAAAAATGTTTTAGTCTTCCTTTTCTCCATACCCTAACTCAGTCTGATCAGACAGCTGTCAAGAAGTACTATCAAACTTCAGATCAACGTCTGTCGCTAGCATCCCAGCTGCTGAAATATTACTACGTTCACCAAGCCACTGGCACTCCTTGGAATAAGGTTGAAATTCGGCGTACTCCCATGCCCGAAAATCGCCCATTCTACGACTCAAGTCTTGATTTCAACGTCAGTCACCAGGCTGGTCTCACTCTGTTCGCAGGCACGCGTGCGGCAGCTGCCCACTCGACTTCTGGAGCCAAAGGCTTGCCTCGCGTGGGAATTGACGTTGCCTGTGTTGATGAACCCTCACGCCGTCGCACCAATTGTCCCCCGAAGACACTTGCCGACCTGGCAACTTTCGTGAGTATTTTCACTGATGTTCTCTCTGCCCGTGAGCTTGCGACCATCAAGAACCCTTACGCGACCCTAAAATTGGCTCGTGAGCTTGGTTTAAGTAAAAGTGACCCAAGAAAAGACAACGAGGAAGTTCTTGCTGCCTACGGCATTCGGCTGTTCTACTCGTTTTGGGCTCTCAAGGAGGCGTACTTGAAAATGACCGGAGACGGCCTTCTGGCCACTTGGATAAAGGATTTGGAGTTCACAAACGTAATTCCGCCCGAACCCGTTCAGATACTCGGATCTACTGGTCGCCCTTTCGATACGCCCTCGGTCCGAAATTGGGGCCGGCCGTACTCCGATATCAAAATTTCCTTACGTGGCACTCCCAACTATTCTGTGCGCGTCCAGCTCATTGGCTTCGAGTCCGACTACATTGTCGCCACAGCCGCGTCAGGCCCCACTATTGGAGCTGTTTCGAGGGAGGTCGTCACGAATGACAGCGATCACCACCTGTCCGAGTTTATCACAGTCCTCGATCCTGATAACAGACCTCAGAACGTCCGCATTGCTCCCCTCGCGCTTCTTAAAGTCGGCGACCGGGACCCCTGGTGCGTGGACTCGAGAATCAGCGACCCCTGGTTGCCCATGCAGGAGGTCGATATTGACATCGATATCCGCCCCTGTGCCGAGGGCCGCTGCAAGCACACCCTGGAGCCTACCAAATTTCCAAGTCCCACTGCTCTTGGGATATAAACAGGTGGCCATTCACAGGAGTTACTTGTATGTTGCATCTCCTCATCTCACGTTCCTTTCTGAGCGAATTTTCGGCGCGATTATTCCCCTTGAGTAAATTTTCTGCATTATCTTGTTGTAAATAGCGAAAAAAAAAATCAACCCCTCCTTTCATTCCGTCTCTGCATCATCATAACTAGGTCCTTTTGTTCCAACGAGGCAGTTATATGTCTATTTCTGGAACGCTAGGGGAGTGCAGAATAGATACCCCATCTCCAACAAGCACCCTGATGAATATCCATTTTCGATCTCACTTTTCTCAACACTCGAAGATAGGTTACAAGTTGTGCGGAAAAAGACGGGGTAAAGAATTTAAGCCTAGCTCTATTCTATGATCCAGTGTAAACCAACTATGTTAAAGTAAGAAAAGCAAACATCCAACTGTAGCCAGGTCATGTCATGCGTTTGCGCTAAGGATATATACATTTTGAAATGCAAAGAGGGAAAAGTGTGTCAAGAGGCAATGCCGATGTCTAGATCATGATGTTCTCTTGTGCAGTGGTATTGGATAGGTTCGACGTCTTGGGCCCTCAAATTCTATTTCTGGGGTCATGAATTGGAAAATAGGTACCGAAGAAGTGGGCAGAATTAGACTGCAATGCGTGAGTGTCAAGGGCGGATTTCTTGGTGAATTGTGAGGTTCGGGGTTGCTCTCTGCTGTTATAGGCTTAGTTCGAATGCCCGATATTGCACTCAAATCAGGAGAGACATTTACAGCAAGTGCCGAGTGTGGAGCTATGTGACGAATCCCACCTTTGTTTTGGCACCTAGATTTCAACGGCGCTGGAGACGCCGTTGGTATGAGCAACATCGACCTCGTCCTTCTGCGCATGGGAAATTGCTGTGAGAGTTTTGAGCATCGAATCCCGCGTCGATTGGGTCAGGCTATCCACATCGCCCGATGTCAAATCCTGAGTCGGGATGGGAGGCAAAACTTTGTCAAAATGGTTAGCCGTGCTCTGTCATAACTCTTCGCAACTTCTAAAATGACACACCTTTTATTTTGATAGTCCCAGCGTTGAATCGCCAGGCACGAGGCGACAGCACGTGCGAATAGTTCTCCGTCACAATCGGTACGATCGGCACACCGGCCTTAACAGCGAGATGAAAAGCACCCTTCTTGAAGGGTAGTAGAGTAGGCTCGTCAGAGTAACTTCGGGTACCCTCAGCGAAGATAAAGACGCTCTGGCGGTGATCGCGCATCTCGGCGGCGGCGCCATCGAAAGCCTTGAGGGCTGTTTCCCGGTTGGCACGGTCAATGAACACAGTGCGGGATAAAGACATGAACCAGCCCAAGAAAGGAACATTCCGCAGTGATTTCTTGGCAGTTACACTGCAGTATGGCGGGAAGACACATCCAAGCATCAACACGTCGAGTTCAGTCTGGTGGTTGCCAATAAAAACTGCCGGACGGGTAGAGAGGTATTCTTTGCCTTCGATAACCTCGAACTTGACACCAGTTGTGAACCGCATCAGCCACTTGAAGCTGCGACCTGCTGCCCACTGTGACACACGGCCATATCCAACTAGTCGTAGACAGATCGAGACGAGCACGCCGTACGCGGCACTGACGAGAAGACAGCCATATGAGGCAAGACAGCGGGCGGCGAATGCGGCGCGAGGCACTTTTTGACCGATTGCAAAGAGAGAGACGGTCAACACCGCAAAAGAGCTAACACCTGAGACGACATAAGAGCCGATCGACATGATGACGGTTAAACGAGTCAAGAAGAGCTGCGTACATGCGGTCAGAAGACGGAAACTACAATTCTTAAGTGTAGACGTACTTTGTTCACTGGTATGTGGGTAGCACCCAGCCCAAGTCTGTTATATGGCGAACGAATGAAAGAATAAAAAAGGAATGATAGATCAAATCCAAGACCGAGCCATGCATCGCTTGTGGGGAAGGGCAAATCGGAGTAGAGACGTTGTATCGATTTTCTGCCCCGGAGCCGACTTACCGCCTGGTCGGTGCAAATGACGATGTCACCCAGAGCACTTTGAGGGGAAATGTATAGTATGAAAACAAGTATATTTTTAGGATTCGGCCAATTAGGAGACCCTCTTTTCTTGAAGAATAATGGAATTATGCGTGCATCAACCTCAAGATGCATGCCCAGGGAAACCGTTCAACTAATGTACAGAACACCATCATATGCCAGATGTCTAAACCTGGAAAAGAAAACTCCACACTGATGCTGAGCAAAGAGGCCCTCAAACGCCGAGTTCATAAAAGAGGGCCCCCGTGGGAACCCAATAGAAAGACCTAGGACATCACAGGCCTACGCTATGTCCTCATCCTCCATATCCTCGTCGTCCAACGACTCCATTGCGTCCTTGATGTATTGTGCAGCCTGTGGGGGATCACAGTCAGAAAGAACTCAAGAAGAGGGGGGGGCTAGAGAAATAAACCCCAAGACGTACCTTCGGGTCCAAGTTCAAGGCCGCAGTGAAATGCTTGATAGCATTGGCCTTGTCGTGGAGCATTTTGTACAGCTTTCCAAGAAGGTAGTGCACATTTGCCTCATCCGGCGCCATGTCCTTCAGGACTTTCAGTTCTGCCAAAGCAAACTTGTATTCACGCAGCTTCATCAGTACGCGCGCCTTGCGGAATTTAGCTAGTACCGAGTTTGGGGCTAGTGAGGAGGCCCGACCGTAGTGAACCAGGGCATCTTGAGGATTATTCATCTTCTCCAATACCAGACCAATGCAGCAGATAAGCACCGCGTTCGTCGGGTTGATGCTGGCTGCATTGCGGAAATGCTGCTCAGCGAAATCAAGCTTGCCCATCTTGTCATACACCGTCCCCAGTCCGTACCAAGCATTGTAATGTCGATTATCTGCGTTGATGCCGTGGCGATAGGCCTCCAACGCCTTGTCGTATTCTTCGTTGGCGACATATTCATGTCCCTGTAGTGTGAATGCATATGCAAATTCAGGATCGATCAAAGTCGCACGCTTGAAGCACTTGAGTGCTTGATCGTGATCCCGTTGATGAGAAAAAGAGTTCCCAATAGCACACCACGCCTGGGGGGATAGGCGATCAGCCTCGAGTAGCTGATGCGCCAAGTAAGCCAATTCTACATCACTTTTCAGGTGCCATAAGACAGTCGAATAGATTTCCATATCCTCGGTGCGGGAAGGAGCTAGTTTTTGAACCCTGGAAAAGTACTTGGCAGCTTCTGTATAGCTTGCTTGTTCGAAATAAGTCCGTCCAAGTTGAGACAAAACCCACGGAGTTTCACGCTGCCCTTGTGAGAGAGAATTGAAAGAGCTGATGGCGTCCGCACATTTATAACGGCTCAGTGAGAAATATCCAGACGCAAGTTTATTGAAAAGACCCAAAAGCCAATCCAAGGCTTCGAGCTCTTTCGTTTTTTCAGCATTTTTGGGCAACGGGGGGACAAGAGGGTGGGATTGCGGCAAGGCAGTCCGATTATCTTTACCATCATTGTCGGGTGTTTCCATTGGTTTTCGATTGCCACTCACGACACGGCCGACAGTGGGCACACCTCCTGCCCGTCCTTTCGTAGGCCCTCCTCTCAATTTCTTCATCTCGCGGCCATCTCTGCCAGTAAGCGTACTGTTTGAAAGCTTACTGGTTGTAGGTTTGATCTGGTTGAAGAGGCGAACGCTTCGGCGCTGGGGAGCACCTGGTTCAGTAGGCTGCGACGAAGGAACGGGGTGGGCGACTTGTCCAGAGACTGTGCGCTTGCGGTCGCCGAATCGCGACACAAGAGATGGGTCTCTTTCTACCGGAGCAGTCGGCTGAGTCTCTGGTTCGGTTCGTGTTTTGTGTCGAGGTCTGATGCCCGTTGGGCGCATTCGGGGTGGGGGTTGCCCGGTATGGTCAAGGCTCATGGTTTGGATTGTCCGCGTCTTTCGAGCAGGGGCCAAGGGTGCTTCCCATCCAGCTTCAGGGTCAGTGACGCCATTTGCAATGCGGAAGTCATCAGAGCCACTGCTCTGTGCGCCTGGAGTCTCCATTCCGTCGTGGAAAACCGGCTGTGCCATAGCAGCAAAATTAACAGAGCTTCCATTCAACTTTTCCCAAAGAGCGGAGCTCCCAAATGTGGTATCAGTCTCGCCACGGGAGGCAGAGACCATGAAAGGGTCGGATTCAGGATTACCAGGAGGCTGTGTGGGGAAATTCCTTTCTTCAGAGACCACGTTTTCTGGTGCACTAGCGATTTCCTCCGGCGACGAAGATATTATTGCAAGAAGTTCTGGGCTGAGCTGGTATATGTTCGGGACTCGAATGTTGACACCTGATATTGCATTAGAAAAAATTCTCCCACCCACGAGAAGAAGGCGGTACACACCTGTTTCGCAAAGCCCTAGGAATGCATCCCACATGAAGGGGTTCAGTTTCAGTGCCTCCACGAAGCAGTCAACTGCTTTGGTCAAATCTTTCTGTGCGTGCCAAAGTTTTCCCTGCAAAGAAAAAACAGCCGCAGCATCAGGTAGGTGCTGTCGCTGAGTTTCACTATGCTTGTCTTTAAATGGTTAGCGCGTGAGCTCAAAGTTGAATTAGTTTGCCGGCGCTTACTCCAGTGATTCTTGGAGGACCAGAGCGGTTTGCTACGCTCCAGAGCCGTGACACCATCTAAGTATTTCCCCAAGTCCAAACAAGTTTGAGCAAAGACATACGCACAACCCGCATGCAGACCGCGCGAGCCCGAAGCCTGGCTGCATTCGAACGCTGCTTTCACTTCTCCGTTGTGTAGATGACAAAGGGCGAGTAGATATTGGGCCTCAAAGGATCGCGGTTCATAGGCATGGAGGCGAGAAGCGAGGAATAGCGCATTGCGGATTAAGTTATTGTCGAGTTGGTAATAGATGAGGTGCCTTAGCTGGCTTGCAACATGCCCGGTGGACAAGGCCATGGTGAGGGGTCGGCAACGCGGTATGCGACAGCACAAGGCAAGGCGGGGATTGTGTAGTGATAATTGAAAGTTGAGATGATAATGCGATTGGAAGAGTCGATTTCTCGGCGTTACTGTAATATCAATGTCCGGCGCCTTTGTAATGTCCTCCAAGACGCGGGGGAGGAAACAACGGCGCGATCGAGTGGGTTGTTGTAGCGCGGCGAATGGTCGCACCAACAGCCACAAGACATGGACAGCAGCAAGTCCAATGTCTTGGTTGGATTTTTCCAGATGTAGGAGCTATCAACTGCTCTCAGGTGCAGCTGTGAAACAATGAGGAATGTAAACCCAAGCCGGAAATGGTAAGCGGATGAAGGATAAAAAGAAGTGAATAGGGAGTCCTCTGGTTACATCATCCGCGGACGCAGGATGAGCCTCTCAGAGTGCGAGGAACATTCCCAAAGAAGCGGAGAACTGCAAGACGTGCTCAAGATGGGATGAACGTTGGCCGTTCTTTCTGTTATTTTGGTCTGAAGCGGCCTTTGTCATTTCTGCCGTTTTTTGGTCGGGCGGTGAGGGTAGTGGAGGGCAACAATCACACCCGATGTGCTATAGCTGTCATATGCAAGTCCTCTCTCTTTGTCTTCTTTCTCCGCTCAGCCTCGAATTCTGGTCCTTTACTTGCCATTTGAAAGAGGAAAATCTTGGCTCATTTGGTTGGGGTGTCTTGGATTTGGAAAGGATCATCTTTAGCATCAGATTGCAGATCACCTGGTGATCGCATTCAGCCATGGCTAAGGTATGTAGTGAGGTCGTTTTCTTGCTGTGCCTAAACTTCATATTAGCTTTGATCATTGTGCGGCAACCTCTCTGACCATATAATAGAAAGCTACCAAATCTCTGGCGAGCCGTAATGGTGCTGTCCTCAGCCGTACTCATCTCATCTCTGCTGCATTGCACCTACTCTTCCTCCTGCTGCACTTTGTTTTCCAGCGGCCGCGTTCACTCAAGCCGTACTTTTTCCTGGCCGTTCCAACCCTTGCCATTGAATACTACTTGGACCGAATGGGCCGACCCCGTTATAATGAAGATGGTTCCCTGCGCTCCGCCGGCGAGGATCTCAACGCAACTGGCCTGACTGAGTATATGTGGGATGTCCTTTACTGGACCCAGGGGTGCATTGTCGCTGCCTGCCTCTTCAACGATCGGGCATGGTGGTTATGGGCTGTGATTCCATTGTACTCTGTGTACGCTGCCTACACCACCATAATGGGTGTGAAAAAAGGATTTGCTGGAATGGGTGGCGGTGATTCCAGCCAAGAGGCCGATGCCCCAAAGAGCAAGACACAATTGAAGAAGGAAAAGAGAGGCTCCACTGTGAAGTATAGGTGATCTTGTTGGAGTATGGAAGATGTGTACAAAATGAGTTAATGTAGAATGGGAGCTTCAACGCCCTCTTTTAGTTATCATCTCGGGTGCATTTTTCGTTCTAGGTGCCATTTTATTCGGGACGATGATTTCACTCTTCTCTCCACTTCACTTTGCTTGCGTGTAAGCTATTGCGTCCGTTCATCTAATTTCTTGCCGACTAATGACTTACGTGCCCTCAGCAGCCCGTTTGATACAATGCACATCATGTGTGATAGCTACAGATATCCAACCGCTCAAGTAAGGAGTTATAGACAGTACCCAAATAATCCATCCATTCATCATGTACTGAACATGTATTACTTCAAAACAAGTCTCATATTTCAAGCAGAAAGTGATAAGAGAGGAACACAAAATGAGGAGATGGAAGCCAAAAAAAGATAGTAAGATTGTGCATGTTGCAAACCATGAGCATTTGGTCGTCATGACAATCAATGTGGGGAATAATGCGTCGTTAGCCACGCATGGCATTCCCATGGCATGGTTTTCGCTCAGAGGGACCGATTGAGTCCGAATAAAAGAGAAAAGAAAGAAAGAAAGGAGATGATACAGGCTGAATTAAAGTGAATCAGAGTTCATCTTTGAATGAAGCGGCTGCACTCACAATGCTGCTTGTTTTATCTTCAACACGCGATGCGGCGGTCTCAACTGCCCCAGATGCAAGGCTGCTAGCGCTAGCGGCTAGATCAGCAAGCTGAGACCTAGCGCTTTCAACAGCTTCAGCAAGACGGATAGTTGCTCTCTCCATTGCGTTAGGTTCCTCGCCGTAGATAGACGCGCTGGCTGTGGATTGAATATTCTCATTGGCATCCTTGGCGATATCGATATAACCAGATTCCTTGCAGTATGCTGCATCACTGATTTGAGCGGAAGATTTTGAGTAGGCATCGGCTGCGGCATCGGCGGCTTTTTCGTAGAAACCCTTGGGAGTCCCGTAGATACCAACACTGGCGGCTTCAACAACAGCATGGAGTTGGTCACTTGCGTGTTGCACGATGTCCTCTACGCTCGGAACTTCTGAAACAATAAAAGGTGCGGCGGAGGACGCAGATCCATAAGCCTGGTCGATGTAGCTAGACGCAGAGGAGACAGCGGGAGCCGGGTAAGGTGTCTCGTATACTGCGCGCAGCTTGCTTAGTACACTCTCGGTAAATGAAGGCTGCTTGCCCACAATCAGTTCAGAGACGAGCACTTGTACAGCTTCAAACTGCGGACGCCCATTGTTCACCACTTGTTGCAGATGCGGCGTTGGTGCTCCGTAGATCTGTTCACTGGCTTTGGAAATGAGATTTCCCCAGTTTTCAGACGCTTGACTAGAAAGGGACTCTGCATGACCTGTGGAAGTTCCATAGATGGCTGAGCTGGCCGACATGGAAGCCGCAGAGAGAGAGGAGGAAGCGACAGAGAGGGCAGCATTGTATCTGGAGGAAGCATCATAGATGATTCTTTGTGCTTTGCCGCCATCCGCGGAAGAGACGACCGAGCTTACCGATGCGACGACAGCGGCAAGACTGGCAGAAGCCAACGAGGAAGCGTCCTCGTATTGAGACCCAGCTTTTTCAATGATTCCCATGAAGCTTCCAGCTGTTATGGGAGTTGGAGAACCATAGACTACCCCAGATGCCGTAGAGACAAAAGCAGAGTAGTGATCGTGAGCCAACCCTACTGCTTCGTAGTAGCGACGCTGCGCATCAAGGACGAATGGTTCGAACCCCGCCTGCAGAAGACTGGCGGTTGTAGCAGATGGCTGAACTTGAGCTAATTGTTCGGATGCTAAGCTGAGCCCCTGGCTTAGCCGGGATGATGCGATGAATGAAATCTGGGCCAGAGGTCCGGCATCGGATGGCGTCGGGGTAGCACGAACTACGCGAAGCTTGGACTCCAGCTCATCTGTGGCATATTTTAAAGACCCAGAATAGGTCGACTCTATGGAAGCTAGGAGCTGGGCATGAACAGGAGCGCTAGACTCAGCCATTTGACCAAGAACTTGAGACTTCGCGATCTCATATAGTACTTTAGCCTGATCCGTGGAACCAACAAAATCTGAGCTAGCTCCGGCCATCAAAGATTGGACAATTGGCGTCGGGGCGCTGTAAATGACCGACGACGCACTGTGGCAGAGATTCGCATTAGCGAGAATTCATTTTTTTGTATGTAATCTTAAGACACGCTGGATATGCTATGCTACTTACGCGGCTACTGCATCGCTATATTTTTGAAAGGTGTCACTGGAAATCATCTCTCCAGGGCATAGAGGAGCACCATTGATAGCGGTAGAGGCGGCGGAACAGTCGAGATAGTACTGTTCACTGGCCAATGATGCTGGGGTCGTAGATGCATCATAGATAGCTTCGCTAACAGCGTTGCTCGCCTTGGCGAAAGAATCGCCGGCCTTGCTCACTAGACTGTCCAGGACATCCTGACCCTCGTTATCTAAGACAGGCGCTTGATGCGAATTTGCATCTGCAGCCGCAACACCAAAGGCGGACCCTTCGGAGGGCTGCTCTTCCACCAAAATATCATCGCCCACAACAGACTCGGTATCGACATCAAATTCAGCACCAGCATCGACAGCCGCAGAAGGCTTATCGGCGAAGGGAATTTCTTCGTAAGCGTCGCCCGAAAGTGGCATTGCTACCTCTTCAGAAGACTCGTCGTTATCAGAATCCACCTTGGCGGCGTCCTCGTAAGATTCCTTGGTCTCCTGGGGCTTGGACCTCGCCGGGGGGGCTTCGGCGCGAGTTTCAAAATCATCGCTTACTTCACGGGCAGCGATCTTCCAGATACCAACATCCTTTAACCGGACAAATTCCTTGGCAGCTTGCTCGGCTTCATGCATGCCCTGGTCTAATATTTCAATCGCCACGGCTCTGGCGTCAGATACGGATTTGTAGCTCATGCCGACACCTCGGATCTCGTTGCGCCATTCTTCGAGTTGGGCCTTGAGCGCATGGTACTTGGCCCAATCCTGGTATGTGACGCCATCCATCCACGCCCAGCGCATGCCGATTTCTTGTAAGCCTAGATCCCGAATGCTGTCGAGAACATCGAGTGTCGAATTGATAGCAGCAGTAACTCGGCGAACAAGTTCGTCTTCGAACAAGATAGACCACTCTCTGAGTGCATGGGCGCGATCTCTCACAGAGATAGCAGAAGTTCGGATTTCCTGAATCAGCAAATCGCTAGTAGACTTCTCGATCTCCGGGGCGTCCTCCTCTGGCATTGAAGCCGCGAGTTCGTTGATACGTTGCTTGATGGAAGAAAGCTGCTCCGCTGAAACCGACTGAAGCGCGGTAGAAAGGCTCCGGCCGTGGCTCTTCCCGCTGCTTGCAACTAGGGTGGACACGATCTCCTCAATACGTTCCTCAAGGTCTTCAATGCCTTTATCAGCCGCAAGAACAAATTTTCCATGCCACCGCTCAAGATCCGAATCTATCTTCTCGCGGACTTGCTGCGCTTGCTCGGAAGGGGTTAGGGTGGGTTGAGCAGAAGCTTGGGGCGTTGAGGTTGAGGTCAAAGTGGTCGTCGTGTGGATTTGGTCCTGTAACTTGGTAATCAAAGAGGTAACGGGCTGGACTGTTGAGCTGCTAATATTATGGTTAGCACACCACGGAATAGAGAAATCAAGGGGTATGGTACCTATCCACGTCCTCTATAACAGCGCGAAGTCGCTTGCCCTCTCTGTAGCTTGCCAACCGCTGACCAATCTTCACCAGCTGGGGCTCTACTTGCTCAGAGTAAAGACCAGTAACATGGGGCCAAAGTGAGCTATTAGTAAAGTAGACCACGGATGACCATGTGTACTGCGCCCCGGGCAAGACATGGGTTGTCAGAATACCATGGCTCGTGGAGTAAGCTTTCCCGATGAAAGGTCTGGAATGCGCGTAGAAAGGCACTAGATGGTCCTGAAAGACATTGAGCACAACGGTGTCGGCCCATTGATAGTATGGAGAGACAAAAGCAACGCTTTGCTGGACATAGGGATCAACCTTGGCCAAATAAAGTTGGTGTACCTTATTTTGAGCAATTTGGAGTATTGGTGTGACTTGGTATTGCCATTGCTCAGTCCCATACGCCTGAGCTTGCTCTAATGCCGGCGCTCCGTACTTTTCATATCCTGATTTGGCAACTTTTGATGCTGGAGTATAGAAACGGTGGTTAAAGACTTCCACGTATGGCCGGGCTTGATCAAGGTAAGGCGCCGCATAAATATCATAATGTGGCTTCACATAAGGTTCCACATGCGAACGAGTAATCAGGTAAGGCTTGCAAACTCGAGGTGACGTCTCTGTGAGGTCTGCGAGGCGGGATGGGCACCTGAAGAACGGTATGACGAGTGTGTACCATATACATAACCTGAAAAGAGAAGAGGTTAGAAGATGATTTTGACCATGTACACGCATGGCGATACCATCACTCACCTCACGACAAGTCCGACTGTCCATCGCACGAAGCCCTTCTTTCGTGGATTTTTAGGATCCGTTCGGCCATTTGCTTTGACTGTGGCATCCGTCACTTGGCCATTCTCTTTCATTACCATCGCAACTGAGGCTGACCCGTTCAAGGTCACGCGATTTCCTTGTGAGATTCGAGGTCGGCCGCCGTAATTTGCGAAGGGCTTCCCTTACACACACTCAGATCAAGGCGTCTCAGTAGAATTTTATCGCTGCATCGGAAAGAAGCTCACAGCCCAGGTGAATGTGTAGCTTTTCGGTATTGGAGCTCGAGACTAAATGGATCAAAGCAATCAGCTGCTGTAGGCGGAATGCTCGCGTCGGTCTTGGCACTAGCAACTTTCACGGGCCGCGGTCAGATACCTGGACTGGGTCAATTTCAAAAAATCGTTGGTTCTGAGGAAAAGATCGAATGCATCGGTTCAGGTCCGAGGAGAAAGAAAAGTTAGGCGCAAATTTTTTTATTTATTTGTGGGATAAGGCGATCGAATATGACACAATAATCAAGGATTTGTTTTTAAAGCTCAGTGAGGTCATCGGTGGCTACCCGTACTGCATATACGACAATACCCCACTATCATTGCCTTGACAAGGAGGTAATGGTGTATTTGAAGTACTGCCAGCGCACACCGCTGAGTCAGCGAATTCGATGGCCCCGGGCAACTACCTGGGCTGAATTGCTTTGTTGCAGTCAAACACTGAAGATCTACAGGTTACGCTGATGAGGTACGATACTCCTTTAAAATGCGTGCAAATCTTATCCTCACTAATCGCTGTCTTCAGCTCAATTTGGATTACCTATCAACACAAGCCTTCCGCATGTTTACAACTTTTCCCATTCTCGCTTGACTAGGAACATGGTGAACATTTGATTAAAACCACCGTCAGCTCGGCGAGATTCACGAATGATGGAGCCCGCAGACAATCAATTCCGCGACACCGCGGACAACACCGCGTTCCCCGATCTAATGAACGACCCGACATATGACGAAAGGGAAAAGGGATTTGACGACCTAGATACCTGTCGGATATGTCACGGCGAGGCAACAGAAGAGGAACCGCTGTTTTACCCGTGCAAGTGCAGCGGTAGTATTAAATTCGTTCACCAAGTATGTCTTGTGGAATGGTTGTCACACTCACAGAAGAAACACTGCGAGCTCTGCAAAACGCCGTTCCGATTTACAAAACTATACGACCCAAACATGCCCCAAAGCCTACCCGCACCTCTGTTCGCGAAGCAAGCCCTGATTCAATGCTTCAGGACTCTGGTTACATGGCTGAGATTTGTGCTCGTTGCATTCGTCTGGCTGGGATGGCTGCCGTGGTCTATGCGCGCAATCTGGAGGGCACTGTTTTGGATTGCTGACGGCCGGTGGTCTGCCAATGAAAATGTTCGGAACCAGGCCGCCCAAACCGCCCAAGATGGTCTTGGGCTACTGTTTTCAAACGGGAGTGCTGTAAATGCCGCGGTAACTGACTCGCTTACCTCGACAATTTCTAACGCTGCTATCTCATCTACGACTGCTGTACCGTCCGCGCAATCGTCATTTCTTAATTCCACAGCCGGCGAACCGCTCATGCTCAACCTCATCAAAAAGGTGGTCCCTACTCTTTTCATGCCTGCATTTACCTCGACTGTCGGGCAAAGCGGACAAAACAACGAAACCGTTAGCTCAATGAAACCTCGGTATCCATCATGGCTCTCGGATGTGAAGTTCCTGAACTCGTTGACACCATACCCAACAATCAACAACATGATCATGGATACATTGGAAGGACAGCTCATCACCCTGCTTGTGGTTGTTGCGTTTATTCTACTCTTTTTGATCCGAGAATGGGTTGTTCAACAGCAACCAATGGTGAACATAGCGGAAGGAGAACGTGAGGCTGCTCTTCAGTTAATTGCAAATGCCAACAATCGGCTCAATGATCGATTCAATGATGAAGGTGGCCTTAGACAACCAGAACCCATTCCCGCTCACCCGGAAAATGAGGATAACGATGAACCCGCCGAGGCCCACGAGTTGGACAATGCTATCCTCCCTCATTTTGCTCCCCACTCCCCAGCTCCGTCCTCAAATGACTCTGAGTACGGTCTCCCTGGATTTGAAGCGGAGCCACGAGACTACAACGGGAACGATTCGGAATACGAAGCAGGAGGTCTTCCTCCTACAGCTCGTGCTTTAGCTTTCCGAGACTTAGTGGCCCGGACTCATGGTAATCATGAAGAAATGCTGCGTATTCTCCGCGAAGAGGCTCACGGTGATGATCTGGACTGGATCGTGAATGCTATCAGCGGAGCGACCATAAACCGGGATTCATCAGCAGGGCCTTCTACTCGTCCCCACGATCCCGATAATCCAGAAGTCCCAGACGGTGCTGATTCCGTTGATCTTCAAGATGGATATATCGATCACCCGCTGGATGCGGATGCCGGATCTTCTGCCCAGAACACGGATCGCAGACCACCGACTAGAGACAATGACGTTCCTGTCGCTAATGTACAAGCGGATGATCGGCCTCCGCTCGGTCTCACAGAAAGGGTATTCGAATGGTTTTGGGGAGATATCACACTCGCAGAGCGCGATACAGAAGAATTAGTTCCAGAAGACGACGAGCACATTGTTCAGGATCCGGCCTTGGAAGACCTTTTCGTGCCCTTGCCAAATCGGATGGGAAACGTTCAAGCGGATGCGGCTGCTGATGCTGCTGCCGCCGCAGATGCTGGGCTGGACCCCAACGATGTCGATGCAATCGAAGGGGATGATTTCGAAGGGATCATGGATCTCATTGGCATGCATGGTCCCATTTTCGGGCTTTTCCAGAATGGCGTCTTTTGTGCCCTTCTGATTGCGTTCACAGTAGCCATCGGTATTTGGCTCCCGTACCTATGGGGTAAAATTGCTCTTGTTTTGTTGGCCAACCCTCTCGAACTCGTCATCGGTGTTCCTATCACCGCGGTTGAAGTCATCACAGACATCGCTCTCGACACTCTTATTGGTGTTGTGGGGTATCTGATGTACTGGCTCAGCCTTGTTTTCAAGATTGTACTAAGCCCTCTCGGTGCTCTTTTGCCTACTGGAGAATGGATTTCCCGGGACAAGTCAGTCACTAGTGCATCGCTTTCCCTCATCGACGCAAGCAGTCACCGCTTGAACAAAGTGATCAAAGCATTCCTGGTCTTCCATGAATCTGATATCCCAATGTTCTCAGTGCTCTCGCACCAGGCGCTCAAGCTACACCAGGCTCGCCTCGGTGCTGTGTTCCAATCGGTCTTTGCCACTGTCAAATTCCTCCTGCATGATTTCCCAACTCGGCTTGTGACACTTGGTGTTCCCGGAGCCCTTTCATTGGACCTTGACTTTTCTTATTTCAAGAACTTCATTGGCCAAGCCCGACAACAACTGACCACCCTCGCTAAATCATCGCTTTTCTCGATGCCTGGAACAAGATTTATGAACGCCAGTGCAGCAAAATCAGCCTCTGCCACAGTGCCGGTAGATTATGACCTGGCGGTCTGGGACTCTAAGGATCGTGTTATCGCTATCTTCATGGGCTATTTGCTTGCATTCCTGATAGGGCTTCTCTATCTACGAATCACGGGGCTGCTTTCTGGTGCCAGTCGGGGGCAAAGGATCGAGGGCCTGCTTGCTGAGGTCCTGATACAAGCCGGAGGAGTTCTGAAGGTCATCCTCATCATCGGGATTGAGATGATTGTCTTCCCTTTGTATTGTGGCACTCTTCTTGATCTTGCATTACTTCCGCTCTTCTCCGACGCTACAGTGGCCTCTCGTATCGCTTTTACTGCTGCATCCCCGCTCACTTCACTTTTCGTGCACTGGTTTGTTGGAACTTGTTACATGTTCCACTTTGCCCTGTTTGTTTCCATGTGCAGAAAGATTCTGAGAAGTGGTGTGCTTTGTAAGTACTTTTAGCCATTTGCCAGACCTTGATCGAGTTGCTAACTGCTTGACTCTAGACTTCATTCGTGACCCTGATGATCCAACCTTCCATCCAATACGTGATGTTCTCGAACGCAGCATCACTACCCAGCTCCGTAAGATCGGTTTCAGTGCTCTCGTATACGGTGCGCTAGTGATCGTTTGTCTAGGAGGTGTTGTCTGGGGTTTGCACTTTGCCCTTGATGGTGTTCTCCCGATTCACTGGTCGGCCAGCGCCCCGATGCTCGAGTTCCCGGTTGATCTCCTATTTTATAATTTTGTGTTGCCTGTCATCATTCAATCATTCAAACCTTCAGATGTTTTGCATGGCTTATATGGCTGGTGGTTCCACAAGTGTGCTCATTTTTTGCGTCTCAGCAACTTTTTTTTCCCAGAAAGACACCTGGAGGAAGAAGGCTACCACGTGCGGAAGACCTGGTGGGGTGTCCTCTCCCGAAGCGAGGGTGACTGGGAACACCCAGTAGTTGGAGATGATGAGCAGGCTGCAGCTGAGCGGGAAAATCGTGGCGTCTATTTCCTGCGCGATGGTCGATACGTGCGCGCCCCTGGCTCTGATCAGGTCCGCATTCCGAAAGGCAACCACGTTTTCCTCGAGGTCACCGAGGACAATGAACGTGTTGATGGCAGGCCCGATCCTGCCGATGGGCTACATGGCCGGTCCAGCAACATGTTCACCAAAGTCTACATCCCTCCCTCCTTCCGGGCTCGGATTGCTGCCTTTATTCTTCTAATCTGGCTGTTTGCCGCCACCACAGGGGTAGGCATCACCATTATTCCCTTGGTAATTGGTCGGAAGATCATTGGGTCCTACTCCTCTACTCCGGCTCCGGTGAACGACGTCTACGCCTTTTCAATTGGTCTTTGCGTGGTCGGTGCGCTTGCCTACCTGGCGTACTACTCCAGCACCGCACTCCAATTCGTGCGAGAGAATTCAGGCGCATACCTTCGCTCCCCTCGCCAAGCAGCTCAGACCAGTCTGGGCCTCGTGACACATGCTGCTCGGCTTGTCTACATGGCCCAGGTTGCCATTATCCTTCTACCGTCACTCTTTGCGCTGCTCACTGAACTGTATGTTCTCATTCCAGCACACACCCTCTTTGGCGATAGAGAATCGCATGTCGTTC